CAGTAGAAGCCGCCTTGGCTGAAGCAAGGCGATAAGTGGCGTGTTCCTGGAAGGCTCGCGGCCTGTTTGTGGGTGCATGCATCGCATCGGACGAGGCACACTTCTCCAATTTGCAAAGCTTCTCCAATTTTTGCCTGTCCCATGTTCTAATCTCACCCTTTGATTTGGCGAAAGCACTCTGTGGGCAAATCGGGACCGCCCTCAATCCCCCGATTTCCCTGGTCTGGGAGGGGGTTTTCTTTTCTTTCTTCTCTTTTCTTTTCCTTGTCCAAAATGCTCGCTTTTGATCACGATAGTGCTTGTTTGAACGATCCAAAGAGGGTTAACAATGGATGACCCTGCTCAAGTGCTCACTTTCGGGGACCGTGGTTTCGTACCTGACTGGCAAATTGAACTCTCGATCGTGGGGGACGGATGGTCAAATCGTGTCAGGAATTTTCCAACGTCCATTGGCCGAGGACACGATCTCGTTCCTCCAATCCTGGCAACATTTTCCCCGGTCTCGTCTTCTGATTCGTGGCTTCGGCCTCATTCTCGGTACCCCAAATCCACCCCCTCCTTCTTCCTCCCATCCCTACTAGTCAGATTCTTTGCCTTCTTTCCCTGCAAGTAGCCGAGGCAGCACGTTGTTTGGTTGTTTGGTGCCAAGGTCGGGAAGCCACAAGGCCAAACCCTCCCTCCACCACCAACTGAACGGACAGTGAGATCCAATGTTGGTGGCGTGGGCTAGCCTGTATTTTTAGTGCCTAGTGCGGTGGCTGGCCTGGCCCTTGGCGACTTGGCCCCCTGTATTCCTGGCTTCTGCAAGCCTGAAGCGTTGTCCAGGTCGGGCAGAAACAGGGTGCCCTCCAACTTGTTCTTGGCTTGGGGATCACAACATGAGGAATACAACATTGGCAAAAGCTTCTTTTGTTCTTCGCTTAGTCAATCAGGAACGGGTGCATGCACAGTCTCTTGGCAGGCGGCTGCGGCTTTTTCGATCCAAACGTCACAGCAAAAGAAGCAGTTGAAAGAGGAAGTTGCGGCCGATGTCGTTGCTCCAATTTTCGCCTTGCCGTGAAGTGATACGGAGCAGCGGTTTAGGGCCTCGGAAAGTCGTGCACGGGGCTGATTCAAAGAAGAAGGCTGAAAAAAGGGCCCCCTGAGCTCGGTTTCCGACGAGAATTCAACGAATGAATAATCGGGGAACTGAAAGGGAGCGGAGCCCGGTGCTCATCTCGACTAATGTGTCGCCAAACCGTGTCTCATTTCCAAAAAGAAAAAGAAAAATTGAGAGCTATTAGTTCCCCGCCGGCCTGGAACCGTCTAAAGACCCGGCTAGGCGATTTAGGAACGGATATGTCAGTGGGTGCCTCGTCGGCGATGCCTTGGACGGGTCAGGATGAGAGCCGTGGGTCTAGACAGGGACGAAGAAAATGGTAGGGAGCATCGAGGTGAACAGCAGTCCGCTGACTTGGGAAGAGTTCGCCAGTCCGACCCAGCATCTGAATTCATCCATTTTCCTAGTCCAGCACACTAGCAGAATCCACGCGGGCGGCGAACCAACAACGCGCCAACGCCTGAGGAGTGTGAAGCCAACACACCATAAGAACAGGCTGTTTTCGAAACCACCTTTCCCATGCAGGCGGGATCGTGTAATGGTTGGTCGTGATCCTCGCCTCGCCAGGGCCGCGCGAACGGTCATTCTCTCAAGGTCGTCTGGGTCGGTCTGGGGAGGAACCAGAAATCCATGGATCCATTCCACTGCAGGGTTGCGAGGAGGAACGCCCTCTCACAATTTGACAAAGCGCCTGCGCCGACGGCCCGAGTAAGAGTTTAATCACGTTTTACGGCCAGTCATCGATTGATCTATCCAGTGATGCGGTTTCTGGGTTCCCCTTTCTGCTCTCCCCGGACCCCTCCTGATGGGCTTCTTTTTCCATCTAGGGTATGCTTCGGGAGGACGAACGGGCGCTACACTCCCTTGATGTCGCCCGTAGTGGCAGGCTACCCATAGACTTCCTCGCAAGGCGCCGATGGGCAGTTGGATGGACCCCTTCACCTCGCTCGAAGGCCCTGTGACAGCCAATTCTTCCGCCGAAGGGGATATTTCCGTCTATGCTGCGGCCTGCTACTTACTTCGTAGTACCGTCGCTACACTCCCATCTTTGGGTGTCCATTTTCTTTTTTACCGTTCGAGCGGGGTGATGGGATCTGAATACCACTGCAAAGTAACTCCAGAAGTAGCGATTGACTGTCTCAATGGAACCATCCGGGACAGCCAACGGTGTTTTCAAGGCATTCTCGAAGGAATCCACTGCAACGCCATTCCTCTTGAGGACACAGTGTGGTGATACTTCGTACACGCATGGATTGGTCAAGATTATCCCAAAATTACACACGCACACAGACTTTTACTTCGTACTTGTACCAGAGCCTGCTAACCGCCCCCTACACGAGTCCTCGCGCCTCGATTCGTGTTCATGCCCGTTCCCAGCGCCCGTCATGCCCCCGGCCTACCAGTGGTTACTTGTATTTGCCCCGTCGTTGTCGTGTGTTGGCATGGGCAAGTGGCGAGGGACCCGGGGCCGATGCAAGTGTTGAGCCAAAGTGTCACGTTGACGGTTGGGAGGGAAGGAAAGCACGGCTCGCATGTAAGTTCTTCCTGATCGAGATACAGGATCAATGGATGTGGACCCATGTGATCCAGCATCAAGTCTGGCCTGAAAAGCGGCAAGATAGACAATTGACAATGTCAATCGCCGAATCCCCCTCCTCATATTCTAGTTTTCCCTTTTTCGGAGAGGCCACGGCTTTAACCTCCCATGGGTCGCGGGATTCGATCGGAATCTAAGACGTTAGCTAATCTGTCGTCTCTTCGTCCACGACGAGGCCGGCACGATTACTCCTTGAACTCCGAAACCTGAAATGTTCGCGGTAAATAAACGAGGCTGATGATGGATTGGGACGGGCTTGTTAATATGATCAGACAACACGGCTGATCAAATTCAATTGGCTCTATCCGACATCAATGCAAACTTGCTAAAGAAATATCAGCAAGCCGAGGATTGCCATCTTCTTGTTGAATCGAACTCCCCTCCCCCCATGGCCACCCGGCCTGCGCACTCTGACCAAGCAACCATCTCGCGGATTTTGCCGTGAGATGACTGCTGATGGAGGGCTTCCTTTTGCCTACGTTTTCGCCCGCTCTCCCCACGCGATCCGCCCGCACTACTGCTAGTGCGGTGACCCATGCAAATTATGTAGTTGGCAGTGAGCCTAAAGCCTTCAGACTTTGACGACTTGGGCGAGGAGGCAGAGGACGTCAATGGCCCCCTGTTGGCCACTAATGTCTGGTGAATTCAACGGACCCGGTCCCATGGCCTTTTTTTGGTCCCCAAGAATGGAACAAGAGAGCCAGCTAGCTCGATCTGGATGGTCATTGTCCCACTCTTCCCCGTAATGAAACAGTCAGAGCGGATGGAGATGGACGTCGTTGCTCCCCATCGTCACTAGGACACAATACTCGCCTCGCGTCTTCGAGACATCAATGGGCGAGGGCATTGATGAATCTGGCCTGCTTAGCACGAAATAAAAAATTTCTTCTTTACCTTGGCTTTCATTTTCTACGGGAAGGGCGTTAGATTGGCCACCAAATGTTCGCGGAACCCATCCATGGGTCAATGTCAATGAGTGTTTTTCAGCCACTTGGGAGAGAACCTCCCAGCGCTCATCCCCACCTCACTTGCGAGAGTCCCCACAAACAGATAACCTCCGCCCGCTCCACTGTGCCTAACCCTTTTTTCATTTTGCAGTGTCATCTCTCGCATCATTGACGTTCGCCTTTGTCCCACACTAGCTCGGTACGAATCTTTTGGAAGGCCATGGGAAACGCGGCGTGGGATTCGGACACAAATCCAAAGCCTCACATTGGCAATATGTGGGAGTCTGGTTCTCGACCCTTTTGCGTTTGAGATGGCTCTAGATGAATTCGGCGAGAAGCTCGCCCGCGTGGTGGAGTCTGCCACATCTCCCTCAACCGCTCGCCGGATATCCTGATGACGGCTTGATGGGAGGTCGTACTGCTAAAGAGGAAAAATGGCAAGGGCATGTATTATCCGCATCCCGTCAATTTGCGTCGCCCATGTCGCCCCGGTTCTAGTCCACCCCCGGTCCCCACTCGTCTTGTCCGGTGGAGTGCAAAGTCGTTCTCACACTCGCCCACTTGACGCTCGCCTGTCGAGGAAAGAGTGCCCCGACACCTCCTCGCTTTGTCGCTTGCGCAGATGGTGGGACGTCGAGGCCGCACCACACCCTCCCACCCTCTTCCTCTTTTTCGGAGAGCCCATCCCCCGTTCCTAAAGGAACTCGCGACCCAAGATTCAAGGTGTGTCTGGTCTGGTGAGGGGTGGGAGGCGACAGACCGACAGGGGTCAGGGGTGTGGTGGCAGACGGAAGAAAAGGAAGGGGCGTGCAAATGGACAGTGGCGGATACCACCCGGGGAAGGGGCCGCGGGGGTGGGGGAAGGACAAGGAAGAGGGGTGCGTGATCGTTCTAGTTTAATCTTTTTGCTCTCTCTCCCATGATTGCTCCCCTTCCCTCGAGTTGATTCGGGCCCTAGCTCCATGAATACCTCAATTATGGCTCTCATGGATGATTATTGCAATGTCCCTGTTCGGATCGACCCTGCGAGCTCGGTTCCGCTACCCCAAAACCTTGCCAGTGGAGGTCAAACCTGGGGGCTCCGGATTCCATATAAGCGGCCATCCTGGCTTCACAAATTTTGATTTTTTCCTCTCCTCTCGTCTTCCATCATCCGGCTCACATCTCAGCCTTCGCATTGAGCAGCCATCCGCCAGTCGGGTCACCAGCAGTTGGGATATATCTTTCTCGATTCCCCCTTCCTCTTCTGCTCTGTTGCTCTCGCAGCCTTCCCTTCCTTTTATATATTCTTTTTTTGATACCCTTTTGTTTGTTCTAAGAAGGCTCTGGCCCTTACAAAACCAGCACAACCGCAAATATGGTCGCGATCGTCAGCAAGGCGACCGCCGGGGGCGGCGACATCGATAACCCCCGCTTCGAACGCGTCAACTGGCGCCAGGAGCCTCACTTGAAGAAGTTGTACTTCATGTCCATCTTCTTGCTGATCGCTTCCGCCACCACCGGTTACGATGGCATGTTGGCCAACACTGCTCAGCAGATGGACAAGTTCAAGCGCTACTTCTCCGCTGAGAACGGCAAGCAGAACGATGTGTTCTTCTACGATGAAGAGAAGGAGCTCTGGGATGCCGATGCCAACAAGCTCGGTATCATGATTAACATGTTCAACATCGGTTCCATCATCTCCTTCTTCATGACCCCTACATTGCCGATTACTTTGGCCGAAAGCCCACCATCATGCTTGGCTGTGTCATCATGATTGTCGGTGGTATCGTCTCTGCTGTCTGCAACGGTTACGGAAGTAAGTTGACATTGGAACGTTGATGACTTCATTCCTCGCGGTGACTAACATGTCTACTTCCTAGTGTGGATGGCCGGTCGTTTCATTCTCGGTTTCGGAAACTCTTTCGCCCAGATGTGCTCTCCTCTTCTCCTCACTGAGATCTGCCATCCCCAGCACCGTGGTCCCTTGACCGCTGTCTACAACTGTCTCTGGAACTTGGGCGCTCTCAGTAAGTTGGCCATCTCATCAGTTGAATTAGGTGTGAGGCAGAGTCTAACGTTCACGTCTTACAGTTGTGTCCGTTGTCGGTTGGGGAACCTCCAAGATTGACAACGACTGGTGCTGGCGATCTATCACCCTTCTCCAGATCGCTCCTTCCGTCATTCAGCTTTGCGGTGTCTGGTGGATTCCCGAGTCCCCCGTTACCTTGTGAGCAAGGACAAGGCCGACAAGGCTCTCGAAGTCCTCGTCAAGCACCACGGTGGTGGCGATATCAACAACGCCACTGTTCAGTTCGAATACCGCGAGATCAAGGAGACTATCTCCATGGAGGCCCAGGCCGACAGCAGCAGCAGCTACATTGATTTCTTCAAGACCAAGGGTAACCGCTGGCGATTGGCCATTATCATCTCTCTTGGTATCATCTCTCAGTACTCTGGCAACGCTCTCTTCTCCAACTACATCGACCGTATCTACGAGGGTGCTGGTATTACCGGTGAGAACAAGAAGCTTGGTGTAAGTTTGTCCCTGGACTTGTTTTTCTTTGTTCAGCCTCGAACAAAACGGATTGTGCTGACATCGAACTTTCCCAATATAGCTCTCCGCTGGCAAGACCATCATGGATCTTACTATTGCCATTGGTGCCGCTCTTACCGTCGACAAGGTTGGTCGCCGACCTCTCTTCCTTGCCGCTATCACCGGTATGGTCGCTTCTTTCGTGTGCTGGACCATTGTTGGTGCCGTCTACGAGAACTCCAACATGACCAACGAGGGTGCCGGTATTGCCCAGATCGTCTTCGTCTGGTTCTTCGGTGTCTTCTACGACATTGGTTTCTCTGGTCTCCTTGTCGCTTATGCTCTCGAAATTCTTCCTTTCGCTCTCCGTGCCAAGGGTATGATGATTCTCAACATCACTATCCAGGCTATCCTCGCTATTGGTAACCAGACCAACCTCCTCGCCTGGAACAACCTTCCCCGCCACTGGCACTTCATGTTGTTCTACACCCTCTGGGACTTCTGCGAGTTGATCTTCGTCTGGTTCTTCTACGTCGAGACCAAGGGCCCCACCCTTGAGGAGATTGCCCGCATCTTTGATGGTGATGATGCCGTCGCTCACGTCGACCTCGACCAGGTCGAGAAGGAGATCCGCAGCGCCGAGCATGACGAGGACATCCACGCCGGTGGCCTCCGCTCCGAGAAGACTGCTGTTTAAGTCGGCATAGGCGGGGCTCGCGTTGGCGGAGTGTCGGTTCGGTCTCTGAGCGTCCGGGATTCTGCGGCGCGACCCTCTTGTCCAACCCCTTATGCCTTTGCTTTTTCAAGCGCCTTTTCTACTTTCTTTGTGGCTGGTTGTTGGTGTGTTGTATAAGCAGCATTCAATCGGTCACTCGTTGTTTCCTTATATATAAAATCCCAACGTGTATCAAAGATATTCGGGGATGTATGGTAGCCCGGCGGCATGTTCCCTGAAGAAAAAGCTTACCTGGCACTGGAGAGATGTAGACTTATACTTGACGTTTACACATTAAAATAGCTTCTGTGTGTCGGGGAGTCTGTTTTTCGGGGACGTAGTTACTGGATAGATATACACGATCGATATCAACCTAATTTACTTATTTCTCCTCATACTTTTTGAGCCTTGATCATTATTTCTTTTTGCATCTAAAAACGGGAGCGCTCCGCGATTCATCCTGGTCAAAGACCTTGGGCTATTGGTGGAACGACCTTTCGTTGGTCGGATCAGGAGACCTCATTCGTGCTTGACTCTCATTGGAAGAGGCTTGCGAGTGTGTCTGTATGGATGTTGTAGATTCTCGATCAAACGAGAACGATGATCTAGCTGGTGGCTTTCCATGTCTCTTTGCACCGTAGCGTTTGGCATTCCAGGTCGGGAGGAGGATGTGCTTGAGAGGCGGTGCCTCTTTGAGATGGAGAGATGGAGCGAGAAGAGAAACTCGCAGCAACGAGCGAGTGGGATTTAAAGAGTAAAATTGAGGACTATACCGAGGTAGAGGGAGCTGAAGGCCATTGGCTTCCCGCGCTGGGTTTATCAACCTCACAAGAGAGAGAAAACTGCAACAAACACGAAGATGGGGATGGGAGGTCGGCGCGTGGGCATCCGGGGATTCTCTTTCCCATTTGGGAAAGACACGGGAGACGAGGCCCCGCGACTTTGGGCTTGCGCGGCATCTGTGGGACTGATTCTCCGAGAAGTTCATGCAGAAGTGGCGGTGGCGCAGGCTCTTCACTCCACTAGTTCCTGAATTCGGCAAGCTGCAAGCAGCTGAACCTTGCATACAAGTGGGCTATAGAATATTATCTTGCTCGTGGTTTAGATCTGGGATCTCTTCAGGGCCGTGCCGTGCAGGAGGGGGTTTTCACATAATTGGTGTGGTGGGTGGGTGTAGGGGGCAGATTGAGAACGACTTGGCACTCTAGAGATTCTTCTAAACGACTGTGTGTGTCCGCCCTTGGCGAGACGTTCCTTTGGGAATGGACGCTTGTAAAGAAAGGAGGAGGAAGGTGGCGATTCGCTCGAAGCGAGCTCGAGTCCTTTTGCCTTTGGGCAACCAACTCGAGATGCCTCCATCACCATCGAGGACGCGCGAGACAGGAATGCTTGACGCTGGCAGCGGTGACAAGACGGTAGATTCATCCCGTAGGCGGACTTTCTCCCGGCCCATCCTCGAATGGACTGGCTCAGGTGTTAGCTCACCTCATGGAGGGTCTGACGACATCGGGTGTGGAGATGTGGAGATGTGGAGCCGGACGAGGGCGCTCGTCGTCGGAAGAAACGGGGTTGATTCGCGGAAACGATGGAGGGTGAAAACATGGCTCTGGGACCGGGAGTTTAGGGATTCCGCTTCGTTCATTCCTGCAGGGCCTGACACCTGCGGCTTGGGGAGTGAGAAATCGGGCTAGGCTGGGATTGTGGTCGGGGCAGGAAGGAGATGTCAAATGTCTTGGCTTGGTCGGCGACTATCTCCGTACGAGATATCAGATCGATCCAAGCCATGTTCGACAAGGTGGGGTGCCCTACGAGCGTGCTCTTGGATGACGGATCCCAGTGCTGCGCTTGTTCATCAACATGACAGGCATATATAGGACATCAACCGACTCTGTGGCTACCCTTATATCTACATGAAGCGAGTAGATAGGCAGGAGTCGACCCGGTGTCTTTCCATCTTTCTATTCTCTTGATTCTCAAGACTGGCGCAAGGCAAGAGATGGCAAGCATGGCTACGCGGGATGTGTGTAAGTGTCAGACAGGCAACCAGTGCTCATGGAGGCTGAGAGAGTGGGGACTGAGCCCGAGAAGGATTTGACGTGTTTGAATCATCCCCGAGCATGCATGTACGAAGTACAAGGCACCGTTGAAATGCACAAGTAGAGGCACCTTCCGAGACACATCGCCTGTTGCCGCATTCCGGGGTTGAGCTCGGTACCCTCGGTTGTCTTTTCATGGGTCTGTCGATTTGTCTTTTATTTGTTCTTTTTTTCTTTTTCTTTTTCTTTTTCCAATTCGGGGCACGGCCGATGCGATGCGAGGATCAGGTACGAGTTGAGCCCTCCCAGGTTGGGCTGCTTGCCCGCATTCATTATTCATTCACGGACATTGGCTCTTGGCCCGGGGCCCGGTTGTCATTGTCGCTCCCCTCTCATTTGGCGCCATCGTTGCGAGCGAATCGCGGTTGGAGAACAAAGTGCGGTGCCGCGCAAATTGATTCGCGGAAATTCTGGGGGTGCTCCTGCCCTGTCTCCCCTGTCTCCTTGGCTGGTGGTGGGTAATGGCTAATGGATTCTTCCTTCCAGCAACGTCCATCTTCCCCGTTCTCCAATTCCCCCTCTTTCATTTTCTTTTTTTCTTCTTTTCTTTCTCCTTCGTTTTGGGGGTATTGTTTCCACACTCTTTTTCTTTTCTACCTCTTTTCTCCACCATTGTTCCCTTCCTTTCCGTGTTCATGCACTTCCCCGTGATTGCAGGCTCCTCGTGAGCTCCTGTTGCAATTTCCGGCAATGGTACTCTCCCCAAAGATGCGACGGCGCTTGTGGCAGGAAAATTGACAGATCTGGCAACCCAAACCCGGATTCCACCACCTTTGTATTATTGTTGCCCAGAGGGAGCTCGCCATCGCACGGGCAATGGTGGGGCTTCTTCCACATGCTGCGTCGTTTTGATCTTCGAAGCGTGTTGATCCGGCCATTCGAGAGTGTCCGGCTTGGGCTTGGCTAGCGAGCCACGCCGAAAAGGATATATAGTATGTAATATAGCTCGGCCCCCATCAAGGACGTCTAGCCGAGAAACGAGAGAATACATTCCACTCCTTTTCCAGAATCATTGATTCTTGATTTTCTTTTTTCTGTTCATCTTCAAGGGAGAGAAGCAGACCCGGTCAAGAACACGAGACTGGACTCTGCCTGTAGCAGAACCTTTGTTCTCGTTGTAGGTACTCTTGGCTTCTAAAGGAACTCTCACGTTCTTGTGTCCGCCATCATGCAGGCCCTAAAGCTCGCCCTCGTGGTCCTTGCGGCCGCCACGGGCCATGTTGAAGCCGCATTCTCGTGGAAGAATGTTCGAATCGGAGGAGGTGGTGGCTTCGTCCCCGGCATCTCGTTCCATCCCAAGACTAGTGGGGTAGCCTATGCCAGGACAGATATCGGCGGCCTGTACAGGCTCAATGCTGCCGACGACTCGTGGATCCCCATCACGGACTCTCTTGCCACCAACGACAAGTGGTGCGTCTCACCCTTCCTCTCTTGATCTCTACCTGTGTACCATAATACTAACGATGCTACTTGCAGGTCTTACTGGGGAATCGACGCCATGGCCCTTGATCCTCAGGATGATAAGAAGATCTACGCCGTTGCCGGCATGTACACGAATAGCTGGTACGCTTGATCTATCTTTGGTGGTCAACACTGAGATGAGGAGTCTTCCTCATTGCTCCCCATAATTAGATCTGGTGCTAACGACTTTTCCTAGGGACCCCAACAATGGTGCCGTCATTCGTAGCTCTGATCGCGGCGCAACTTGGGCCGTCACCGAGCTTCCTTCAAGGTCGGTGGCAACATGCCCGGTCGTGGCATGGGCGAGCGTCTCGCCGTTGACCCCAACGACTCCAAGGTCATCTACTTTGGAGCGCGCAGCGGCAAGGGTCTCTACCGCAGCACTGATTCAGGTGCCACCTTCTCCAAGGTCTCCACCTTTACCGCCACCGGCAAATACGCTCCCGACCCGTCGGACCCCAACGGGTACAACAATGATCCTCAGGGTCTGGCCTTCATCACCTTTGATGACACCTCCGGCACCGCTTCCAACGGACGCACCAAGAGAATCTTTGTCGGTACTGCCGATAACACCACCGCTTCCGTCTACGTTTCCAACGACGCTGGCGAGAGCTGGAGCGCCGTCGCCGGCCAGCCCGGAACCTACTTCCCTCACAAGTGCAAGCTTCAGCCTCAGGAGAAGGCCCTTTACCTCACCTACAGCGACGGTACCGGCCCCTACGACGGTACCAAGGGCTCCATTTGGAGGTACGACCTCACCACCAGCACCTGGAAGGACATCACCCCTGCTAGCGGTGACGATCTCTACTTCGGCTTCGGTGGTCTTGCCCTTGACATGAAGAAGCCCGGAACCATCATGGCCGTTACCCTCAACTCCTGGTACCCCGATGCCCAGATTTTCAGATCCACCGACTCCGGTACCACCTGGTCCAAGATCTGGGAGTGGACCTCGTGGCCCAGCATGAACCAGTACTACTCCATCAAGACCCCCAAGGCCCCCTGGATCTACGAGAACTTCCTCGCCACGGACAGCAAGCGCCTCGGGTGGATGATCGAGGCCCTGGAGATTAACCCTCACGACAGCGACCACTGGCTCTGGGGCACAGGTCTCACCGTCTTTGGCGGCCACGACCTCACCAAGTGGGACACTGCCACCCGCAACGTCAGCATCGAGTCCCTCGCCAACGGTATTGAGGAGTACGCCGTCCTCGAGGTTTCGTCCGTTCCCGGCGGCACTGAGCTCCTTGCCGGTGTTGGTGACGACAGCGGTTTCACTTTCAAGACCAAGGCCGATCTCGACACCTCGCCCAAGACTGCTTGGAACAACCCCATGTTCACTAGCTCTACTGGTGTTGACTATGCCGGTAACAGCGTCAAGAGCGTTGTCCGCGTTGGCAACACGGCGGGCAGCCCCCAAGTTGCCCTCTCCAACGATGGTGGCGCTACCTGGAACCTCAACTACGCTGCCAGCAACTCCCAGTATGGTGGCCGCGTCGCCTACTCCGCCGGCGCCGACACCATCATCTGGTCCAGCGACTCCTCTGGCGTCCTCAGGTCCCAGCACCAGGGATCTTTCGTCGCTGTCTCTTCCGTCCCCTCCGGTGCCGCGATCGCTTCCGACAAGCGCGACAACAACTACTTCTATGCCGGTACCACTCGTCTCCTCGTTTCCAAGGACATTGGCGCCACCTTCGCTGCTGGCGGTGCTCTCGGCTCCGCCACTTCCATTCGTGACATCGTCGTTCACCCCACCGTTGCCGGTACTCTCTGGGTTTCTACCGATGTTGGTATCTTCTACTCGACCAACTTTGGTGCCTCTCTCTCTCTCTCTCGTCCGCGGTGACCAACACCCACCGCATCGCCGTCGGCAAGGGCTCGGGCACCAGCCTGGTCCTCTACGCCTTTGGCCACGGTCCCGCCGGCGCCCGCCTGTACGCTAGCGCCAACAACGGCGGCTCTTGGGAGGATATCCAGGGCTCCGCTCAGGGCTTCGGCGCCATCGATATCTGCCGCATTGCCGGCAGCGCAAACGAGGCCGGCCTCATCTACGTCGGAACCAACGGCCGTGGCGTCTTTTACGCTCAGGGCACCATCTCCGGCGGAGGCACTTCTACCACCACTACCTCCTCCACCACCACCACCTCTTCCACCACTTCCAGGTCTTCCTCTCCCGCCTCCTCTACGTCCTCGACCTCTGTGAGGACCAGCACTACCCTCACCTCCACCACCAGGGCTAGCTCTACCACCTCCACCACCACCAGCGCCGCCGCTTCTACCACCACCGCCTCCGGTGGCACCGGCGCGCAGAGGTGGGCCCAGTGCGGTGGTATCGGTTGGACCGGCCCTACCGCCTGCGTCTCCCCTACACTTGCGAGAAGCAGAACGATTGGTACTCTCAGTGCCTTTAAGCGGAGGGGAATGAGTGATGATAGAATCCTAAGAGGTAAAAAGAGGGGAAAAGGCTACGACGCAACATGTTCTGAATACCTTTGAGTTCATGTGCCATAGCACCTTCCTCTTTTCTAGCCGTAAAAGCCGGGAGGGGAAGGAAGTAAGAAACCTCGTCTTCATTCTTGTACATAGTTATTTCTTTTCCCGGACCAGCTCGAGACTTGAGCCGGCGACTATTTATATTTTTGCTTCTTTGAATAAAATTTATCTTTTTATCAGGTCAAAACTATTGTTGCATGACTAGACCCTTCCTATGCATGAGGCGATTTACGCAGTGACTCCATTTTTGTTCCGTCCTCTAATACATAATTTGCATGTTCATTTTGGTTAGTTATGCCAGCAGCCCCACCATCCCGGTTCCTCTCCCGAAAGTGGGGCCCCGTAGCGGACTGTGGCCCGGAAGCGCCGGGCTCCGTGTCTTGCTTTGGGCTTATTAAGCCGCCTCTCGCTCAATCCACAAACCATGATCCACCTTCCCCATTCCAACGAGTATGTAGCAATCGCCGTATCAAAGATCAAAATTTGGCGATAGGTTAACCGTTCAGGCCCATGGAGCCGGGAATCACGAGTGAACTGAATCATCCCAAGAAAACCAGTGTAGGCAAGCAGCATTGAGCGCGACCTAGCAAGTACCAAGAGTCGAACAAAAAAGAAATCAATTTTTCTATAAGGCATGGAACCGATTTTTTCAGATGACATGTCATTGCGCAGGGGATTCTTTTTCCGGCTGCTTCTTCTCCGCGCTTCCCTTGTTCCCTTTGATCACACCCCTAATCTTCTCCCTAAAGGCGTTGATCTTTCTCCGCAGCACGGGTTTGGGGGCCTCGTCGACGCCGACGAACCGCCTTACGAGGATGTTGTACAGGCCGCCGAAAGCCAGGGCGATGGCGGTGGAGGTGAAGATGATGACGTTGTAGGGCATGCTGAAATCCGGCGTGGGCAGGTTGAGCAGGAGCGAGGTGGTGCGCAGGTTCAGCGTGCGCGGGGAAGTGGTAGTAAGGATGGCGGCGGCTACGTCGAAGCCGCGGTTGGCGTCGGGGGATACTCGGTGTAACGCAGGATGGCCTTTTCAAAGTCGTAGCTTAGGAAGACGGTGGAGCCCGGGGTACAATCATGCGGAGTTCGAGCTGCGTGCCCCGCGCGCGGTCGACGGCTGGCCGGTAGTAGATTTCCTTGACGAGGTCTCGGCGAGAGCCCTGGATCCCGTCGATGCGTGCGTCCAAGGTGTGGAGATAGACCCTCATGAACCAGGGAAGCGACTCCATGTAGACGAATTCAACCTCGGTATCGGGACTGGGGTTGCGGAGGATAGTTTGCACGGCGCCGCGCTCTTGCCCATAGCCCATGAAACTGCGATCAGCATAGATGAGAGGGCCGCAGGCTTGACATAGTCTTCCTCCGGCCCTCCCTCGCCCTCGCCGTTGTTGAGCGCCGGAAGGACGATATCAAAGTCAGCATCCGGATCCAACCTATAGCAGCGAGCTGCCGCCGGGGTTCCTCGTTTCCGCAGCGCCGACAGAGGTGAACACGTGGCGGGAGTTGGGCACTTCCATGCACACCGGGGGTCTCCGGGTTGGTCAAGGGGCAGGTTCCCTTGAGAGACTTTCCAAAGATTTGGGATAGCGTCCATTCCTGGCCGAGAGCGTGGTCGAGCGGGTAGCATCCGCCATCAGCATGGTAGGGTTTGGTAGTGTCGCATTTAAGCTCGTGGAGGGGCTTGGGACGAGGAATAGGATTGTCTGTCCAGAGGGGAAAAAAGGAACGTTAGCAAAGAAACTAGGAAAAGGTTGAGAACGACTGGTGGTCGCTCCAGTGAGGACAAACCTCTGGGCCGCTTGGAGCGGTCAATGTCCAAAACCATATCAACGGTCTGCTCGATCTCCAGCACGCATTCCGAGCCGTCCTCAGGGCAAACCGGCCTAACATCGATCGCCATACTCTGCCAGGAAGCATCAAAGAGCTTGTGGCCGTCGAGAAGACTGGAGATGCCAGCCTTGCCCTTGCAAGGCAGGAGCTTTAGGAAGGGAGTAAGATTTTCGGTACAGACGACCTCATGCGGCAAGACACCGTGGAGTAGCCTCATGTTGGAGATGGTCGCGTTGGGCAAGGTGCCCTCGGGCTGAAACGACATGACGGGTCGTGTTGTCCGGGTGCTGTCGATAAAGTTGAGCGATGCACAAAGAGACCAGACAGCGCGTTGGTCAAGATGAGCCACTTCTCATCAGCCCTACACGCAGAAAAGACAAGTTAGTCCAAACAAACTCGCAAAAGGCCACGCCGCCCGCGCAGCCAAACCCCACGGGAGGAAAGCTAATGCCGTCTCATACTCTTCATCGGTATCCGCATCCAGCCACGCCCAGAGCTCAACACCAGTCCCGCCCTCCTTGGTGCCGTCCCACGGCCGTGCCCCCACAGCTCGGCATCCCACCGCCCCAGCGCAAATCGCAGGTGCAGCTCCCGCGTGCCGGCATGCTGGAGGATCTGGCCCAGCGACCGCGGGAAGAGGCGGAAATTCTGTGACTCGAAGTCGGAGACTGGCGTGGTGGCGCGGAAGTTGAAGCTCGCGAGGAGGGAGGATAGGGGCAGCGGCCTGAGGTTGAGCTGCTCGTGATACTCGGCAACGGCGGACGTGACCCCGACCACGTGGAGTAGGAGAAGGGCGAGGAGCCCGCGCATCTTGGAGGCGGGTGCCGATGGAGGAAGGGAATCGCACTTCGCGGGTCGTGGATAGGAATTCGCGCGATACCGGGTTCGGTTGTTGGAGGACGCAAAGAAAAAAAAAGGGCGATGCTGCCGGCACAAGCTCACAAGTCCGTCCCTATTTCCTAGCAGTCGACGGACGTGTCAGACTCGTTCTCCTACAGGCCGTGGAGACTCTCAAGCTTGGGCGGTGTTGCAAGGCAGAATAAATTATCGGTGTATTTTCGGGTAAATGTCCCCACCAAACTGTGCTTTCTCGTCTTTGCGAAGCCAAGCAGCTTCAACTTGAACTTCTCGCGGCTTCGAATTCACCCACCCCACCACTACACCATCGTCCGATTTTCACACGCTCCGTCATGGCCGCCGAACAAAGGAAGCTGCTTGAGCAGCTTATGGGTGGCTCCTCTTCTTCACGCGCCGCCCAGCTCTCCCTCAATGATCCGAAAGTCTGCCGCTCATATCTCGTCGGTACATGCCCGCACGACCTCTTCACAAACACCAAACAAGACATTGGTCCCTGCCCTAGGGTTCATAATGAAAACCTAAAGTCCGAGTACGAGGGCCTTCCGGAGAAGGAGAAGCAAAAGTACGGATTCGAGTACGACTACATGCGAGACCTCCAAAAGTATATCGACGCGTGCAATCAGAGGATAGACGCCGCCCAGCAACATCTAAAGAAGACCCCAGATGAAATTAGGCAAACCAACCTTCTGGTAAGGCAACCACTCTTGGCTTAATAGTTTTCCCCAAGGCTTTTCGCCACATCTTAACTCCAAGACTAGTCCCTTGTTCGCTAACAGTTCCCTTTAGTTAAAAACCATCTCCGAGCTCACCTCGACCATTAACAATGGCCTCCTCGAAGTTGAAATTCTCGGCGAGATGGGTGAGGTGAACAAGGCCATTGATGAGATGTACCGTGTGCACCAGGCCCGCCAGTCCAAGGTTGAACGCGAGCGCGAGCTCAAGGAGCTGTCAGACACATCCGGCCCGTCAGGTCATCAGAAACTTCAGGTGTGCGACGTCTGCGGTGCCTATCTCAGCCGACTCGATAACGACAGACGCCTAGCGGACCACTTCTATGGGAAGATGCATCTAGGGTATGCGCAAATGAGGAGGACATATGACGCCTTCCCCAAGGAGATGAGGGGCAGGATTAGGCCCCTATGGACATGGATGGTCCTGGCTCCGGTTCCTCGTCCGGGCCGCGCGGACCGAGGGGCGGCGGGTATCGTGGAAGAGGAAGGGGCTATCGCGGCGGCTGGTAAAGGAGCACCGAGCGTGCTGAAATCAAGAGCAACGAGAACGGTGCATGGCGCAATTTCAAATGGTTTACGGTAGAGGGCTCAAGGACTATGTACAATTATCCCTTCTTTTCGTGTTTTATTTCTTGGACTACGTTAGAATACCCAAAATCGCTACATGTTTGCAGGTATCACAAATTATATCTATACTCGGCGCTCGGCAAACCCCCTTGTAGAGGGCGTGGTCGGTCAAGGGCGCCGCCCGCTCGGCAACTTGACTCGGTCGCGCTGGCGCTGGGTCGGGCCCTGCAACGTGAAGCCGAACCACAATGTCCCCCCGGTCACGACAAGTTGAAGCTTTCTGAGAGGTCTGATGGGAAGTGGACGAGATCCTCAAATACACACTATTCATATACCAAATCCGTCTCCTTCAGGTTATCCAGTGTTATTATTACCTTGCCCTCGTGCTTCTTTCCCACGCCTGTGTTTTTTTCAAGGACATTTTCTCTTCACATTTTTTATTATTCTTCCTCCCTTCAGGACTGCTTAGCCATGCGCTCATCAAAAGCCTCCATCTCGTCGTCCCACCGACCCACAGGAGACGACAAGGGTAGAATGTCATTCTCAGGCGCCGGCTTTGCAGGCCACTCGACCTTGGTCACCGGCTTTTCGGCCGGGCCCTTGTCCGCGGCAGGCTCCTTTTTCGGCGGTGCCGCGCTGGCCACGGTGCCGGCGCCTTTGAGCGCAGCGTTCTTATACGCTACCTCGAGCTTGGGCGCAGGCTCGACCTTGGAGGCGGCAGGTTTCGCCCCAGAAGAAGGCAAAGCTGGGAAGTCGTCTTTGGCGGGCCGCGGCTGGTCTTGATCAGCTGGCTGTTCTTGAGAACCGACGGGGTCGTTATCTCCACCCGCATGGCCACCCCTGCCGCCCCGTCCTCCACGTCCGGCGCCCCTGCCCCGGCCCCTACCCCTACCACGAGCGTCAACAGGCTGCGGTTGCCGCTGATCGTCGCCGTCCTCGTTCGCGAAACGACTACCCGCCAACCCGCCCGCTTTCGCGCCGCGAACGCCCCCGTTGGCAGACCTGAAGTTCCTCCTGGTATCCTGGTGGAAGTCCATCTGGTCTTTTCCGTCGTCCCAACTTCCGTCCTTGGCGTTGCCGAGTGCCTTGAGCTTCCTCTCCCTGTTCTTGGCCCTCTCATCCTCCATCTTTTTCCTGTCCTCGTCCGCCCTTTTCCGTCGTTCAGCCTCGACCACTCTCCTCTTCCTAGCCTCTTCCATTCCCCTAGCGTACGCGGCGTCGTGATCCTTCTGGTCCTGTTCCGCCTGTTCAAACTTGCGCGCCTTCTCGGCGGAAAGGATGCGCATCTTTTCCATCTTGGCCGCCAACTCATCCTCTGTCAACTTGGTCCGAGGGTTCGCTCCGGAGAGCAGACGCGTGCCCGAATCGGGTTGCGCGCCCGGGGTGGACGAGGGTGTCGAGGCACGTGGGGCCGTGGGAGGCGCTTCGGCGCTGGCGGGAGTCGCAGCGGAGGCATCTAAAGACGGGTCGCCGCCGCCGTAGGCTCCACGGCAGGAGCAGCGGCGGCCGGGGTTAGAGCGCTTGGGGTCGAGGAGCCTCCCCTGTCCTTCTTCTCTCGCGGCGGGGCGGGGAACGCGGTTTCTGCTCGGCGGGGGTCCTCTCTGGTGCTGGCGGGGAGGTCTCGGCGACGATCGATTGCTAGCGGCGGGACTCGCCGTGTTATGGCGGGATTGCGCAAGCGATTTCGGGGAGGCTGGTGGGCAGGCTTTGGCGGAGCGCGCTCCTTCTTCGCCTTGGGGGCTCGGCAACGGGCGGAGGGGCAGGCTCCGCCTCAGTAGTCGCGGGGGTGGTGGCTCTTGTTGGGGAGCGGCCGGTATTTCGGCGGTCGGTTGAGTTTCGGCGTTTACGGGCTCGAAGTCGTCATCGAAAAAGAGCGCGTCATCCGTGCGACCTCCAAATTGTTCCTCCATGGCGGGGTGACGTGACAGCTCGAATGCGCAGACAAGATGTACTGGCGGGGGCGGAAAAGAAAAAGGGCGCTCCTCGTATTTTGAACTGTCCAAATAGGGCCAAAAAGAAAAAGAAAAAGACAACCAGAAAAAGTTCTAAAGTGAGGTATATGGCTTGAAGGAGAAACCAAAAAAGATATATATGGCTTAATAGGTGGTTGGTTCAGACGACGCAAGAGCTCAAACGAGACCACAGTCCGAGGTGGCAGGCTGGGCTACACGACGGGAGATCTTCGATAACAAAGGCTCGAGGAGGGGCGGTTGAAATTGGAATGCAAGGTTGTTGGTGTGGGGTAAATACTGGGATTTCACCATTTCTGAGTGGCCACTTGAGCCAAGGAGCTGCTGCAAGTTGGTGATGACTCAGCCCTGCAAAAGGATGATTTTGGCTTGCACATGATGATAATAATCCCAACTTTGGATGGATCTATCACCCTTTTGATAGCAGCCAACGTCCTGGCGGTCTTCAAAATGAAAATAAATATTGGCCTACCCAAACCAGCCAAAGGCCTAACTACCCTAGATTCGAAGCTTGGATCAAGTCAAACTGAATTGTAACCTCCTGTACTGGGACTATTTAACCGATTGAATCCGTTCTTGATATACCCCACATCAATTCTCCCCCATATTGTTAGTTATGTAGTAACCCAGGATCGCTTCCACCACCGTTCTTATGCAAGCTCAGCCCACTACATACATCCACCCATAATGTTAGTGTCCGCAAAGAAAGATACCCTTCGGGGAAAGCTCACATTCTCGGGCGAGTTGGTAATTTCTTCAAATGCCTGGAGTGTTTCGAACCCCATCGCCTTTAGGGAATCGTACATGTCATCGAGGATCTAATCATCACGCGTCAGTAAGATTGAAGAAAAAAAGGCGTGCCACCTTTTCGCAGAAGTACTGACCCAGGTAAGTACGGCTACGGAGGCCTTCTTTTGGCTCTTGATCTGGCGAACACCCATGAGAGCCAAGCCCTGTAAGACTAAGAGCCCCTGAGGTGAGGGTGGCACCACGGGGCTAGGATGCCCCCGACAACCTCGGAGGCAGGAGATAGCAGAGGCGGAATGAATGTGGGCAACGGGTTCCCCTCTCGACAGATGACGACAGTGCCGAGGAGCTGGTCAATGGCATCCTTGGCCCGTACCACGCCACATTGTCTCGATAAAGCCTCCCTATACAGCTCGATGACCTCGGGGTTAGACTGTGAACCCACGTGAGAGAGAACAGTTTCAGCATTCTCGATCCCGTGGATGAGGTCGAAGCTTATGTTGGCTCGCTGGATGGATTGCAAAAGCCCCTCGGGTGCTGCCCAGGCCTCCAGGTCGTTGATAACTAGGTTAGTGAGGCGGCGAGGGAACTGAACATCCCATCCGCTGTTCGCGAACCAGTCCTTCACGGCGCTCCCCTCGTCAACAGGGATTCCGAGGAACACTCCAGGAAACACTGTCCCTAGCTGCATCTTCTTGACGTTTCGGTCCTGCACGAGGCTTCTCATGGCTCGCCTGTGGAGGGATCTACCAATTGAGAGACTCCGCTTATGCGGGTCCACAAAAATGGCACCCACGATCCCGACTGACCCCAGTCGATAGGTCGCCGCAAAACCGTAGAGCGCCCCGGTGCTGCTATTTCGCACGACAAAGTGTGCCTCTGTTATTCGAGGATTCCCGAGCTCGAACGAGGCAGCTGAGCTCGTTTTCAGATAAGCGTGATCTGGGGCAGATGCCAGGGCGAGACTCCGAATGAGTTCGTCCAGCGCACCCTCATCCCGCTGAACATCGTATTCTTCGACAAGCCAGTACTGCTTAGACTTGATGTTCCTCTTGCTCCTTCGCATAGTACCGGGCAAAGAGGCACGGGGGTGGTCTCCCACACAAAACTCGGACTAGAGCATACATCGCATTCTCGGTGTAGTCAAACGTGCACAAATACGTCGCGATCGACTTATCCAGGGAAAAGTCGTATGGTGAGCTTACAGAGACCACGATCAAGTTCTTTTTGGCCTCTGGAGCGTAAGATTGAGCACATCATGTCAACATGTTTTGTGAACCCCGTCTGGTATTGATTTCGTTTGGCGTCCGCGGTGACGATGATGACCGAGGATGCGCGATTTATAAGATTTTCGTGAACTGTTGGCTAGTTAGTAAGAGAAGAAACGTATATGATATTAGAGTTGATTGAAGAGGCGCTCGGTACATACCAGGTCTAACACCATGAGCGGTATAACTAGTATGGAGGAGTTTACCATGTCGAGCACGTGCGAGAGACCGGCCCAATTCTCGAAATACTTCCTCGCCGCTTAATATAGCCGTTCCTCGGTCCCGATGGACCCACGTATCGTGGTTCGTCGGGGCCGCTGATTGCGAGTTTTTCGACTCCAGGAGCGTCTTGGTAAGCTTCGTGGCGGGAAGGGGCTTGACTAGAGGGGTGAGCAGCAACAGCTCCTCGTCCTGTCGCATTGACGTGCTTAGGGTATAAGCTTCTCTTTGTCGCGCACAACAACGATGGAGTCGTCGTAGGCATGCCTAGAGAGCGCAGAGTGGGTCGGGTGAAGTTTGGACAGCAACGACGTGCCCGGAGGGTTCAGGGCCTTGGACCAGGACGTGCATTTTGCCTTCAACTTTTGCACCCTATCCAGGGAAGTGAAGAGACGCTGCTTGGTCACTATGCCGTTTTCAATTCCCAACTTCAGGCCCTGGATCGCCTCAAGCTGAACATCGTAAGCACGACACAACAGGATGAGATCGCAGCCGGCCTCGACGCCCATGACCACTCCGTTTTGAACACCTATCTCGTGGCTCAGGGACTCCATCTCGAGACACTCAGAGATAGCGACTCCTTGAAGCCCATCTCATTTCGCAGCAGGTCATCAACGACTTGGTCAGATAGGCAGGCGTGCTGGACGTTCATGGAGGGATTAGAGATCCTACAACCTCCCACGAAGACGGCATCCAGATTCCCGCTAGCAATGGCGTCTCGGAAGGGAACTAGAGCGCTAAGGCTAAGTTCCTCGAGAGTCTGTGTGATGACGGGCATATCCACACTCGACCCGCGGAAATCCAGGCTGCCATACGTCGGAAAGTGTTTGCCACATGATGCAGCACCTGCATCCTTGATGCCGTTCATGGCCATAATTCCGTACTGCGAGACCTCTTGGGGATCATCAGACGTAGCCCTACAAGCAATTGGCTGGTCACGCGTGTTCGACAAGACATCAAGGACGGGACCGAGCACGAGGTTGATACCGCATGCTGTGATCTCTGTGGCCGTCGCCTTGTTAACTTCATACGCCAGCTCCGGACGGCCGGCGGCGGCGACGCCCATCTGGCTAGGAAATTGGCAAATATAGTCCTCATCGAAAAGACTATTCACACCACCATTCTCCTGGTCCAAAGCGATAAGGAGGGGCTGGCGGTGCCCGGCCTCTTTGGCAATCGTCTGAAGCTCTTGGACAAGATTTGCCGTTTCGTGGGCAGCTAAGAGATGGGGATAAGGGGGTTAAATCAGAGCCACGACAAACGTGATCCCAAGCACCAATGATGGGAACGATAAGAGTGTCAAGGACCAACAGACGGTGCATCAGGGTCTGAGACACCAGGGAGCTCGAGGGAGAAGAGGGACGAATCAGGCGGAGGGACCCAAGGGGAGGAAGGAAAGAAGGGCCATTCTACGAACCGCAATTTACTCACTTTTAAGGTTTTTGGCTGTGAGAATAATGGAGCCGATATGGTGGTCTTGGATCAAGCTCCGAATTTGCGGCGTCACCTCCGTCCCATCCCACCCCATGATAAACAGCTGCCCAACTACCCTACACAGAGGGTCGAGATCCATTAGCACACTTTCTCAAGGCAAGCAGTGTCGCATTCAGTCGTCTCGCTTCGAATTCGAGCGGTTTCAATGCAGATATCATCACGCCGTATAGCCTTGCTACTGGGAACGGAAGGTCTTCAAGCGCGAGCGGCCTCGGCAAGAAGAGAGTCTAGTCACATACCTATCAAGGTCTTGCCATAGTGGGTCCATCACCAGGTCTGCAATGTTAGCCATGGTGGATCAATGGCTGCAGCTCTTGGCTGTAAGTAGGGCATCACTGGGTGGCCCGTCTCCCTATTTCCCGGAGCGCAATGGCAGGCGCAGTCGTCGCCTGCGTGCTTCGACAACGGATGGAGGAGCAGAGTGGGGAAGACGACGTGCTCTAGAGGGTGTGAAGGGGGAAATGGGGGCACCAGAGCGGCGGAAGAGCGTAATCGCGGGATGAGACATTCCAAGCTCTGGGGGAAGGAACGGGACCAACTGTGCAACTCTGCAAGGTAAGCCTGAGTAACGAGAATACATTGTTTGGCGTACCATGGGGCACACCGAGGTCAGCTCTTCCTGAAGTGGGGTCCCCATTTGTCTCCCAAATTCATCCTCGCAATGCGCCGGCTCTAGGCGCCGGCACATTCTCGGAAGTTGTGTGCAAACAAGCCAGTAGTGGAGTGGTACGGCACAAACCATCCATTTTGTCAACACCACCACCCCGCACGCCTACTCCACGATTTGCCCTTCGAGTAAAGGAATGTGGCCCCAAGAGGCTCTTTAGCTCCGCACCATCTTCCGTTGGAGCTAAACCGCAATCGTTTACATGCCTCAGCGCCACCATTTTTAATGCGACGTTACAGGACCCGACCCAAACTACCACGATGCTCGAGAATCGTCCTTGGGGTCCATGTTGGAGTGAAGCAGGGTGGTGCAACGATTCGAGAATGATACCATGATTGCTGCTCCAATGTCTCCTCCAAAAGTCCCGCTTCCCAGGAAATCGGGCTCTTGTTCTTCAACCGCTACGGTTCCCTTTTCGCCACCCCACCTTGTAGAGCCCCATGGCGCCGAATGCACGTGTAAGTGTGCTTAGGGGACCTTCAAATCTAAGGGCGTGCGACTAGCCTAGTGACGTAGAGACGCGATCCATCACGCCAACTGGTGAAGCAACTAGTTACGCAGCGCAACAGTTGCTTTGTCTTTCTTTAACGTATACTTTTTGTGCTCTGTTTCGGAATATGAAGGGAGAAAGAGAAGATTTTGGTTGTAAAGGCTTGAGAAACAGTGGCGCCTCACGTCACCTCGCAAGGGGTTCATGAATTCTCCACTCCGTACTACTTCGTTGAGACTTTCACCTAGCACCGAGCTGATGCCCCAACGCGGACTGGGAGGACCAAAGTTGAAGAAAGATAATGGTTATATACATACACAGACCTAGTTTGTCTTGTTGAGTGCAAAGATCGTGCCGAGTCAAGCCGAATGTGTTTGACATGACCCTACGCTCTCTAGACCGATATAGACCTCTGTTCACATACAGGTGAATTGCTTCTCAAGAATCCCCAATTATAGCCCACATCAGCGCTTTAATCGTACTCCCGAACCTTTTCCTGTACTAGCTGGACAGTCAAGTCCCTGCCTACTACCTAGCTGTTATTCTTCGCCCCGCTAACCGCCTATTTCACGGTGGTATAGCACGACATGCCCTCCGCAACTTTGGAGCCATGCAAGACAGGCATCGTAAAGTTCACGAACTGCCGTCTTCTCCGCGACAACTTGCTCACCAACGGCGATTTATGGGTGAGTTCAGTAACGGGCAAGATCGTCTCGAGCCAGACGTCTTTTTACGAGCATCTACTCGTTCCCGATGAAGTGATCGATCTCGGTGGCCGGATCCTGTCTCCGGGATTCATCGAGTGCCAACTGAATGGTGCCTACGGGTTCAACTTTTCCGCGAAGCCGCTGGACGGCTCTGACTACTCGGTGCACGTCAAGGCTTTGAATAAAAGCTTATCCAGACGGGGGTCACCTCATACGTTCCCACCATCACGAGTCAGGAGCCGGATCTTTATAAGGCGGTTAGTAGCCATGAGCCCGCCCTACTTCTTCACCCGAAATGACGGCCTGCTGACTTGATATCGCTTTCGTCAACATCTAGGTCCTCCCCCATCTCGGCCCGAGCGGAAACCTTCGAGTAGCAGATGACGGCGCCGAGTCTTTGGGTGCGCACGTTGAGGGACCGTTCCTCCATCCTCTAAAAAATGGTATCCACAACCCGAATGTGTTCAGGAAAGCCCAGTCCTTTAGCGACCTTGAAGAATGCTATGGACGAGAGAATCTAACGGCACCAAATCCCGGCGAGCAGGCCCGTGTTCGTATGATTACGGCGGCTCCTGAGTTGGGCAACATGACCGGTCTGATATCAGAAATCGTGGCGAGAGGCATCATCTTCTCTATTGGGCACACGGACGCGACATACGAGGAGGCATCGGCGGCAGTATCAGCAGGCGCCACCATGATAACCCACCTTTTCAATGCCATGAAGCCGCTCCACCATAGGAACCCGGGAGTATTCGGGGTACTTGGAAACCCTGATGGGTTAAAGAAGCCTTTCTTTGGGATTATTGCCGATGGCATTCACCTTCACCCCACCACAATTAAGATTGCGCTCAACGCACACCCTGCTGGTTTTATCTTGGTGACAGACGCCATGCATCTCATGGGCCTTCCGGACGGATCGTATCGATGGGCGAACGGCAATGACTTCAATAACATTGTAAAGAGTGGGACAAGACTGGTCATAGAGGGGTCGGACACTCTGGCTGGCAGGTAAGTAAGCACGCGGGTTAGCGCTCGCTATTTCCATGGCACAATTTCTTGAAAAGAATGGGGTGGGGGACGAAGGCTCGGCAGCAATACGTCAGTGATCACTAATAATAGTTGCTTGAACTAGTTCGATCACGCTCTTGGATTGCGTCAATAACGTTGTGGCTTGGACAGGCACGAGTGTTCCGGACGCCCTCCGCTCCGTGACATCAACGCCAGCTAGGATGTTGGGTTTGGAAGGGGTCAAGGGAGCCTTGAAGACGGTGCAGACGCCGATCTTGTCGTCTTAGCAGAGGATTTCACGGGTGGCGCACTGCAGCTTCGACTAGATGAGGTCTGGAAATTTGGAAAGAGGGTCTGGGGCTGAAGCACTCGTGCATCGTCGGATCGTTGAAGCGCATCGGGGCGGAACTCCTCAGCTTGTGCCGAGGTGGGTGTTGGGTAGTGGGTTCGAGACATGAGGAGAGGTAGGGCACGGTCGGCTTGAACCGATGGATCAGCGTCCGAATAAGGTCTCTGAGACCATTCTCTGGGGTTGAGTGTAGATGATACCCATTTCGTCGAGAATTAAGGTTTTGACAAGACAATGCATGCCGGCCAACAAATACATAGATCTATAGGTGGATTGATGTCGGGGATTATATATGTCGAGCCATAGTATGCACACGACACTTATCTTGACACGAATGCGCCCGAGAAAGAATTGATACACTAAACCGAATGGATCAATGACAAGCTCTTTCGTACGAAGTAGTAGAGCGGACAAGTAGAGACTTCTTCAAGCCCGTCATTGGAAGAGAGAAAAAACCGTTTGCACAAGAGGTGAACTCCGTCCACCCCTTGTCAGCCTTCTACACACTTGACATCAAGGGGGCACCAATCGATTTTGGCGGCGTTTTTGGTGGCTATCGAGTTCTCCACATTAGCTTCCACTAGCGGCCGGGGTTAGACCGAGAGAGCAGGGGTCTATGACCAGGGGGCGGTGCCAAGAGAGCCAGGGGCGCCGCCTTTAGCGTTGCTCAAAAGGTGGAGGTCGAGAAGAAGCGCACTTGAGAACAGGGGGCGGCACATGGCGTCGCGGGGTTTACCCTCGGCCAAATAATGTCCGATGACGAAGGATTGGATGAGCATCTCAATGCTCAATGGGGCCAATTTCTTCCCTCTTGCTTCCCACGCGTGCGCTTTTCACCCACAGAAGAGGGGGGAAGGGCTGCAGGGAAAGAAATCAAATAGTATCCGTGACCTGCGATGGAAATACCGAGGTAAGTGAGTTGGGGATAGAAGCCCAAAGCAGGCTTTTTATCCAACATCAAGAGAATATGTTCCCTCGCAAAGGAAGAGGGAAAGAGCGTGACAAAGAGCGATGATGCAGCGAAGTGCATGTGCTCTGTGTCCTCACTTCTCCTCGCCTGACAGGAAACGTACGGTTCTAATATGGAATCAAAGCTATGGGAAATTGGGAATCCCGCGTTTTTGATTCCCCTCTTCCCATCTTGATAGGCCAATGCATACCAGTCCCTTATCCCTATCTGTGCACATGGATATCAGCACTTCGTACATGCAAGGAAGGGAAATGCTGGATTTAACCTGGTGGAGGGGTTTCCTTGCCTTGAGATCTATCAATGTTGATTGCCTGGCATTTCCCCCGATCCGCTGCAAGGCAATCAGTTGGGACTTGGTGCTCAGGGCACAAAGTACAGACCCAAGTCGCTCAGCCGACTCCCTTCCCGCTCCCACTTCTGCATCAATGATCCTGGATCAATCCACTTGCGTTCAATGTTCACTCTGCCAGTGCCACTGTCTACCTTGCGCTAGTCTTTCCCCATACGATAGACGAACCACCAGACTCACCTTCCCTGGTCCGGTCTAATCTTCTGCGCATCTCCGCCCTACGTCGCACCTTTGATTCCTACCCACCAACCCCACCCTCAAGCCCATCGTTAACTCTCTTTCCCTTTCTGCTTCGATCTTTCCCTTCTCCCGACCCTCTTCTGAGCTCTTTCCCCTAACTTCCGCCCCTGTGAGATTCTCCTCCCTTATCTGTTGGGTTGGCCTTGTAGCTATAGGACCTTGACACGACCAAGTTCGGCGCAGTAGCAGTATTTCATCTTGGCCCCTCGTCAGTATCAGCAGGGAAGGAGAGAAAAAAAGAAGAAACAAGAAATCAAAATCTCACGCAGGATCACACACGACAGGGCGCAAGCACCAGCCAAAAACTTGACTGGAGGCGGAACTCGGACTCAAGTCTCGAAATACAATTGATGTGTTCGAAAGAGATCCCTTGTGCGAGCCGAGAAGCGTCAGCTCACTCATCGGACCCCAAAAAGGCGGCTGCTGATTACCCGCCTTCGCCTCGCTCTCCGCCACAATTCACCGTCCCATCCCGCAATCTTTTGTGGTCTCTCGGATTGCTCTCCACCGAGGTGCTTCATTGTATCTTCTTGTCGGCTTCGCCCTCTCTCCAGTTCTCATTCCGGGCAAATTCTTGAAGGCATCCAGCCCTGTTTGTCCGGAAAGTTCGCGAACGCAACGAAGCCCGGAGAGGGAAATTTGAATGAGGCTATAGGAGACAGGACCCAGCCAACCCCAACTCGGGCCAATTTAACCGTGGGCAAGCTCTCCTCGGACCAAATCCTCGCAAGTTGTTAGCAAAAAGGAATTGCGACCGGGAAAATAACAACTCTGTTTCTCGACCTACCTTGAACCTCGAGATACTCCAAAATCAGCCTCCTCCAGGCTACCTCCACGGAATGCCATGGAAACCTTTCACTCTATGCCAGGGATGCAACCTGGCACTGACAGCTCCTCAGCCGACCCCATGGGCTTGAGCTCTAACCAAGGCCTAGGCTTGGACGGGTTTGTCCCGGACATACCCTTTGACGATTACTCTCTGTAGGTGCCTTCTCTTGACTTGAACAGTTTCTACCCTCGCCGGCCATCCATGGGCCTAGACGGAACCAGTTTGACAAGATTTTGGGGTTTAAAGCTTGGTTGTGTGGAACGGGGACCACATCCGTGCCAGCTAAGCATTGCGAGGCATTTGATCAACGGGGAGCAATGGCTAACATTCAATTGCAGGGACCCTGTAAATGGAGGCATGAGCGCTTTGCCATTCTCCACCCCATATGATTTCGACAATTTCGCGACTTTTGAGGACCCTTTCTCCTACCCTGCCCGTCCGTACGAAGAAGCGGTGCCCGGTTCTGATAACTTGAATGAAACCTCGACCCCCGAACAGCTAGACCATAAATTGCTCGGCTTCTCGGCCCCTATCGTCAAAGCCCATCTAGTCGACGATGCGAACCAGTTCGCCGAGGTTTCTATGACTGCAGAGCTCTATGGCATGTTCTTTGTCGCCGAGGACGTTTTTGCCGGCGATAACACAGGCCGGCCTCTCGAGCTTACCTGCTACCGCCGCAATCTGTGGCAGTGCTCCGGCCAGATCACCGTGTCCAGGCCAGTCACCCAGGTGATAACTGAGCAAGGTTCCAGAGATTCTATCGCGGAGCTAGTTGCGAGCATCACAGCAATGGAGTCCATCGATGGCAAACCGACAGAAATCATATCAATACCGTGGAAAAGCGCCGCCGGCACTGAAGACAGCAAAGTACCCGGCTCGCCGCCTGCTGTGCCGCTAGATACGTCTAGTCTACTAGATGCAGAGACCGGGGCCCCAACCTCGTTTCCCTTTCATGGAAAAGGTTGCAGTTCAAGCATGCCACGGCGAACAATGGCCGAAGAAAGGGCCTACAGCAGCACTACGTGGTCCAGATCAATCTCCTCGCGAAGCTCAAATCGGGAGACCTGGTAAAGGTAGCCGAGGTCCAGTCTGGTCCTGTCATTGTGCGCGGGAGAAGCCCCGGAACTTTGACAGCCGACGCGACGTGCCGCTGATGAGCGATAAAAGGTGGAGAGGAAGAGCACCAATGCGAGTTCGAGCGACGCATCTGTGAAGGCGGAAAAGGAGCCACCTCTACAAACACTCAAGCGGTACCATTCGCAAGGGAATCTCCGCCCGGAAGACTGGCCGCAGCCATACACACTACCGAACCAAGGCCCCCACCCTCCAAGAAAATTGCGACTTCCCCAACCCGCAACGGCCCCCGATTCCCGCATGGTCTACTGAAGTTCATCCCGCACGAGCGCCAGCCGCCGGGGGCAGCAGGCAGAGCCGTAGCCTCGCTCGTGCAGAAAGCTGCGGGACGCCCGGCCTCTTCCGTTCCCCTTAGCTTATCGCTGTCAGAGGACGAACGAAGTCCGGGACGCGGCAGCACCGAAACAGCGAGCCCGAAAATACCCAAACCTTCCGGAGTGAGGCCCCAGAATCCGAGCCAGAGTCCGGTGGAGGAGGTAGACATGCTTTATGAATATTTTCCGCTTAGCGTGGACGACTGGTAAGTCTCCTTTTATAAGCCAGAATCCGACCCCGCCCGTCGCTAACCACATCATATTCTCGATGATACTAGGCTACCACCAGTGGAAGCGATTTACCGACCACACATCGTCCATCACACCATCATACCGCCCGAGGTAAAAGCGCAGCAGATACGGACGAAGAAGAAACTATACTTTTCGGCTGAGTGATACGGCCTCTCAAGGCCTGTAGCATGCACATGGGCAACGCCGAAGCGGCCCAAAAGCTATTCAACGACCCTAACGACACTATATGTTTTGATGTTCTCTCTGGTCCAGGATGAAGTCCTTGTGTATCATATGTTTCGATCTTTTCTTTTGTTTATGAAATGGCGATCCTTTTCTCGCCACTTATCACGGTCAGGGCAAAAAGCGGTTTAGTCTTGGCTGGGCGAGGCTTGTGGCTTATAAGCGATATGGCCGTGCCGCGTTCGCTGGCTCGATCATGCCCGAGTGCAGCTCTCGGGGAATATTCGAGAGAAGGTTGGTTGGTTGGGGGGGGGGGGGGGTGAAGAAAAGAAAGCGATACCCATGAAGTAATATTTCCTTTTTTCTTTTTCTTCAAGGAGAGGGTGTGTTATGTATTCTAGCACCCACTCATATTTCCCATGTAGGCAATTGAAGATTTTCAAGAGAATCTTACTTATTCGGAGTTTCGTGAGTTCCATTCCTCCCGGGAGACTCTGGTCAACTGGTCAATTATACAACGGACAAGTACTCCCACTTAAAGAGCGTTCCCCTCCTTGGTTAAAACGCCATGCCTCCAGAGATATCCATCTCACTTCGTCATCATCAACGATATTGAAACTTATCTTACACCATTTTCTGAAAAGGGCTTGTAGTAGTCAGTCTGCGAGTTCTCAGTATCGCTTGTACATGTAGTGCCTTTCTTCCAACCTCTTGAGTTTTCTTCTTTTTTTTTATTTCTTTTATGTATTTCTTTAAATCAAATAGAAACACATATGCGGTGTGAGGATTCCTTCCCGGTTACTTCGGTCTTTCCGCATAACCTCTAATTCTTCCTAGATTTCAATCCAATTTATTTTTCTTCTGGCGGTGTTGTCCATCCCGTTGAACGATGATAACCTTTGTCTTCCCACAAGGCCCACTTAGACTCTTGCTTTACCAACCCCAAGGTCTTCTCCTCTGTTTTATACAATCTGTAGACGGATCCTAATTTCTGTCTTGAGCGTCCCCTTGCACTTGTAGTCATATAATTACCGCACAATTTACAGGCCCATCTCATGAGCCTGGATTTGCATGTATACTGTATCTTCCGGGGTCTAAGTTGCTACCGGTTTCGGTGAGATGCTAAGGCGGGGAGAAAGCCGACCGGAGAATTGGCCACCGGGGATTCTTGAGGCCATGCGGTCGGGTATCAGCTCCATATCCGGGGAGGCTGACCGACGGAGGAATGGTGTAGAGATCTTAGCATCCTCTGCGGCTGCCTCTAATGTTACCGAAGGTGAACCTAACGGAGACGGATGGACAATGACTGGAAGGTCCATGGGTTCGAGTATTCCCGTACGGACGGAGATATCTTCTCCAGGGAGTTTAGGTGGATGGGGGTTCAGAGGCGAGGGGACAGACGCCCTCGATTCGATGCTCTTGAAGTACTATTCGCTTGTAAGCCTGCGACCGTCAAGCAACCGTAGGAAGGTAGGAGACTTTGTACTTACTTTGACAGTCTTAACCTGTAGCTCCATCGTGGCGTCTTCGTCGCAAACAATCATGGCGTTGGGGTGGAGTTGTAGGCACGAAAGCGTCCACATGTGGCTGACGCTCCCTCCACGCACCTTTGCAGTGCGATTGACTTTTACGACCAAAGATCACGGCCACGACCTCTGTAGCCTCGAGGACGGTTCCCACCCCAACGGTCAGAGCCAGCCTCGGCACCTTGGCAACGTCGCCGCCAAAGAAGCGCGCGTTGGCCCGGATAGTATCTTGCGTGAGAGTCTTCACGCGGGTGCGCGAAGATAAACTTGACGCGGGCTCATTAAATGCGATGTGTCCATCTTCGCCTACACCGGCGAGAAAAAGGTCGATGCCGCCGCGCTCGCGTATGAGAGACTCGAAACGGGCGCACTCGATGGCTAGAGACTCGGCGTTCCCGTTGAGGATGTGCACGTTTTGAGGGTAGATATCAATATGTGAAAAGAGGTTGGTCCACATGAACGTGTGGTAGCTCTCTGGGTGATCGCGTGGGAGGCCGACGTATTCATCCTGAAGAAGTCCAGCGTCAGATATGGTCAACAGTAGTTCTTGCCCGAGGTCGCCAACGTGATGGCGCTTACCATGTTAAAAGTCACAACATTTTTGAATGAAATCTAGGTCTTGCTTAGCCCTGCGTAACCAGGCACGGCAGTGCCCATGCGAGGGAAAGATGAGTGTTTGCGTACCTGCCCGGCCTTGTACTTTCTCACTAGAGCTTTATAGACACCTAGGGGACTAGAGCCCGTTGGCAGGCCGAGGACAAAAGGTCGATCCGGGCTAGGATCAAATTCCTTGACGCGTTCGACAATATAGCCTGCGACGTACTCGCTAGCGTCTAGGCTCTCATCTCGAATGATGACTCTCATTTTCTTTTTGATTTGGGGTGAACGCAGACGAGATATGGATGGATGTGGATGTAGGATAGGTCAGCAAGTCGTTGGCATTCCTTTGCAGTAGGGCCGCTGTGTTTTCTACGTGAAAGAGGCTCAACATATCAGTGAGAGACTGCCCACGACATGATAGGCTTGTCCTTATGAGCCATCTCTTCTCTCCGAAGAGCTAGTGAGGATCACGGTCCTAAACAAAAGGTCAGACAGATTAGACCTATGCTACACGGTGGCTACAGTCGGCTTCGAGGTTAGTTACCCCGTGGCCATTTTCAACGACCGTAGCAAAAGTGGAGGGGTCCAGCCAAGGATCGCGTTGTAGAGCACAAGGAGAGATGAGACGTATAGCGAGGTGTTAGGTGTTCAGCATGGAGGCGAATGAAACGTGACGAGTTGTGTAGATGGTGGAGTACTACCACTTGTCTTCCCATACCAACCCCACATCATAGGCTCCATGAGCATTCTCATACAGAGGGGTTTTGTGGCAGATGGGGTGAGGAGAAACGAGGACAGAGCAGAAGAGACAAGGTTACAGGACTCCTGCAAAGCGTCAAGGACCAAGGATCGCTAGTGCTCATGCCTGCTGTTCAGTTTGTTGAGCAAAATCAGGGATACGGACGGCTGCCCCAAAGAACCCTCGACCTCTCCTCTCCCACCCCCGAAGCACTTCATGTTGCACAAGCGAGTCTAGATGGGTCGGGGATTGCTCGGACAGGGAGGGAAAGCGACGCAGTATCCACGCACAACCTAAGGAGCCACCCTAGCTACAATGGTCAAGTTGACAAGACACGCTACAAGCCCGTCTAGTTCTTCACCTCCACCTAATGGCTTATGTAGAGAGTAGTCGCTAAGACGGGCACAGCGTGTACAAGTGTCATTCATTCTGGCTCGACGTGTCTTTTTCTGTCCGTCGGCAGTGGTGATTGTGATCGGGGGTTAATATCAAATCCCGCAACGAAGCGAGGATGGGTCAAGATCATCCGGTGTGCGCGGAGAGAAGGGGGCGATGCATGGCAGCCCCTTCGGGAAGTCTTCTAGAAACAGTGGAGCAGAACGGCCAACAGTTGAAATTGAAACGGGGATTTTTGCGCTGCCCGATCGCCGGCCGGGCCCATGTTAAATTGTCAGATAGGTTCAGGCGGCACGGCTATTATCCTCCTCTTTTTTTTTTTTTTTTTTTTTTTTTTTTTTTTGCATACTTTGTTTCTCATCGAAGTTGGGTGAGACTCTATTTCGCCGATTCTTTTTTTCCCTTGCTAGGATGGGAGGTGATGTGCAATCGAGATGACGGTGGCATCTCCCGAGTGCTTGAGTTCTCGGTACTCTCCAAGTGGCAGACGAGGCCTAGCCATTCTCATCCACAGGAGCGAGGCGCCAAGCGGCGGCGCGCCCCTGTTAATGCCCGTAACGTGTTGAAGTCTGCTTGTTTCAGCTGATCATGAGCTCTCACAGCATGACTATGCTGCTGAATAAGACACTAACTATTAGTTTCATTCGAGGTAGGTCAAGTTTTCGCTGAGGGCAGGTTGCAGCGGCAGACCCAGGACTGGCACCATCCATGCCGGAGCGGTTGGCGGGCTGGGTTACATGGACCCTTCCAGACCTGGTTGGGCTAGCCCAATGCCAACTGGTAGACCCCTGCTTTAACAAGACCGCTTGAGTTAGGGATGGCAATGACCTCAACGGCCTCAGACGATGTTGAAATCGCTCCCAACTCTTAGAATAACGGTCAGATGCGCCTGGAACAAAGGGAAGAACGAACCACGTCAACCCCTGGCGAGACGCAAGTATTACAGATCGTACATACGAGAGCAAAGCCAGTCATTGGATAGCCACGGTGGGGGCGCTCTGTCCCTCACTCCTACCCCAAGGGCGCTGTGGTTGACGATGCACTGCAAGGAGTCAGCAAGCTCGCGAGAACGTGACTGATTGATTGAGCCACCCGATAAAGCCATACTAATAATAAGCCAAGAGAGAGATCTCTGGATGGCGTGTACCAAGTATTACCGCAAGGAGATTTTATTGCTAGTTCCGAGGACCTGAGCTGTGCAGGCTGGAGAATGGAGGCTAAGTCTCCGCCGCGGCCGCTGCACGAAAGGCAACGTTACGTTACTTTGGGATTGATGGAGCTTTGTGACTGAACGGGGAATCAACCTCACCCTCATCCACTTTGACAAAATGAATACAGCCCGGCACCCAAAGTCAACACTGAAAGCCAACGAGTCTCCACCCACCATGGATCAAAAGATGCCAATTGGACGCCTCTATTTTTCTCAGAGTCTCGGGTGCCTTGAGGGCATCAATGGTCAATGAATCGCCCCCTTTCCCCAAGGTACATCGATCCGAGATGGCGGCTGGTGCCTTCGAGGAAGGGGTTCGATAGCGCTGGCTGTGAAGCTGGCCCTTCCAGACCGACCGATGTGTTCGGGGAGCTGCGGTGACAGTTCCACCTGCACTTGAAATGGCTTGTGTTTAGTGCACATTGACCTCGCCTGACCTTGGCTAACTCCCAGCAAATGAAGACAACATGAACTTCGTATCCCTCATTAGTTGACCCATCCACCATTTGCATGACCATTGAATTTCGAGGGAACCAGCGTTGACTGGGCCTCCTCTTTCTCGCTATCCTCCCTTTCCCTTCTGTCCTTCTGTCCTTCTCTCTGTGTGGACCCGCCCGCCCTATGCATCCACTCCCACTCGCGCTCTTCGCTCCTTTCGTCGATCGTTACTCCCCTGCTCCAGCCGAACCCCCAAAGGCGCCAAAGAGCACGAAACCAGCATTTAGGCCCCCTCCACCCCTCGCTGACCCCTCAACGAACCAATCGTTCCTTCTCTTCTCCCCCACCTCCCCCACCCCATTACCTCGACCTTTGGGAAAGCACGACTGTCTTGAGGGCAATGCGTATTATGGACAATTGATCGACGCGTGTAGCCGTTCCTGACTGATTTGACGCTTGGTGTCCACTCAGAAACCGAATGCATTGTTACTATTGCTACATTGGCGTCATCCACCCTCTTGGATTGATTGCGGTTGCCTCAGGTCTGGCCAGCGCAAGATGGCATGGTCACCTCCAGTTCTCCAAAGGCCCCCTGCCTTGCTCTGCCCTGGCTTGTCTGTCATGGACTCGATCAAATGTCCCGATGGGCCTATTTCATATTTCATATCCAGATGGATCAATCAATCCAGTTGATCCAATCGAGCTGGTCTGGCCCGGCCTCTTGTCTAGTCCTCCTCACCACCCTGTCACGTCGCAGCTGGTAACTTGTACTTGTAATTGAGGAGTTCGCTCTCCTCCTCCTCCTCCCCTCCGATTCAACTTGTATGAAGTAGTATAGCCCCTGGTTGATGTTAATACTGCCATCCTATTGATTGCCACATTGGCATTTTCTTTTGATGAATTGAACATCCATATCAATCTTTGGCCATCGGGTCTTCCCTCACAACCGTTTCCGCAGCGAAAGCAACATTGATGGACGCTTGATCATGTCTAGTCTAATCCAATGAGGCGCTTCGGCTTTTAGCGCGTCCTGTTTCTCGTCCCCCATCTCCATCGAGCTGATTTCAATGGTTCTTGCCCCGTCTTCTGCATTTGATCTCTCTTCTCCGGCCCGCATCTCAGTCGCTGAGGCTGATATTCTCGGACAGCGTTGATCTCGGGAGAAATCCCACCTTGGCACCCAGCTTCATCTTTCTCCCACACACTCTCGGGGCGAATCCTTCACCTCACTCGTGCCCCTCCCAATCCAATCCCCATCTGCCTCTGCAACCGCATCCACCAACAAGTTCACCGTCCTCCACTTTCGCTCTCGTCAATAAGTGGATGAACGGGAGTTACCACGCCCTGTCACGTATTATCCATTTTCCTTGACATTCCTGCGTCCCTCTGTTGTATTCCGCATCCTTCTCACCTTCTTTTGTTTTATTTCCCTCTCGTTCCCGCCTTTCCGCCGCCTTGGCCTGTTCCTCCATTGAATACGACTCCTATACGTTTTAGTTACTTTAGTCCGGTCTCCCTCTCACCACACCTCGCCTCCCTTTTCGAACCGCAGCAGACGTCCCCGTCCATATTCACCAAAGCAGAACATTCCCATCGTTCTCTGACAACAGCCTCCTGGGGTCCTTTTCGGTCACCTCTCCTTCCGACCCGCCGTCGTCACTCACTCTTGATTCATTCGCTTGCTCTTCCTATTTCTCCTGCTCCTGCATCACAGCTTGGTTTCCAAATCCGGGCACTGCCTTCGCGTATCCTTATTATCCCTATTGAACCGATCCGGCCATACGGACAACCCTCTTTTTTTGTGTGCCTGTGGAGGTGGGAGTAGCTGCTGTCCTCCTGTCACCAGATTCGCAATCGAAAGCAGACTAAGCCAACGTCTGTTCGTGAGCGAGGACTGGGCCAGCCTCATTCTGGACGCAGCTGTATTGTCTGTGAATCATATTCATATAATTCGGGCCTGTATAAATGTCACCAAGCCTGCGTCTCTTCAGCCGATTTACCCCCATTAATCCTCGAAAGTTCGAGGTCTTCACGATAGCCCCAAGGTCTCCGAGCTCGCCCTCTTTGCAACCCACCATCACCCCACCGCTTGTATTTACCACTCCTTTCGTCGGCCAATGACATGAAATCGGTCATTTCCTCAATGGCTATTCTTCCCAAGGCCTTTGTTTCTGCGATAGTGAGATCTATCTTACGCGGAAAGTCGTGGATCGCACTCCTCTTCGCCTTTTGGACCACTCCGTCCAAGTCCATCACCCCTCCAACCACCCCCGCCAGCAGCCTCCAGCGCCGCTCACTCGCCGATTTTCTCAAAGAAGCCGAGTATCTCATCCTCGGCCCCATCTCCCGCGATGAGGACTTGCTAAGGATAGCTGCGGGGCTCAAAGAGCAGTTTCAAACCGCCCTGACGAGTAGCGAGGTCTCCATGTTGCCGTCGTACAGCTACCGCTTGCCAAACGGCCAAGAGAAAGGCCAGTTCCTAGCACTCGACATGGGAGGGACGACTCTTAGGATTGCGCTTGTGGAACTCAGCGGACGAGAAGCGGATTCCAAAGTAGCCCCATGCAGGGTATTGCATGCCAACGTTCTCAAGGCGGACGACACTGTCAAGGACCTAGTGGGGATGGCTTTCTTCGAGTGGATGGCGGACATGATATCGGAAACAGTATCATCCCGCCTTGATAACGAGGCCGGAAAGCCCTTGCCAATTGCAGTCACCTGGAGTTTCCCCATCAAGTAAGTAAAATCCATCATTGTCGTTCTGCCGCTATGAAGAGAGCCTGCCCACTAACACAACCCCCTTCCGCAGTCAAAACAGCATCAAAAGTGGTGTTATCCATGACATGGGTAAAGGCTTCCACGCCGCCGACGGTCTCATCGGCCAAGACCTCGGTCAAGTCATCAAGACCGCATGCAAGAGCAAGGGTCTCGATGTGGAGCTGCAAGCCATCCTCAATGACTCCACTGCCTGTCTTCTTTCCCAGGCCTACGTTGACCCCTCGGCTCGCCTTGGTCTCATCCTAGGGACGGGATGCAACCTCGCCGCCTTTCTCCCCGTGTCCTCGATCCCCCGGCCCAAGTATTCAGGTCGTCCAGACTCCTGGTTTGACGAAGCGAGGCATGTTGTCGTGAACACAGAACTGGGCATGTACGGGAAGGACGTATTGCCCCTGACGAGATGGGATATGGAGCTGAAAAGGAACCACGAGAAACCCTGGTTCCAGCCCTTAGAACACATGGTCAGCGGCATGTACCTTGGCGAGTGCTGTAGAATCCCCTGGTGGAAGCCATCGAGACTACAGACTTGTTCGGGGGCGTCGTTCCCAAGGGCCTGCAAGCGCCCTACAGCCTACGCACGGAAACCCTAGCCCTTATTGCAGCGTAAGTCCCCCGTCTCCCTCTGGCTCAGGTCTCCCGTGGGAGACCAGATACAGGCGCGAGCTAATGCGTGTACCAGGGATCCGAGTCCGGGATTCGAAAACTCCTGCCCACTTTCAACGCGCTCTACCCTTCGGACGCCCCCGCCACCGCTGCTGACCTCCAAGCCATCGCCGCCATCGCCTCCCTCGTCACCCGGCGCTCTAGCGCCATCATCGCCACCTCCATCTTTGCCCTCTGGCAGCTTCGCAACGAATCCTCTATCCTCCACCGCGAAGTCCTCACCCTCCCAGATTCTCGCTCTGCTGATAGCGCTATCATCAAGGCCGAAGTTGAGCGCGAGGCCCTGCGGACAGCCGTCCCGTACAACGGCGCCGTCATTGAAAGCTACCCCGGCTATTTGGCCTTGTGTCAGACGTATATCGACAGACTCGCTAGCGACGTGGCGAGCATCCAGCTCGTAGAAGCGAGGGACAGCTCACTTCTTGGAGCGGCGGTCGCGGTTGCCTGCGAGGACCATAGATAGAAGGAAGTAAATGGACGGAACCATTTACTGTCAAACTAGTAACTAGTAGCTACTGTTTGCTCTTCCCCCTCGATGTCCGCTACGGGTATCTTTTTAGGGGGAAGGCGGGGCGGAGGGTTACCTTCATTTCATGAACGATACGTATAGATGGTGAAATATGATACCAGATATCCAGGCGACGTGCCGTAGATGGCTAGAGAGAAGTGGAAATGCCGGCCAGGACGATTAGGGGCGGCGATGGACGGTATCTACTGCATCATGGCAGACTCGGGAGGCAGGAATCAATCAACGAATGAATGGTTTGATAACGGATGAGGTGTATGCATGAGGGAGGGTTGTGGAGGCCGATGTGGATCAAATCACGCAGACAAGTTTTCAGTGGCTAGAACATTGTTGTGATATAAGTGATGCCGGCAGATCCTCTGCCTGGCTCGTCATATGTACACCGACTTCATCCTCCCGCTTCGCAATGGTTTGGTTCATGAAATCATCAATCTATCCCGCCTATGACTACATTTGTCATTTCGAAATCTCTAAGAAAAGAGTAGAAAAAAATTAAGGCAAATCAAGCAAAAGAAAAAGCATAAGAAGAAATACGAGAGAAGAATTCCACCCGGCTCTCGGCGGGGGCGGAAGTAATGCAAAAGACTTGTAGCGGGACAGCAACGGCCTAGGCTCACGCGGCGGCCTTTTCGGAGAGGGGCTGGACGATGGCACGGTTCTTGAACTTGGCGCGGTAGACCTGCTTGACGAACCAAGCGTTGATGATTTCCCACTCTTTGTCGGGTTCTTGGAGCTCAACCTATATCGTCATGTTAGGAATCATGGTACGAGGAAGGAAAATAATTTGGAGTTGAGCTGGAAAAAAAAAAAAAGAAAAAGCTTACCTCGAATCTCCTCAAGAAGCTAGGGACGAGCTTGTAAATCTCCAACAAGCTAATGTTCTTGCCAATGCACGTCCTGGACCCCATGCCAAACTGAACCATGGTGCCGTCCATAGTCTTAATCCTCTTCTCCTCCTCGGCGCGGTCGAAGCCGTCTCGGGGCAACCACCGCTCGGGACGGTACTCGTCGACATCATCGCCAAAGATTTCGGGACGGCGGTGGATGACCCAGGCGGAGCAGCCCACGATGGTGCCGCCCTTGACGAAGTGGCCGCCGATATCGACGCCGCCGGCGGGCTGATGCGCTCCATGGGCAGGCCGGGGGCGGGGTGCAGGCGGAAGGCCTCCTTGACGCAGGCGTCGAGGTACTGGAGCTTCTGGGCCTCGTGGAAGGTGACGAGACCGGAGGTGGTGTCGGAGAAGACGCCGTCCTTGGCGGCGTCGTCGATTTCCTTTGCAGCTTGATGAGCTTGGCGGGATCCTTGAGCAAGAAGTAGAAGACGGCGCCGAGGGAGATGGCGGTGGTTTCGGAGCCGGCAAAGGCCATGGACACGGCCATGGTTTGAACGAGGGTGTCGGTCATGAACTCGGGGCGGGCGTCGTGGGCGGCGAGGAACTTGGACAGCAGGTCGGGCTGCTGGGGCTTCTTAGAGGGAGGGTCTTGGCGTCGCTGACGGGGAGGATGGCGGTGGACTCGGCGGGCTTGCCGCCGGTGCCGAGCTCGGGGAGGCGCTCGGCCATGCGGTCGCGGGCGAAGCGGGCGACGGGGAAGGTGGAATCCAAGAGCCCCCACTGGGAGAGCTTGAGGTAGATGGGGTTCTTGAGGAAGAGGAGATCGAGGAAGGGGATCTGGCCAATGGGGGCGACGTAGAGGAAGAGCTTGCCGAGATAGTCGACGATGCCGTCAATGTCCTCGTTCTTCTCGATGAAGCCGTGCCTCTTGCTGTAGGTGATTTCGCCAATGACGTCAAAGGCGTAGAACTGGAGCCAGCGGGTAAAGTCGCAGCCCTCGGGGTTGTTGGCGAAGAGCTCCTCGGTCCTGTCGAGGAAGAGCTTGGTGGTGTTGTCGACAAAGGGCTCGTACTGGACGAGGGCGGACATGGCGAAGGCGGAGTTGACGCAGCGGCGGAACTGGGCGTGGAAGGTGTTGTCGGTGGTGCTGAAGAGGGAGGCGAGCCTGTGGCCCTTGACGACGCTCTGCTGGACAATGTAGAAATCGGACTTGATGAAGCCCTTGTTGAGGCCGTAGATGGCCTTGAGAGCCTTGGGGTTGGAGAAGGAGAGGGTGTTGGGGCCGAGGCGGACGACGTCTCCGTACTTGCGGTGCAGATCGATGTGGGTGATTTCGGGGCGGCGTCCGCGCACGTCGAAGAAGCGCCACCAGTTGGTCAGCGAGGCCAAAAGGGGCCGGGGTACTTGCTGAGGCCATTGTTGTAGCGGTTCTTGATGAGCCAGGCGACCGAGGTGAAGGCCGTGAGCGCGAGCCAGTGCTCCTTGACCACGTCGAGGATGGTTTCTGTGATGCCGTGCATAATGAGGGCAAGAGGGCAAGAGGGCAAGAGGGGCGTAAAAGTAGTTGAAGTGAGGAGAGGGGAGTGTGAGATGTCTTGTGACGGATGGTGAATCGTTACATCCAACAAAGGAGCAAAGAAGAAGAGAGGATGCCGCAAGTCTCAAAGACCCTGTTGAAGGGGTGCAATGAGAGAAACCGCGAGATGGGACTCGGGTCGTGTGGTCACCGAGGAGGTTAGGACAAGAGCTCTGAATCCCTTCACCTGGAGAGATTTGGGCTCGACCTCTCGAAGGGGGACTTTCCAAGTGACCAGGTGCAGGCGAGCACAGGTCAGGTACAAATGGACGAGTGCTGATAGGTTGGTTTGTCCCTTTTGGAGTGACTTGGGACTTTTAGTGCAAGCGGTCGTCGAGTTCCCTTATAATGCTTGCGCGCTGTCGGATCTATAAATGTCCTCTCTCTCTTTTGGTTTCTCTCTTTCGAGTCGAACCCACTTTGTGGCGTGTTGTCCGCGGAGGAGAGCGCGGCTACGGGAAGGGAATGTAAAGAGGAAAGGACGTGCCGCGATCCCTGTGCTCAACGCGTGATGGGGAAATACAGAGTCAAGGCCGTATGGGGTAGATGCCGAAGTGGCAGATATGAGAGGCCGCTTGGTGCAAGTGCGACACTCGGGACCTGGGGTGGCGAAACGGAGAAGGTAGGAGGTACTTTGCGTCTCCAAGGCCCCGGAAAGCTGTGAGAGGAACAAGGCACTTGCGGCTGGGAGGAAGAGTGAGGTAGATGTAACAGCACGGCGGGTCCCGTCTGCTGAGGAGGAAGCAAGATGGTGGGGGTGGTGGTAGAGCACGGAGTCGAGCTAAGGGACAAAGAGGTGTTGAACCTGGAGAGGCTTTCGTGCAAGGAAAGGCTGCAAGGGGAAGGGGGAGGGGGTGGACAGCAGGGGGAAGAGTGATGTTGTGAGGCAAGGAGAGGTAGGCGACGGCAGAAGCGAGGCTCCGTGAAAGCGTGAAAGCGATGGGTGAAGGACGGAGATAAAGTTAGATTAGTTTAGAGGCGTACGGTGATTCAAGCCTTCCGAAAGAAAAAGACAAGCACTTGTAAGACTTAGTCGGTGCTGCTTAGTTGACAGGGCCAGGCCGTGAACGTGGGTTGGAGTGCGAAAAGAGGCAAATGCTTAAGAGCATCGGATCTATATACGCGAGAGCATGTGGCTATTCATATCTTCAGAGACGACTGGCGTCTCGAGGACTTTGTAAGTCACTCTGTTTCCTTTTGGGAGGGTGCGTCGTGTTGGCCTTCACTTCCCGCGACTTTCATTGCCGTCCGACCAACAGACTGCCGAACCCTCCTCGGGCAATGCAGGGTTCCCCTCTAGGGTTTTGAGGGTGGGTGTATCTTTTTTTCTTTTTTTTTCTTTTCCTGTCTTTTTCTTTTTCCCTTTCCTTTCCTTTTGGGGGACGACTGATATACCTGGCTAACTCCACGCCATTTCCCGATTCGAGAGAAGGGGAAAGGAGAGGGACTTGCAAGTCCCCCTTCCGCAAGTGGCAGAAAAAGGGGGCAAGTTAAGCCATCGATGACGGTGTCCCGGGATGGCGCCAAACAAAATGTCCATATCCATCGAGCAATGGAGTCAAAGTGCGCCTCCAAGTGTGGCTCTTCCTAATTCCCGAGGGCGTAGGCGGCCCCACATACGCCATCGTGCCATGGGCCGGAGCCTGGGACTGGATCCTCCTGGTTTGGTTTGATTTCTGGGGTACAATAGGTTTTTGGGGTCCGCGGCACAGTCCCAGTCCTCGCGAGTGTCGTCCCGGGTCGACGGGATTCAGCGACCGAGGGGAAAAGCGTCAACGTGGAAGCGATATTGGGCGCAGGTTCCCGACAGGAGCCACCCCGAAACCGTATTGGACGACTTATAAGTTGCTCTAGAAAAGTTTCAAATCTCCATTCTGACGTCGTCACCGAACCCTCTCCCCGTCTTACGCCAAGGCAGAGCAACCAAAATCGCCGGTCTCTCCTCCACTTCCCTTCTCAGTCAAGAGGAGGTGGTGGGGAGCCGGAAGCCACCGCCGCAAAACCTCGAGTGCCTTGGTGGACTGGGTAGACTTAAATGATGCAACCTCTTCGGTGTGGGGAGGTGGAGGGGCCAGCTCCCCGTTTGACAAAACCCACTGGCATCGGCAAGTCGCTTTCTTCCTACTTGTCGACGAGCTTCTTCCTTTAGACCCGTCTCCCCGTCTCCCCCGTCCGCGGTCACGTCCCCTTCACCTACGGACGTGGGGCAGTGAAACCCAGGCACTGAATGAAGCCCACGGGCGGGAACGACCCCAACCAAACTGGCAACGAGGGCGACGACTGACAACCGTTACATCTAGCGAGGACCTGTCATCATTGCATATAATTGCAAGGGGGACGGGTGACTTTTTCCTTCTGTCCCTTTTTTCGGTTTCTCTTGAATCTGCCCAAAGCGGTCCCAATCGGACGGTAAAATCTAATACTTGGGCTGTCCCAAAGCTCCGTCGACGTACTTCGTATTATTGGTTGTACTCCAGTACCTTGTGGAGGGTGGCGGCGGCTATCCAAGGAAGACGGAAAGCCATCCATTCACCGCGGCGCGGCACTTGCTTTGACTAGGAGTCGGACAGGACAGCACCGCACGATCCATGCCGTGCTGTCCGAGGCCTGCGAGACCGATGGGACTAAGAAGAAAAAAAAAAAAAAAAGAGGCCCCATTAATATTCAGCTCGTTGCCCCTTGGCCATTGACAAACCGGCTTCGACTTGTGTTTGTCCAACACAACAAATGTGGTGCCGGGAGACCAAAATGGGTTTGGAGCGTCCTGACCATCAGTCCACATTCGAGAAATCTTTGGTACCAACGGGACTTGATTGCATCGCAAAAAAACACGGGCAGCTGGGTTTGCGAGTGTCGTGTGGTGCAGCTGACACTGAACGTGTGCCCAGGAAAGAATCCCGCCAGTGAACATTGAAGTGGGCTTGGGAAACATTGAAGACTGCCGAATGTGGCACCCTGCGCTAGAAACCTTCCCCACCAGCTTATCTCGGCAGATGGGTCGAGGCCAATTCCCCTCCCCTTCGCCCTTTCCCCTCCGCCTCGCCCTTCGCCTCATGCGCGCTCTCTCCTCGCATCCGCTGAGCGTGAGCTTTGAACCCTAGTTTGCCACGGCTTTGTGTCGCAGTTGATTGACGTCTCCCTGAAAGCAGAGTCCGCTTTTTCCCCAACCCCCATTACGACTCGGGATCTTCCTTCCCACCCTCGTGACAGGAGTCTTTTGGTATTATCGCTCCCGGAACAGAAAAACTTGGCCCAAAGGGCGAAATAGCATCTGCCGAAAGTCACCGCTCCCTCATAATCCCCTTTCCGGGACAAAATCCTCCCTCACCGCGAGCCACTTCCCCAATTTTTCTGGCCTTGCCCCCATTACCCCAATTGGAGAAAGGACCGGTCGTTGACGCTTGGGGTGAGTTTTCCGCAATCCTTTCTCGGCCATCGTTATTTGAATATCATCGCCCTTCTTCAACACATTGTGTGAGGTATGCTCGGCAGGCCTTTTTAGTCTACATAAAATTGGGAACTTATTGCCAAGTGCAAATGCGATTCTCACTAGAGCAGCTGAAAGTAAGGAGGCTTCTGTTTTTATCTTCTCCTTTTTCTCTGGGTTCATCTTCATCTTTTGGGCCCATCCATCCCCCGAGCGACAGAGAGACCCGATGTAGTCTTAAAAGAGCTCTGTAATAGCAAGCCGAGTTGCACAGACAAACCGATCTACTTACGTCGTTGCGGACGTTATAAACCCAACTCAAGGGTGACTTGCTATCATTATTATCACCTTGTAATGTCTACTACATGTATCTATCCATCGAGTGAGTGATCACAAACTAAATAAGAAAGAAGTCACTTACATGAACGAAACAAGAAAAACCGGGTGGATGAAAGGGAAAAAAAAAAAAGAGCGAAGGGGCCGTTCCGGGGATTGAACCCGGGGCCTCGCGCAATTGAGGAGAAAGGTCAACCAATGAAAGCCGCCATTTCCTAAACCCAAAGCGCGAATCATACCACTAGACCAAACGGCCGCTCGTTGGATAATCCGACCACTAGTTTCATACTATACACTAACCACGTCGCCGGGGAACGCAAAAGCGATTGTCGCAATTCCTTGCTCGACCTCTCGCCTCAGCCCGTAGCTTTTACACACTTTCAAGCAAGACAAACAAGCCTTTTGGTCTCGGGAAGAAGAAAGAATAAAAAAGAGATAGAAAAGGGAATAGCCGATTAATCAAGTCAAGTGAAGATGAGTTTTTATCAGAATAAAACATTTAAATTGATCAGATATTCCACAGTGCAAGTGGCAACAGCATCAACAAGAGGGTATCTCGAATCCCATCCAACCCTTAATCGTCCACGCAAAACAAAAACGCACTCAACTGCACTACACTTGGGATAGTTCGCCCTTTCCAAATCGGAAAAATAAAAGTACTAACTCCGGCCCGCAACTTCTTCGTGGAAGAGCGAGGAAAAGGCACAATAAAAAAGAAAAAGAAACAAGGATCAACACGGGCGAGCGGAGACATATTACAACAAGATAGGTACAACTAGAGGAAGAAGCTCCCGTCAATCCTCATCGCGGGACAGCTTATACTACCCCGCAAACGTTGTGGATTATAGTAAAGGTGAAGTCGGACTAAGCAGACTGTTTGATGTCCGTGATCGAGTTGAGCATCCTGTGTTACCTCGTTAGCGGACCCAGCCCACTCACCCTGACCGGTTGATCGAAGCCGTGACTTACTCTCGGTTACGCTCCCTAATGTCAGACTCGACCGAGTCCATCTGCTTGGCAGTTACTCTAGCTTTTGCCAGCTACAATCAAGTCAACAGACGACAACAGTTAGCCAACAAAAAATTCTTCACAAAGAGGCAGCGCCATCACCTTCTCCCCAAGGGAGGCTGCGCATCAAGAACGAAGCGTGAGGCAGGGGGCGCTCGCACCGAAGCTAATGCGGCAGATGAATAGTCATTTTCCTCACCTTCAGCCGCGGCGGTCTCGTTCTCGGCGTCGGCGTCAACCGTCTTGTCCTTTGGGGCCGCAGCCGCGTTGGCCTGCACAACGTGAGTTAGTCTAGCCGTCGGTGGGGCTTGGGGCTGTCTACTCTCGAGCATCGCTCCGGTCACGGAAAGCGGCAAGTGGGAAGCAAGAGTCATCACTTACCTTTGCCTCCGCAATTTCAGCATCCTTCACTTTGAGCAGCGCGTCGAGCTCATCAACCACCTTTTCCTTCTCCTCCACCTTCTTCTCGAGCGCCTCGAGCGACTCTTGGAGATCCTTGGTCTTCTTTTGTTCCGATTCGATGAGCTCCGTCATCGCGTGGTGCATCTCTTCGTAGTCGGCCCTGGCCAACTTGGTTTTGGCGTCCGTATCGAGCCTTTGCGCCTCCAATTCCTTCTCAGCCACCTCAACGTCGAGCTTGAGGTTGGAGAGCTCTCCTGGACGGCTGCAAGCTGGGTTTCGTGCGCCTCCTTCTGGGATTGAAGAGTTTCCTTGAGGGCGTCAAGTTCCGAGGTGTCGGGCTTCACGTTGCGGGACGCGTCGAGGTCAGCCTGGGCAACGGCACGTTCCATCTTCTCATGCGCTAGCTGCTGGCCGAGGTCCTCCGCGTCGGCTTGAACCTTGCTCAGAGTTTCCTTCACAGTCTCAAGCTCCTGAGCAGCGGCCTAGGAGATTTTTACCTCATGTTAGCAAATCATCCACAGGAAATAGCAGCTGTTCCAGCACGATTCTTCACGTCTAGGGTTCAGTTGTCGTCGTCCTACATGATGCTTACCTGATACTTGGTGCTCTCGCTCGTGAGAGCAGCGAGCCTATTCTCGTGCTCGGCCGTCAGCTCGTCGAGGGTCTTCGCTTGCGTCTCCTTGAGCAGGGCAATGGTCTCAGCCTGGGACGCAGCATCCTCCGCCGACTGCTTCTTCAAAGCTTCTATCGCTTCCGCGTTGAGCGAAATGAGCTTCTCCACTTCCACTGCGTGCGACGATTCAAGCTCCTGCTTGGCAGCTTCTAGAGCGGACGCAAGATCGGCCTGGGCCTTCTCAACCTCCGCCTTGGCCTCCGAGAGGTCCTTCTTTAGGCTCTCGATTTCAGCGCCATGCGCACTGGCTCCAGACTCAGCTCGGGCCACAGCAGCCTCGAGATCAGCCTTGAGGCTCTCAATCTCAGCGCTGTGCGCACCCGCGCTCGCCTCAACCTGGGATTGGGCAGCAAGGATCTGAGCCTGGGCCGCTTCGGCATCTGCTTGGGCAGCCTCAAGGTCCTTCATCAGCTTCTCGATAGTGGCTGTCTGAGCGCTTGTGCTAGCTGCAGCATCGGCTTGGGCTTCGCTGAGAGCCTGCTTGAGCTGCTCAACTTCAGCCGCATGGGCGCTGTCGCCGGTTTCCCTGGTTTTGGCAAGCTCCTGCTCATGGGTAGCAACGAGGTCTTGCTTCTCTGCGTCGCTCGCCTTCTTCAGCTCCTCAAGAATCGCGGCATGCGAAGTGGCAAGAGCGTCGAGCTCCTTTGCGAGAGCGGCCTCGCTTTCCGTCTTGAGAACGTCAATTTGCTTGGCGTGGCTCTCCTTCAATTCGCCCATGGTAGTCTCAAGGGCCCCTTCGGCGGTATGACGGGCACCGTGGAGCTCCTCGGCGTGGCTTGCTTGGAGAGCAGCAAGATCCTTTTGGAACTCCTCTTCACGCACCTTGAGAGCGGCTACTGCGGCCTCGTGTTCCTTTGTCGCGGCTTCAAGGGCTTGCTTGTGGCTCTCCGCGGCGGTGGCGTGGGAGTCAGTGAGCTCGTTATGCTTCACCTCGAGTTCCTGGAATTTGCGCTTGAAGAAGGCGTCGCCCCTCAGGCTCTCAATCTCATCCTCGTAATCCTGAGAAACCTGCTTCAGCTGTTCTTCATGCTTCCTCATAACTTCCTTGAGATTCTCGTCCTTTGCGCTAACTTCTTGTTGGGCGGTAGCAGCCTTCTCCTCCCAGGCCGCAAGCTTCTCGTTGGACGCATCCAGCTCAACCTTGACGGCGCTGAGTTGTGCTTCAAGCTCGGACAGCTTTGCCTTTGATTCCTCGAGCTCCGCAGCCTTTGCTTCAAGCTCAGCCTCGGCCGCCTGGGAAGCTTTTCCAGCATCTTCCACCTTGGTGGAGAGCTCGGACACCTGGGCCTCGAGGGTAGCAACCTTGGTAGAGTGTTCTTCGGCGGAGGCTGCGGCGCTAGCGGTGTGGTTGGCTTCAAGGCTAGCTTGAGACGCGGTGAGCTCGTCGACCTTTGCTGAAGCTCGGCGAGGGCGGATTCGTGCCCAGCCTTTAGAGCAGCAACAACCTGTGCACTGTCGGAGGAATCAGCAGAGAGCTTCTCCAGCTCCGTAGCATGCTGTGCCTGCAGGGCCTGGATGGCACTAGAATGCTCTTCCACAATCTTGTTGAGGGCGGCCTCGGACTCGCTCAACTTCTCAGCGTGCGCCGCCTCCAAAGCGTCGATGCTCTGCTTTAGGGAAGCAAGTTCGGCTTCGGCAGCCTCCTTGGCGGCAACAAGGTCAGAGTACTGCACCTTCTGCTCTTCGAGGCTAGCTTCGGCGGTCTGGAGCTTCTCGTTCGCAGCCGCGACCTGGCCTTCGAGATCCGCGATGGCGCTCTCGTGCTCCGCCTTGAGCTCGGAGATGTGATCCGCATGCTGGCTTCGAATCGTTTCCTCGGCTGTCTTTACACCGGCTTCATCAGCCTGCACCTGCTGGCCAAGTTCGTTGACCTTGTCTTCGGCAGTCTGGACCTGGGCTTTGAGGGATTCAATTTCCGACTCCTTTTCAGCCAACTTGGCCTTAAGGCCTTCGAGCTCCTCAGCAGAGGCACCGGCAACGGACTTGGCGGCGGAGGAACCAACAGCGCTGGTACCACTGGCGATGGAGAGCCTCTTTCTCGCTTCAGCAACGACCCCGGTGGCAGCGGGACGCGTTCTGGTGGCGGAGGCGGTCCCAGCAGCCGCCGGAGCGCCAGAGGCAGCTGTTCTTGTAGAAGTCGTGCCGGCAGCGGATCTTGGTGACGCAGAAGCAGTCCCTGTCGCGGCGCGTCTTGCGGTGCTCGCAGCGGAGGGAGCAGTGGCAGTACCAGTCCCGGGCTTTCGCTCGGCTGTCCTCGCTGGGGAAGCCGAGCTTACGGCACCAGAGACGGCCGAGGTGCGACGGGCGCTAGAAGCCAAAGTGCGCTTCTTGCTCTCATCCTCCGACGCAGAGATAGAAGGGCGGGAGCGGTGAGTCGCGATAGAACTAGAGGTTGTCGGTCGACGGACAGAAGAGGAGACGGGGGACGAGTGGGAGGCTTGCTAAGACCGCCCGCAGCCCGAGCGGTCGCGGAAGCTGTGGGCTTGGCGGCAGCCGATGCGCCGGTAACGGGGCGGCGAACACCGGTGGTAGTCTTGGAAGCGGTGCCCGTTGTGGGTGTCGTCTTGGGCTTGGTCGTTCCGTTCGTCGTGGAAGGTGGCGACGAGGGGGCCGGGCTGGATTCGGTAGGAACAGGGCCAGCGGGGGCAGCTTCGTCGTGGGAAACGACTTCGAAACTCTCGTTGTCGGCCATGATGTTCTATCGGAAATACAAGACTTGCGCGAGATGCTAATTATAAGTTGGTCGGAAACACGAGGTGGGAAAACGGAGCACCAGAAAGAAAAACAGGGTAGGACTATGAGGAGGATGCTGGGTCAGCTAAGCCATGTTCCTCGGATGCGTTCTTTGCCACGTAAGAGGACATACGATGCGAATTGAGTGACGAAAACTTCTAGCAGCAAAAGCAGCGACAGATTAAGATAACCGGAACAGTTCCAAAAGCACCGTTCGGTTCAGAATCGAAAGATTGATGGTTGAGGGCAGACCTTGACAACTCAACGCTCGGGTGCGGATACGCGAGATACAAAGGAGGGTCGGGACAGTCGTGCAAGGCAGAGAAAAAAAGGCTCCTGGGTGGAGCTCTCAGTGGGACGAATGCTCGTCGGATTCGGCGGGTATACGACAATGAGCCGCTTGAAAGAATGATTTCTAGTGAAACTTCTTTGTTTATCGTCGCAAAGTTTTTGGTTTCTTCTCGGTCCTCGACAAAAGGAAGGTTTCAGAGGAGAAGTGGTGGGATAAGGGGAAGGGTTCAAAAATTTGTCTAATATTCCGGGCCGAGCAACCAAGGGATCAATGTCACCAGGGACGCGAAGGGGGAAAGGGGACACAGGAGAAAGAAGAGAAAAAAGGGCCATTGGGCAGTGCGCCAAAGAGAGGTTCCGAGATTAGCACATTCAAGGTTGCGGATTGGCAGCTGGCCGTATTGAGCCTAGCACAGGTCCCCAGCACCCACTCAAGCCACTTTGGACAAACCAGGGGTAGCACATCCTAGCACATCCTAGCACAGTGGTAATCACGGCTTGCCTCAGTACGAATAAAATACTTGTCCACGAGTTGATTGATTCGCTTCGCTTCACCAAGCCTTTTCACTGGCCCGCCAAGGTAGAGTACATTTTTCGACGACTTGCTGTTCTGATGCATCACCATGCTTAGCCTTCACTCCTCCTGCCTAAGGCGCGCACATGGGAACAACGTCACGGTCCACGGGATCAGAGATCAGGCAATCACGGTTTGCGTGGAGAATGTGAAAAGCCCACAAATTATGGCGAGCCCAAATGTGCCCAAAAGACAGCTCTGGAACAAGACCAGATGTGCAGAGGCCTCGCTGCCCGAAAGGGTCTGGATGTTCTCAGACACTCCAACGTCCAATGAAGCGACGCTCCAGCCCAAGCACCCCAAAGGCTTTCTTCCCTCCGTCACTGAAAAGGAAAAGGGAGTGGACGTGCCTCCTATTTCGTCCCATGTGCACTGAATTACGTTACGTCCATGTCCGAAGTACAGTACTTTGGCAAGTCCATCATGTCCCCCTTCACCCCACTGCAGCGTGGGGACCCCATGCAGCTCTGTAATTGGGCACAAAGAGGTCTGCGCTTTCCTTCCCGAGGGAAACGCGAAACCCATGCGCGTCAAGGTCAAGGCTTACTCCCAGCAAGCAATCAATTTGGCTGCCCAAAAGGAGAGCACTGCAAAAGCCAAGACCAAGAGCCAGAGGGCAAAAAAAAAAAAAAAGAGAGCAACAGGAAGGAAAAGAAGAAGAAAGAAAAAGACAAAACGAGAAAAGAAAGGGGCCGTGGAGAAGGGATCAATACGGACCCTGAACGAATGGTGGCGCTCTCATTGACTACACACCATCAAACGCCCCCTTTCAACTTTTAGCTTTAACACAAAAGCATGGCGCATAATCCACTGCTCGAGACGATGCCTACCTCTGACACGGTCGAAAACGCTGCCGTGCGGGTCAGAGATGCCAGAAGGAATCCAAAGGCGCAGGATAGCTTTTAAAGCAACGGAGATCCGGATCTTCGCTTGGTCCATGCTTTGTGAGAGCTGGCTCCGGGAAACCCTCGTTGCCGACACGCTCCCCGAACCAGAGTTTACCGCTGGCCTCTCTCCACTCCGCTCCACTCAATGTCGACACTCTCCATGTGGGTATTACTTCGTTGTACCATGGCAAATTGAAACGGCCGTCGCCTTGATACCCATGGTCCATCACGGGATATCTCACGGTATTATAGACCTTGTGAAACTTGGGAAGGATGCCAGCTAGAGGCAGTACGTCGCACATCAATGGATCCAACCCTTGAGTGACCCGTGGCACCCAAGGCACCGAAACAAAAGAGCTAGGCTAGTGCGTCGTGGAAATGGAGCGCCCCCACCAGCACGTGCGAGGTTGAGAAATCATCAAGCTCTGTGATTATTCTCCTTTTCTTCCGTTGACGTTCCCTTGCCATGTCCGACGGACTCTCCAGCGGGGCTACCGCACGCCACACCGTTCCCAGGAAATGACGTGAGACCCACAGGATAAATCCAGCCAGCTTGCTCCACGTCCAGTGATTGAAGGCTGAAGGGAGGCTTTTCAAGGCGATTTTTGAGGCGATGGCAAACCTCTACTTTAGCATCATTACAGCCTGATATGTCCTGTGCTGTTGACGAACTTGACGAGACCACCTCATTATGGAGACACCAGCCCAAGAAATGTTTCAGGCAGGAGGGGGTTGAGGATACTAAGTCCTAGAGAAAGAATAACCTTTGACTAGGATTCACATCTTCCGTGTCTATCCGCCACTAAGTACGCACTTCTTCAAGCGTCTCCACGCTGACTCAATTAAAACCAATGTTGCAGCTCCTACCGTGGTGGGATTCTCAGCTGAGGGAAGAAGAGGGACGAAGGAAAGCGAGCCTCGATCTCGAATCGATGTCAATGACGAGAGGGCTTATCGAACGCCTTTGCCCATGAATTCTCACACTGTATCTCCCCCTGAAAAATGAGGCTGGATGGTATTCATAGATGTCGAAGTGACCTGGCGCTGTCGTTGTACTATTACCTGTATTATTAAACGTGCCGTCTGCAGCCCTATGCATGCCGGCTTGCCCAAGTCTCCATGATGCCCTCACCATGAACTCCACGAAAGAGCACTCCTTTACCACTCTTTCGATTCCCATTACAAGATTTTTCCATCCCTTTCCTCACCCATATTAGCACATCCAACCACTAACCTTGAGGTTGCGTTTCTGGCAGATTTCCTCGCAATAACCTTGAGCGTGGAGATCCGATGTCTAAGCTCCGCCTCGTCCCGGCCAAGCTTTTCCCCAAGTTTCCTAACTTCCATGCGCCGTCCGGCCCTGAGATGTGCCATGATAGCAGAGTCTTCCTCTTCTGACCAGGTCGTGTCCGCGCCAAGATACGCTGCGATGTGCCGCCGCAGTTCGGGAGAGCTTAGAGAGTCACCATTACCGCCCGTTTCCAGACGGGCGGCAGGGGCGATACCCAAAGGGGTCACGGCTGTAACCGCCGTCGCGGATGACGCTCCAGGGGATAGTAGGCTAGAGTTGGGCGTTTTCCCCAAAGGCGTCTTCTCCATCGGTGTATGCGTGTGCCTGTTTGTTCGTTCAATTCTAGCCGCCTTTTCTCTCATCTGAGCCTTTCTGTCGACCCGTCTTAGGGATGTGGCTAGCTGCCGGGTACTCGATATCGAGCTATCCTTAGAGGATCGGTCGCTTATTGACTCGGCCCCTGGTCGGACTGCTGACACACCGTTACTGGGTGTCATCGCGCTCTGCTTTGCTGTCCTCGCCGGGCCACCCGATCCACTCGCGGCTTGCCCTCTCGCAACTCCACCTCCACCCCGGGGTGCGTCCTCTTCGTGGCGAAGCTTTGATGGGTGCCCGCCTGAGTCTCGTGTGCTTCTTTCCTTGACTTGTGACCCTCGAATAGGCTCGCGAACCAAGCGCTCTTGGGACGCGACCGCCTTCATCGCGCCAGATAGTCTCTCAATGAACTTCTCTGCCATGACTGTTAGCTCTTGCCTGTGGCCGGCAGCGGCCTCAAAATGCTCATCATCCGATTCTGCACTTTGTGCACCCCATCGCCATCCACGGGGGCACGATTCAATGTGACAACCCAGGTTGAAACCTTGATGAGAATGCTCAGTGTGGAAATCGTAAACGTCCCTGTTGCGGTCTCGGGATCTAGGGCTATATCCACCACGGCCCTCATGATAGCAATGCACATTGGTATGCATAACCGGCGGCTCTCTTTTCTTCTCAAGAATGCAGTTTGCTCATCATAACACCTTTGGATCTTCCACATCGCATCATCAACTTCATCAAAGGCGCGTTGGTAGTAGTCTCTACACGCCTGGATGTGCATGGTTTGTTCGCGAAGCCGAGGATAACGGGGCACATGGTCGGCAAAGTTCCGCCGTATATATCTCAGATACTTCCAGAGATGCTTGCCCACTTGCGTTTGTGGGCAGCCTGCAAGGACAGCCGTCAACCAATCTCCATCCCCCATGAGCGCCTCAATGTGGCCCATACAAGCGACAGAGAAGGCGACCGTACTTTGCTTTTCCGGATCCTCGAGTATATCGAATACAGGGGGACCTCTTTTGGACCTTTCGTTTGGTCCCGGGAAAGAGGCATTGGTTGCCTCCGGGCTGATCCCACGATTCGTCCTACGCCCCATGAGCAACACTTTCGAGGGCGACTCAGTACCGACTCCGTCTTCACGCATTCTCTGGGAAGGGTTCCTTGGCGCTTCATTGTCGGATGATGGGGTGAGCCGGGAACTTCGATACATTGTGAGCTGTATAACTGCGGCTGAGGGCTGGTGCCGCTCGACCCTTCAGGTCGCGCCCTCCCATCTTGAACCGTGAACCTCGAGCAACGCGATAGAGAGATGTGAGATGGAGGCGACACTTGAATAAAGACAAGAAGCGAAAATAGTCACCAACACCCCACGGATGAGGTGTCCCGGCCTCCTGTGCGAGGCCTCTTGCTGCTTGCTTCTTTGATGGCCTGCACCACTGTCCGTTGTTCTTGCGAGCGACAAACGCAAATAGCAGAACTCTATCTCACTCCACGTGGTACGTGTTAAGCCCTATGTTCGGAGAAAGTTTGAAAGGGAGCACCCTCCACTATGGCCCTGGGAGAATACTGGGGGCCGGCCAAAATTGTTCTCAGTACAGATACGCCTTTTTCTTTTTTTTTTTCTCCCACCTTCATAAGCCTGTGGAATGAAGGACATGAGTCGCCTCGCACTGTCACGAAGTGTGATACTCCGAGACAAATCGTCCATTTGCGAAATTTCCAGTGTCTTCGCACTGTACATACACCCACACTCGGAAGGTACGACCCACTATTTTGACTCTGAGGTCGACGACGACGATGAGCATAAGGAAGTCGCAAGGGCGCAAGGTGCCCAGCTCTATTTCTTCGTGGACATCCAATATAAAGCATTGATCGATTCATTTTTACAATAGAAACTAATACGTAGCGCATACATCTATGTTAAACTGAAAGAATTCTCAAAGAAGCAAACCCACATCAGCATCGACCTCTCGATTCATTGCCTATTTCCAAGAGCTCGCTGCCTCGAACAGTTGGCCGAAGTCACAACATTCAAGTCCAGGAAAGAAATATTATTGTACTATCTAACACCATCAATACGTTGACTAACGCTCTAGTCTATATGCCTTGATGTTTCTCGCAATCGAAGACCAAAGAGTCCAAACCCCTCTCAGCGTATAAGCTCGTCGTAGCCAAGTCTGGACATCATAACTAGATTTCAAGATCCACTTCCCTCCAACCCGCGCCCGCACCTTTCCTTCAAAGGAAAAATAAAGAAAGAAACATGGCCTACTCAAGCTTCGCAAGGCGCATCATCGCCGGACAGCACCGCCGTAAAGCTATGCCACCCGCCCCTCTATCCTCGCTCGCCGTTGAAGAGCTACTGCTCGTCTTCTGCATACTCAGCGTCGAGAGCATCACAAAGCCAAAGCCTCCCAGCAAGAGCCCCGCCGCATGTATCAAGAGAAGGCTGAAACTAAGATGGCGCCGTGGGAGAGGCGAGCTTGTGTCTCCGCTCGCGACACAACCTACCGTTAACGCAAAAGGTGTTGCTGGCATTGACGTGGCGTAAGGCAGAGCGCTCAAATTGACACTGATCATCGGCAAACTAAAATTTGATACTTTAGGTCATTGGTGCAGCAATTGATAAAGGCTGGACGTACGACACCGGATCTTGGCGCCCAGAAGGAACCCGAGGCTTCGACCGAAGAACTTAGTACCAGCACCCACAGTAAGACGGTCTGAGAACCCTTGTGGCACTTCTTTTACAGCTAGGTATGCTCGTGGGGATGACCAGGATCTTCGAGCAAGCGGTATCTAATGATATATGAAGCTTAGAGCTGACAAGGACCTCGGTTTTAGGGTACTCGCCGCCTTTTCTTCTTCCTATATTCATAGGGGAATTTCATCTACATAAGGAAACTAGAGTGGGCGCTCGTAAACGTACGGCGCGGCGGCTATTCCAGCCTTAGTATACAAAGATGCGTATCGTTTCAATCATGCCAACAACCATGGAAGTCTCCAGGATTCTCAGATGCCCCACAAACAGGGAGAAAACGCCGATAATGATAAGAGCAGATGGTTTCCATCTTAAGAGAACAAACATATAAGGGAAAAAACAACAAATAAGACGTCCTGTCGAGGAGAATGATGAGGGCGAGGTAACGAAGCGTGATTCCAGCACGCCTTCCGCATCTCCTTGAGATGCCTGCCCCACGTCGTATAAAGGTATTTAATGTATTGGCTCCGCCATCTTGAAGCCCAGTGCCCTCTTGATCTTGGTATATAGCTTGATCTTGGCTGGCGGCTCCACGTAACCCTCAGCAAAACTGTCCGAGTTGGCTAACTTCCTCTTCTCAGGCTGTGCCGACATCCTCCGCCTCATAAACGCAGCTCCGGTTGAAGAGGCCCTTTTCAGCTCGCTCGCCGGAATGGAGGGCTGAGAAGAAGGGGTTTGGCAGGGATGGACACTGCCGGCGAAGAAGGGATCGAGGTGGGTTGGTAGGTGCTACTGGACTGGCATGGGGCGCTGAGGATCGACGGCGAACCAGAAACTCTGCGAGAGCGAACGGACCCGTTCACCGAGACGCTCGTGGTCGATGGTGAGCCTAGGCTTGAATACGCCCTGGCCGGCTTTGATCCTAGAAGCTGAAGGGATATCCAAATAGCGGAGACGGTCATGAATATGCGGGTTTGATGGTCCACCGGTAAAACGGCTCGCTCCGATGTCCGCATGTCGTAAGGGATGGGCGAGGCTCCATTTGCGTCGAATGAGAAAGGCCTCGTAGGGGGTGCCGGCCAGCCGAGTTGGGCGATACGGTAGTGTACTGGTTGAGCACTTCCAGCGTCGACTGTGTTAGTGTGCCCAAGATGGGGTGCCGTCTTGTTGCGCGGTCAATGAGGCTAAAGGTGTACTTGTAATGCTCTTCATCTTCAAACGCGATTTTTCTCTTGACCCAGCGAGCGATGACAGTGTGGCCGTCCTCGTTAATATTGTGGAATTCGTACGAGGCATTGGGCATTTGATATGCCGTCCATATGGACCCGTCGGCAAGAACGATATCTGTGCCGCCTTCGGGGGCTATGCGAGGGCTTATGACTGCCAGCAGTTCGCGATTGCTCAGTGGATCATGGTCATCAACGGGCGTTAGGGAGTCGTAGTCCTCGCTCTCCGCGACGATGAGATCGTTGGGCCCTAAGTGGGCACCCCGGCCCAGAAGCCTGGGAAAACGATTCATCATACTCGAGGATCCGAGTAGGGAGCCCCGGAGAACGTTGCTGGATAGGACATCAAATGCGGGTTTGGGGCGAACGTCTGTAAACTGCTGAAGCTGAAGGAGAAGCTTGGGCCGCGCATGAATGAAGCGACGATGCTTCGGGGTAGGCGGTTGAGCTACGAGATACCGCATCGCCGACCTGGGGGCTCTCCTCCGTCTTTTCCGAGGTTGCATTGATGTGCCAATATTGCCATCGCTCAACTCTGAGTAAGCACTGTCGTCCTCGCTGTGGGCAGTCCAGGTTGAGGACGGAGATCGAAGCCGCTGGGGTATATCTAGTTCTTCAGCATCATCCGTCTGCGGATCAGCAAACCTCACGACATGATCCTTCTTGGCGAATGTTTCTGACTTGGGCCGTGGGCGAAAGACTCGAGGCTCTGGGGTCGGGGTGTTGGGGGATTGGATGTAGGAGACCGGCCGCGAGGAGGCCGGGGAAGTTTGGGTCTCGAAATCGGAGGCTTGGGCGACTAGATTTCGGCTGGGCGTGGTGTAGTTGGTGTTGGATTCGTTATCCGACATTTGTCGTAGGGCGGACTTCAAGAGAGGGATACGTATTGCTGGGCGGTTCGGTAAAGGTGGTGATGAATATTCATGGCCATGAAGACTGGCCCCAGAATGAAGGAACATTTTCAAGGGAGGAGAATGAGAATGCCTCTTAACCACGCCTGGGGAAGAGCTACTTCATGTACCTCATAGCACTAGTGGGCTTAGCCGAAGCTTCCGGGCCAAGGCTGGATGAGCTACTCCGCAAGCAAGCAAGCAGGGAAGCTCAGGGAGGAAGGATAACAGGGCAGCAGGGAGACGTCGAGGATGTGGATCGTGGGAGGGCGTGCAGCTGGATTGACGGATGCAATATCACAAGCGGGAGATGTGATGACTGGGGGTGATAAGACAGTTGATGCAGATGCTCAGTGGGGCAGGGGATACGACAACAGAGCACGAGACGGACAAGTGCTGTGGGATTTCGAAACTGTCTGCCCAAGCGCGGACCAAAAGAGGCGGCAGAAAAGAAGGAGTCAAGAGAGAGAAGAAAAGAAAGATAACCACAAACGAAAACAAGGTAGTGGGGTCCAAGATAGCCGAGAAGGCACTCGCTGGGAGGCGGGAAGGTGATGCGTGAGGGTGGGTGGGCGAGGTGGGTGAATGCCGAAAAATACGACTCAAAGGCTGGATGCGAAGTTCTTGTCAGAAATAGGCCTAAACCAAAAGTCAAAGTGCACGCGTGCGATGCGATCGGGAGGCCCGGGTAAGCTAGGATGGCGTCTGAACGGAAGTGGAAAGGTGGGCGGGGATCCAGCGTATGGGGCTCGACTGGCTGGTCCAAAGTCCGACTGCACCGTGAACGGGGAATTTGGTGCCCGACTCCCCGATGCAGAGGCGGCCAGTGTTGCGGGGAGACAGGAGGGAGTGGACAAGGGGAGGAGGAATTCAAAGCACAAGCGGGAAGAGGGGAATAAAAATGCACAACCTACCGAGTTTCCAAGATTGGATGAGAAGGCTTGAACCCCCGAGAGGCGGTCAAGAAAAAGGCGGCTTGGGCTGAGGAGATGTCAGATGGAGAGCTGAACACCTCAGCGAACCCACTTTCATCGGCCGATGTGGGTTCTTGTCGCGCCAGCAAAGTGGGCGAAGGTCCTTGGGAAGAGAGACTGGGTCGAGTGGCCTTGTATCAAGACGAAAACGAACCCGAGGCTGATTGTGATCCTGAGTCCTTGCCGAGAGATGGACGCGGATCCAGAAAGCATCAAGGGGAGGACCTGACCTGCTAGTCAAATTGGCCTTGCTTTCACTTTCTTTATCTGGTCTTATTAAAGGCTTCTCACACTGGCTGCACTGGCGCCTGGCGTGCGTCTTGCGTGTCTTATTTGACAAACACTTGACTGAGCCCTTTCTTTTTCGACAATGTCAATTGGCTTCCTGGTGTCAGAGTGAGACCTGCGCAACCAATAGTTGTAATTGCTTCTCGTTTCCTTTCCGTCGATCAATTGGGAGGCAAATCGGGATCCGGGCGGGTATGTCTAGTCGATCAAGGACATGCCCCCGAAAAGAAATGGTGCCAAACAAGAAAGAATAGTGTAAGGGGGACTCGAAGAAGGGAATAAGGAGTGAAGGCTTTTGGTCTGCCACAATTCCCTCGAGAGACTTTTTGGAAGGTGATGAGCCTTGTCCCCTTTCTCACCTCCAGGCCAGGCAATCCTTCAAAGAAAAGGAGGTGAGGTGGAGGAGGGGACCAAAAGGGGGTGTGGCTATGGTTGCACTGGGATGCGGCGTGGTCGTCAAAGCAGTGTCACCGTTGAAGCTCACAGGCTGTACTTGTATTATGTGGGCTATGAGCCTGGGGAGGGGGACAAGGTGGCTCGATCGGTGGAAAAATAGCCAATCCAGGCAAGGATAGGGCTGGATTCCGCAAGTCCGGTTTGCCTCGCAAGATCTCAAGAATGGCTACAGCAGCACTTCTCCGGTTCTTGCTGGTGGATGTACTAGGACTACCTGAGCAGCCAAATAAATCTTGTTCCCGCCGCACAGTAGTGGCCTTGATGGGAGTGGTTGGGAGCCGACAAGGGGGCCGGAGTAAGACTTTTGGCCAGGTTCGAGATGTCGAAATGGGACCGAATGCAACCAGGTCCAACCACGTGGATGACGGATGGTGTGCGGCAAGACTGGTCTGTTCCTCTGTTCCTGGGAGCGGGACAAGGGATTGATGGTGACCAAAGACGGAAGATTGAAAGGGGGATTTCTGCTAAGACTCAAGCGGAAGGAGCAACACATCGTATTTTTAAACAGATTGAACCAAGAGCTTGCCTTGCCAGCTTTGCTTCGCTCTGCGAGCCTGAATCCCCAAATCCGAACCCTCGGCATCAATGACGTTGCTCTCTCCGTCCATAAATTTTTTTTTCTTTTTTAATTCCTCCTCGGTTTCCCTTATTACTCGACCTCCCACCATAACTCAAAAGTACCTTGTCCAGGCCGTTACCAAGGATCTGAACAAGAACTTATTGCCCGTGTAACTGTTGGAAGAAAAACTACGAACCTATGCAGTAGGCGCTAGTGGGGGTTGAAGTACACTTGTACATCACCGAGAACGCCCCTCGTGATATCAAACAAGTCCTCACCCGCCAAACCCGCGTATACCTCGGGACAATTGGTTGAATAATGACATCTCAGCTCGTACCAGGCCCGTTACTTCAGCGCCAACGCCCCCATTACATGTGTGGAGAGGGGCAGGGCTTACTCACACGACGCTATTCTCACTTGCCTGTCTTGGGGAAAGGGTGGTCCCAGGAGTTCTTTGTTGAACCTCTAAAAGCATGCATCTGGATGCTGCTCTCCTCTCACAGGTTGTATTAGCGTCGGCTACGGATTTTGATTCTCTCCCACCATCGCCTGATCAATCATCTGTTTTCACCACTCTGGTGCAATGCCTACATGTAGCTTCTGATTCATTTGGTGGTCGAGCAAAGATGAGAATATGTTGGCATACAGGCAATACAGAGTATGTGATAACGGAACTGGCCTCTAGGATCATCGATGACTGAATGCATTAAAATCAGAAATATAACAAGTGGGAGAAAAAAATCTTTGTCGGGGGCCGAAATACCCGTTTGATCGTTTGACCTCACTTGATGCCATGACTGAGCTCGGTCACCTCGGACCGCCTTGGGCTTGGGGCTGGACCATCTGGTCCCAGCCAGTCTTGGCAACGGAACCTCTGCAGAAATTATCCGAACAGCCAAGAAGTCATGGTCTGCAAACAGGCATCTCACCAGTTGCTGCTGATGTTCGGATGATGCGATTCGACGTAAGGTGCTACTCTACATTCCGTTCAAGAACCTGGCCTCTTTTTCCGATGCTCTATTTCAATTGATTAAATTGGATGGTTAAAATCTGGGCAGCCCGAGCTTGTGACGCCGTCAACATCGGACTTTGGTGCATGCTGGGCGGCAGCTACCCGCGTTTCGCACCCCAGCTTGATTTGGGGTTGGAAGAAACGGGATACATCAGGCTGGCCAATCATGCTTCCACCCAGCCAACGCCCAACCTAATCGACTATACATTTTTCGGACGTTCTTGGCGTGGACGTACAAGTAGGAGATATTATCATTATCATCAATGACCTATTACTTCGTACTTTGGTTGGTCTTTGTCGATTTCCATCAGATGCTGTTGCATCATGTAGTCATCCTCAACCGAGGCTGGCCGTGGATGGGCTCCAGCGCTCCACAAAGCCAAACCCCCAAGATGGGAAGAGACAAGAAAAAGCGGGCCTTTTCGACTAAATCCGAAGGCAAAAAGATAGAAAAGAAAAAAATCCGAAGGGTTTGTCGAGTATCCTGCGGAATTCCGCTTCTTGGTCTCCGTTGGCGGAGACGGCCATTGAAGGGTCCAAACCAGCGGGCACCAAGACCCACAGAAGGGCTCAGGCTAGAAACATCGTCGGTTTGGTGGTGGAGCAGGCAGCGCCGGAAATCACCGTCGCTGACCCAGTGCGAGTAGAAAATCGCGGTTCTTTCTCAACGACGCGTCCTGCAACCAAGCTCCCCCTCTGCTCGTTGAGCTCCCTTGGAATAGCCCTCAACTTTGACCGCAACCCGCCTCCAAGGTCCGCTCTAGACCTGCAGGGATCGTGTACGTTGGCCGAATGTGCCCGTCGTGAATTAATAATAAAAACCCTGCACGAGACTGGGAGGATTATCGGCGAGCTGGTTTCGTCCTGGTCGAGCTCTCCCGTGGCTCCCGGAGCCTCGCTCAGTTCCCTTGCATGATCGCCGCACTGGGTTCTTTTTTTATCCCATCTTCCGCACTGAGCACCACCATCATCGATACACCCTCAAAAAGAAACAGCCATCCATCATGGCGGCATCTGCGCTGGAGACGTCGGCGGACCGGAGGACCCTCATCAAGTCCTTCGTCGCGTGGAAAATTTTCCTCCTCGCCATCGCCTTGGGAAGCTCCACCACGCCATCATATGACACCTCCACTTCGCTAGCTCTCAGCCTTCCGCCCGACCACATCTCATCCTCCTCAGCCTCCCGCCCCGAACCTTCCTTGTCCTGGACGGATATCCTCGCAGTCCGACTGACCCGCTGGGATGCCATTTACTTTACCCAGTCTGCGAACCGCGGTTATGTCTTCGAGCAGGAGTGGGCCTTTGGCTATGGGATGCCCCTCGTCGTCTCCAAGCTCATCCTACCTGTCGCCGCGCGCCTCGGCCTAGCCTCCTCGTCCTCTGTCAAGTCGGCCGCCCTGGCTGCGATTTTTGTCTCTCACCTAAGCCACTTGGCCACCGTGCTCCTGTTCTACACCCTAACCCGCCGCCTTTTCCCTAACCGCGGGAGGCTTGCTGTTACCGCGGCCTTGCTACATGTGGTATCGCCCGCCGGCCTCTTTCTTTCTGCCCCTTACGCTGAGTCGTTGTTCGCTTGCCTCTCGTTTGCTGGCTATGTCATCTACATCTCATCAGCGCCCGAGCCATCCAAGGCGCCGACATTTTTGCACGGCATCAGCCTGATTCTCTCTGGTGCAGTTTTTGGTCTTGCGACCGTCTGCCGGAGCAATGGAATCTTGAATGGCACCATCTTCGTCACGGAGCTGGTGGCCGCCCTTCACGTGTTCGTCCTCTCGCCGCGGCTCACGACTGCCTTGGCCGTGCTCCCCCAATTGTTGGTGGGACCCTCGTTGGGCTGGGAAGTATTGCACCCCAGGCTGCTGCTTATCTACGCTATTGTTCCGATGCATCCGGCAGTGGTGGGATGCGACCCTGGTGCGGCCAACTAGTACCTAGCATCTATAACTTTGTCCAAGAGTATTATTGGTAAGTTTAAGTTGGCAGGGGAAAGAAGAAAATGTGCGGGTTCCTTCTTCTTCCCGAAACCCTACCATTTCTCTGACCCCCACCTCGCACTTCCCTCCTACCTTTCCTTGTCCTTGACTCCGAGAGACTTCGGAGAATGGGGCGGCTTATCCCTGCAGGATGAATGCTCACATCATCTCTCTTAGGAATACCGGCTTTCTCCGCTACTGGACTCCGGGAAATATCCCTCTCTTCTTGCTAGCACTCCCCATGCTCGGTCTCATGTTTACATCGTCCTATACGTTTGCGGCGCCCCTCGTGACAAAAGTTGGGTCCCTAGACACCATGAGCCCTTCTAACCGTCTCCTCCTATCCCTCTCTATCGGTCAAGGCCTCCTCGCACTCCTCGCCTTCACCAGCTACCATGTCCAGATCATCTCGCGTCTCTCCTCAGCCTATCCCATTTGGTATCTTTGGGTAGCTCAGTCACTTTCAAGTAAGGCTGCCGGCAATTTCCCACGCCATGTCGTCATGTACATGGTCTTGTATGCTACCATCCAAGGCGTACTGTTTGCATCCTTCCTACCTCCAGCGTAGTTTTCCGATCTTTGCCAGACGTATGTCGTAACCACGGTGAGAAATGGAACAAATAGCGATATGCGACATGACTCAAGACAATTTAACCCCCATATCAACTTGTAATTATACGGGTACTGGTTTCTTCCCACTGTCTAGTACTTTGCTGCAAGGAGTGGCTCTTTAGGGCAAACTCTGACCCCCTCTACCCGGTCGGTCGGCGGCGAGGAAACACTGGCTCGGAGAGTCAGCGCTAAGGGGCGAAACCTTCCTCGGGTCTCTAGTTCTAGTGGAACAAGGCAGCTCAAAGAGCGTTGTTGAACACCTTTCCCCTTCAATGTGACCATGGATGGAGACGATTCCCACGTGCCCTTCCCCTCCCCTCCCTTCGGAATCCTTTTTCAAGGGAGCGATGCGTTTTTGTCAGCTTTGACGGAGTTGTTGGATAAGCCAAGACCAACTTGAATGTTGAGGTGTGTAATTGAATCCATGCGCTTACGCACCCAAATTTTTCTTTTCCTTTTTTGCCTTTGCCTAGTTTCTAATCGATTTGGCTTGGCACTTTAGCGTTCTGCCTTGATAAGCGCCGAAAACTTTGTCTATTGTTCGTGACATTCCTAAGCGTTCAATGTACCCTGGTCCCATCTAGAATATTCCACACTAGGAAAGGATACGAGATATGGAATATGACCCTCTTCCAGGCCCACTCGGAGCTAATTTTAGACTCCGGTCCCTACACAGGACCGCCCCTCGGTGCGCCCCTCGGCGCTCCGGGGCGCTGAGTGCCCGGCGGAGGCACCCGGGAGTAGGGAATTCCCGGGCCTGTCGGTCGGGGCATACCTCCAGCTTGGGCCCACGGGGCACCAGTTAAACCCATCGGAGGAGGCATCCCGGTAGCTGGAGGGCCTGCCGAAGGATACCCGGTGGGCCCCGGGGGCAGGGTTGATGTGGGAGGCTGATTTGCCATGTGGATAGACTGTACCGGTGCGGCTGCCTCGGGGTCTTTATCAAATGAGAAGAGCGACCCGAATGGAAAGTGCTGGACAACGGGGAACTTTGAAAGAACCTCGGCATTGAACATTTTGATCATGCCCTTTTTTTTGCCACACTTGGTTAGCAGAGATTCCACAAACAGCCATGACGAGCGCCTCCTCCCATTCCAGGTGAGACAACGACGAACCTTGTTGATTTTCCCCAGCCGTCTTGAACCCCCGACACGTCGAAGAGAATGGGACTGTGCTCCCAAAACGGTCCCTTTTTCACATCGTTGATGAAGCCTACCGCGGAGAAGTACAAGTTCTTTTGCCGCTCCTCCTCGACGACCTGGGCCTTGACCACGTCTCCAGTCTTGGGCGCGCCCCTCACAGAACCTTCGAGAGGCATGGGCTCGTCCTCTGCGATAGGTCTGGTGAGCTGCGCCGAGCCAAAGATGTAAGGGAGGAAGGAATGGTCATCGAGACCCCAAACACCATGGGAGCCCGCAGGTTCTAGAGTGTATGTGAGGATGACACGCCGGACGACGTGAAGGTAGCTAGAGCAAAGGTTAACAGGGAAGGTCCCCTCCCCGCTTCTAACGCCAGACAGCCCTGCGCATTGCACTTACGGTTCAAAGACACCCAGGACCAAGCTCCTCTCTATATCCCCACCCTCTTTTCCGTCCTTGAATGCACCGAGCTTCCAAAGGCAAGCCAGGAAGGCAAAGAAGCTCAGCTCATGCCCTGTTCCGTAGTCCAGCCTCTGCTCACTTCCAAACCCGCCCAAAAATAGGCTCTGAGCTCGTCTCTAGGCCCGAAGCCTTCTCCATCATTGCCGGTAGCGGAAGGAAACTCCAAGACAGACTTGTCGATGAACTCATCCATCAAATCATCGGCCCTTTCTTGTATGAGCTGGTGCCACTTCCTGAAACTCACGTTGCCGAACCTCCTCGGACCCGGATCAGGAGGTGCTTCTTCCACGAGGGCCTCTACCTTTTTAAGAGAGTCCTGAGACGCTTGACGGAATCTGGCAGGGATGTCTCTGAGAGTGTGTCTAGTGACCACGTCCTCGCCGTTTCGCGCCGACTCGGCCCGGGACCAGTTACTTTTCGGGGGCACATGGCTCTATTCACCTGCATGACGAACATTCCAATGTCCCTGTAGGCCTTGGAAACGAGAAACTTCTCAACATCAGGACCCTCGTTGATGCATTTCGTAGGCTTGATGAATACGTGTGGTGTGGAGGGGTCGAGAACCTCGAGCGTGGGGAAGGACGCCTTTTGCGAAGGTGGCGCCGGAGGCTCCATGGTACCGTGAATTCAAGGATAGGGAAAGCTGATTTTTCGCAAAAATGATAAAACAGTTATCTGAGGATGATACTTGTAGCCTGGGACTTTCCAACATCGAGCAGTTCTTATGTCGAGTACCTGCCCCGCCATCGGAAGATGGGAGCTTGACTTCTTGTGCTTAGTCAGGTTCATTCACACCCACGCCGTCGTCACCACACGCACCGCCAAGAGAGCATACAATCCATATATTTCGTTGACGGTGCCGGTCTTGAATTTATACCTCGTTAGGGAACCCAAGATTTTGTGCATATCTACAGTTCATATTCACTATCCATACATGTAGTTTTGAAAGCGCCCCGCCAGCGCTCGTCTAGCTCAGATCACCAGATAGCCACTGTCCTTGCTGAGCTTCCTGCCGTTATGTTTAGATGTAGTCCTTGATCCATATGGCCACTTTAGGCTCTGCTTCCCTGCCTCTGCTGTCCCTAATCTAGGTTGGTGGGCGGTTGTGAGATATGGATTTGGCCGGCCTATGCAAGGCATCAATGCCCAGGCGCGCGTGCTCTTGTCTAGGAATAGTGTACTACCACGAAGAAACATCACTGGTCTCACAGTTCAACCTGAACCCATCCTCTATAGGAGCCGTACCCGGCTTGAGGACTCTTCCTTTTTTTCTCTTTTTTTTTCTTTCCTTTTTGAGATGGTACGTTCAGGAAGGAGTATTTCGGGGACTATTGCTGATGCCGGAATAATACTTGTAAAGAACGATGGAGGTATGTCCGCCTAATATCCATGACTAGACTCATGAAGATTAGCTGCTCATGTGCCTTGATTGATAGATGCGGACCAACTTTATACACCCGAAACATATGCAGTGTCAAAAAGCCAAAAAAGGTCGATGGGAGCAGCATCAAAACCTCTCAAGTATATATTACGGGGCTGAACTTCGAGTCCCAGGTCTCTTATCTGTTCCCACTCTTTTGGTATGTCTCCCAAGCTTTCCCAAGGCTAGAATAGAAAAGGAGGAATATGAAGAATTCAAAGAAAAGAATATCGAGTATTCATTTCAGATAATGCTTGGAATGGCAGCTCTAGCTTTTACTCTTTGGGTTGAAGCAGGATAAAAGGAAGGTTTGTTTTTCGAGTTCTTTCTTTCTTTTTCAACTTCGACTTATTGAGCGATTGAAAAGGATACATTGTAGATAGGAAGCCATTCTGTCTCCTCGAGAATTCGCCAAAGCTCTCGCACGTCTTGAAAATGTAGGTCGCCCAAGGACGAAAGCTGGCGTCTTGGCAGCACCCTTCGGCACACCTTGGCCGAAGCAAGTCTTTTTGGGGATAGCGAAGGGGAGTGGGAGCACTCGAGGACGGGCAGCGCACGGGAATGCTCCACCTGCAGGGCGCACCCCGCGCCGAAGGGAACTGAGGGCTTGGCATTTCCAGTCCCTTGGAAACAGGGTCTGATAGCAAGGAGTGTGGAACGTATCAAGTAGCTACGGTAATCCGAGATTTAAGTCGATATATCGAAGTTTATCCCCTGAATATAACTGATAGCGTTTTCCTTTACCGACAAAAGCCTATGGATAATCTGCCATCTGAATAAATAGAGCAAAAAAATTGAAAAGAAAAGAAAAAGGAAAGCGAGGTGAGGGACAACATGGAAAGAAGAAGTGAAAAGAAATCCGCTGCCTTCCAGCCCTTTCCCACCTGGGTATTATCAGATCCAACATCGAAAATCAAGGGTTTAGAGCAGAGGCCCCGAAAGCAAAAGAGACAAGAAAAAGACAAGAAAAAGTGATCAAGATGGTGTGGAACGAAATAGCGTCACTACGCAGAATGGATGGCCAATACCTTCACTCATCAAGATCCTAGCATTCGCCGTTTAAGCGACAGGAGTGGGAGCGGCGGCGGGGGCAGGAGCCGCAGCCTCCGGCTTCTGCTCCTCCTTCACCTCCTGGGGAGCCTCAGCAGCAGGGGCCTCGGTGGCAGTGGGAGCGGAAGCTGGGGCAGGGGCCACAGCGGGTTCGGGGGCAGGCGCGGCGGGGGCAGGTTCGACAACGGGAGCGGCAGCGGGAGCAGCAGCGGGAGCAGCAGCAGGAGCGGCAGCAGGAGCGGCAGCAGGGGTCTCGGCAGCAGGGACAGGAGTGGGCTCAGAAGGAGCAGCAGCAGCAGCCTCCTGGGGGCGTCTGTGGCCGCAGCGGGCTCGGCAGCCTTGGGAGCTTCCACAGCTAATATCATCCATGTTAGTTTCCGGATCAACAGCGTCCGCGTCCATTGACCATTTGATTCCTCTAAAACTCAAATATTCAAGCTCGCCTGGGGTACGACATACCTGGAGCAGCGGCGGGTTCGGCAGGAGCATCGGTGGTAGCAGGGGCCGCGGGAGCAGCAGCGGCGTCGACGGCGGCAGGGGCAGCAGCAGCTATGGAAGAGCCGATAGGTTAGGGAAACTCATTATAGAGGATGTAGAACGCATGCAACTCACCAGCTACGGGGCAGGAGCCGCGGCAGGGGCCGGAGCAGCAGCATCAGTCTGAGAGGGTTCCGTGCTGGCAGGAGTAGTGGCGGTGGCAGCAGGGTCGGCGGGCTTGGCGTCGTTCGCGGGGGTGGTCTTTGGCTTCTTCTCCTTCTTCTTGAAGACGGTCTTGAACTTGCCGACCAAGTTGTCGAGGGCGTCGAGCGCTAAAGCAGCACGCATACGGTTATTAGCCAATGATCAAAACTACCCTTGGCCAGAGCTAGCTGGCAAGAGCCGAATTGCCCACTCGAGATGCCTGTGCTGTTTTGCCGTTCATCTCGCCTCAGGTGAAGGAAACCCGTTTGGCGAGGGATAAGCGAAAACTAAATGGGTGAGGGTGGACTTACGAATTCCAGGCATGGCGGCGGCGATATGGAGAGGAAGCTGGCAAGGATGTAAAGATTATTATTCAATTCGAGGTGGTGACCAAAGATACTAGAAGATGGCAGATTTGGTGGATCGGTCGGGTGTGCGTTGTTGGGAGGTGATGGGAGAGCTTTGTGGCAAGGAGAGCTCAGGGTTGTTCAGAGATGGAGGTGGTTTTGAAGGGGGACAGAGACAAGGGATAAACCATCGATGAGTTGATGGGTTGCTGTCAATATCCGGCCGGCATGACAGGGGGTCCTGGGCGGGGAGAACGTGCTGGATCGGGTTGGTTCACGGGGAGGGGGTGCAGAGGCCTCTCATCAATTGCTCGAGCTCGTGGTACCGCTACTGTCCTCCGAAGCAAAGTTTCGCGGAGGGTAAAGGTATCATCCGGTCCTTGACGAGCTCCAAGATACCAGCTCATACCTAATAAAGCCATCCTCAACGCAATGTCGCAGCCGTCAATCAATGGGTCAAATTTCGCGTGCTCTGGTCGGCCAGTCCTTGTTCATCCAAGATGGACGGTGACACCCACATGGCCAGGCCAACCCCCTCTCCTCACTTGCTCAGCCACCGCCTGTTTTTTACTTTCTGTTTCACGCCTAATACTCGGGGACGGTTCGGCGGGCGGCCGTTAGACACGAGCTTCACGTTCTTGTCGGCGCCCTGCCCCCGCGATAGTCGTTTTTATTTTCGTCAGAGGATGCCAAGAGAGGACCAACAACCCCACTTCCCTACGCAGATTGATATCCCACAAGTCACAATGGAGCTCACAATTTGCTCCCTCGAGAGTTATCGTCGTGAGAAACTCCGCCTAGCGTGCGATCGAAGCCCATCCGTCCATCATGACGAGGTGGGTTGGTTTGACTTGACTGGTAATAGCTCGGGGGCCAAGGGTCCTTCCCTTCTTTTGATTAGCCGCCCCACTCGTGGAACGGTTGGAGAAATTGAATTCGCCAGGCGCTGGTCCGCCTCCACATCGCGCAGACAGCTCGTTGGACATCACGTCTCCGTCTCAAAAGCACAGAGGGAGAGAGTTCACGCATGACATCGACGGACCAGCGCGAAATGCAGGGTGCACCGTGCCGACTCATGGGACCCAACGGGGGCCATCGAAACAGACCCTTTGAGGGGCGCTAAACCCGCCTCGAGCATTCTTTAGTAGTTTTGGTCGTGCTTTGCGGGGCCCGCCCTCCGCCCGCGTTGGCGTTGGCGTTGGCGTTGAAGGTCACTCCTGCCATTGTCCAGGATCTCCCGCCCGTCCCATCGTCTCAAGCTCGAGGTGACGATTTAGCGACCCAAGGCAAAGCCCAGTCTTGCATGATCTTCGTGAGAACACTCGGGTTCGTCTGGGACGAATGCCTTACGAAATGAAGAGGGACAATAATAGTAGGGGAACTAAAGAATGGGGAGGGCAAGCGCCGCTTTTGCTCGAAACCGAGATTGGCTGCTATGTGCTATGTGTCGGACATCATGTTACCCAATCATGCATAACTCTCCTATCGATTGGGAAGCCCGTTTTTGGCTTGAAACAGTATCGGTCCACTGGGTCACTGGCAACCGCACCGCACCCTTTTCCGAAACTCTCGGCTATCGGGGCGCCTTTGTGAAGCACCGAAATGGTATAATAATGAGGACCATTTATTAGTCCAATTCATCGAGGGCCAAACTATGGAAGGGATCTAATTTGTACACGAGCACACCACCAGTAATCCGCTCCAAATTTCAAGGTCACTGCAATTCTACAACGCGGGCTTTCCCAGCGCGGGATAGAAACAGGATAATAGCTGATATGAACGGAAAAAGAAAAAAACAAAAGAAGAAGAAGAAAGGAAAGTAGAGGAATGGAAGGGACTAGTCCCGTAGTGTGAATGGGACAGGGAAGAGAGTGAATATCCCCCTGAGCCTTAGACGCCGTTGGCACTCATCTGGCCAACCAACCTCTTCAACGCCTCCGGCCAAAGGAACGGGTGTCGTCATAGTCCGCCTCGCTCCCTTCGGAATCCGAATCGTCCTCTGGCAGAAGCGCCCTATATCTTCTGCTAGCGAGATCGTCCTCCAGGCCGCCCTCGCTCTCTGGATCGACATACCCCTCACCGCCCAGCACGCTTAGCACTACCGGCAAAAGATGAGGGCGTGCGTTGCCGCGAAAATGACGAGCGCCAGCCAGACCCTAAAGTAGTAGATCTCAAAAATCTTCGACCTGGTGAAGGCTAGCACGCACACTCCGAGGAGCTTGGTCACAGTGATGCCCGAGAAGACGGAGCTGCCGACGTTGACGAGCGCGGTCCAGGCCCTCGCATCACGTCCGCGGAACCGGTTCTTGGCACGTTCCATGAGCGTGCGGGATGGGAACATGAAGGCGCGAGCGATATGCGCACAGAACTCCACGGCAATTCCAACGCAAATAATGAGGTTGACGAGGGACACCGCGTTGAGTGACACTCCAAAGACCGCCATTGCCCCAATGATATCGACGACCGCCATGACCACCGTGATGGTCACAGCAAAGGCAGTGGCAAATGATCCTAGAAGGATGGTCGAGATGACAAAGATGATGCCTACAGCTGACCCGAGCAGAGCCGCGGTGAGGAGACGATGCTGGCGTACTGGTCGAAGAAAATGTAAAAGACGCTGTAGGGGAACACTTCAATGCCCGTGCTCTCCTTGATATCGGAGGAGATACGGCGCGCCGAAGCATAGGCCTTGATAAAGTCATCTTGACTTCGCAGAGGTGAGTGGCTAGTGCGGAACTGACTCGCAATGACCGTATTCTTTTCCGAGTCCACGACTACGGCTTGCCCATAGGAAGCCTCTCCACCAAGAGGACAGTCCTCGTTGGTCGGCGCCTTCAGGAACCGTTCGAGATAATGCACAAACTCGTCACCCTCGGGCATGCCGGAGAGGGTAATGTTCCAGGCCGGGTCCCGATTGGCGAAGCAAGCCCGCCTGCCGTTTACGCAGCACTTGTCCCCGAGATCTGGGTTCAGCCAGAGGAAGAAGTCGTCTAGCCAGTTTGCCGTGGGCGAGGAAATGTACGAGACCTCTGACCTCTTGCGCTCGCCTTCCAAAATGTTGGCGAGAGACATTTGCTGGCAGGTAGTGTAGCGACCACATACTTCCTGCTGGTGCTCCCGATCCGTCAAGTTGCTCTCCCTCGTGACAAAGTAGACCGGTGGGCCAGCGTCAAAGTAGTCGTAGAGATCGTTGAAATAGGGGATAAGATAAGAGTCGTCGGGAATCGCGACTCGCTGGTCGAGACCAAGCTCGACTTTGGGAATCAGCGCCACGCTTGCCGCAAAGACGCCTAGGAAGACGCCGGTGATGGTGAGCTTCGCCCTTTTTCCAAGATGGCTGGCGCATAGTGCTTGCGAATAAACTGCTGGAGAAAGCTTTCTTCGGGCACCTCGTAGAAGCGGCCCCCGGCATGACCATTGGCGCCGCCACCGCCAAGTTGAATCCTAGCCGACTTGACCTGGATACAAGGAATGCAGTCCGCGCGATTATCCTCAACCCTAATTTGGTTCATCGCGAGGACCGAGATAAACATAGTGACCTGAAGGACCGCATTGATGAGCACCGCACCAGCAGCGTAGATTGCAAAGTTGCGGACGGCCGGCATTCCGACAAACGCGCCCAGTGCAAAAGACACGGTCTCGGTGATGGCGGAGAAGAGGATCGAGGGCCCCATGCGGCCGAGAGCCTTGGCGATTCGCTCCTCAACCATCTCATCGGGGTGGCTAACGTTGACGCGCTCGAATTCGTGGACGATGAGGAAGATGTTATCGACACCAACGGCCAGGACAATAAAGGGGATCACCTCGGCGATGATGAGGGTAGCCTTGAGCCCGGCCCAGGAGAAGAGGCCGATCGATGCAGTGATGGACATGAGCACAATGACGATGCCGGCCACGCCAAGTGTGAACTTGGATTGGACCAAGGCAACCGCAGGGTTTCGTAGCAAGTGGCGCAAAGAGAGAGTGGTGGATCCGAGGGCGAGCGAGGCGTAGAAGAACATAATCAGGTAGCTGATTACTACAATCTTTGCGTCGGTGTTGGTAGACTTGTTCAGTTCCTCTTCCAGACTAATTTCGGTCGAGAAAGACAACCTAAGACCGCGCTCCTTGGCTTCGATCTGGACCGCCTTCAACCGATCTCGGAGAGCGGCCTCCCAGTCCATAGCTCTCATCACCTCGGGCGACCCTTCGGCAGCATTATTGACAACCCACGTCACAGTCATGGCCTGGGCTTCAGCGACATCTGTATCGTATCCGCCAAGAATCATGGTTGGCTCAAGCGGTTGGCCATACTCTGGGCGGCACTCGACAGGAGACTTGGCACATGCGCGAAGGTCGTCTTTCCAGGTGTTTTTGCCAACGAGCGACGGCTCATTAGAGAAGTACGAGCTGACCGACTGGACAACGCAAGCGTCACCGGTTGGCTTCAGGCACACGTCATCGAGGGTAGCTCCTAGCTTCGGTCCTTGAAGCTTCTTGATGCCCTCCTCGACGCCCATCCACCAGATGATAGTATCATAGCTGAGAACTGGGCCGGGTCCGGAGGAGACTGGTCATTGACAAGGAAGATCTTCTCTGCACGGTAGAACGGGCCAAAGTTGGAGTCGAAGAACGCCTTCTCCTCCGCAGCCGCGGAGGTGGGGCTGACCCAAAGCCTAGCGGGATCACGCTCCAAATCAAATCTGATCCAACCCACGCTGAGAATCGCCACAATAGTCAAGCTCGTGACGATCGTGATGGCAGGGAACCTGGCAGCGGCATGGCCGAGTTTGCTGAATGCCTTGTCGCACCAGGTATTGATGCGATAGTAGCGTTGAGGTTGGTCGTATAGGATTCCGTTGTGACCGAGGTTCCCCTCGTCTTCTTCATCGTCGCTGGCGGCGGCATCTTGGAGAAGTCGCAACCGCTCAGTGCGTCTCCGGGAATGGCGCCTCCAGAAGATCCGGCCGGCGACAGTGCCAGCAAACGAAAGCAGCAGCAGGCTATACGTCATGATCGAGGCAAACGATAGGCACGGTAGCAGGCCGACATGGCACGACCGGTTTTGCTTAATGGGGGAAGTTCCGGGCAGATGGCGGGACAATCGACACAGGCGCACCTGAAATTAGGGTCGTCATCGTTACACTTTTTCGGGACCATGCTCCTCGGCGCCATATCCGGCTGAGAGTAGCTTGTAGGGAAATTGATCTGGAAAGGCGAACCGATGGCCTTTTCGTCGCCCAGAAACTTGAGGAAGTCGTTTGGCGTCTTCGCGCCGCCGCCAATAAAGTCCATCGCGTTCGCGTTGGAAGCGCCGAACTTTACGTCCTTGCAGCTGTCGTAGAATCCCTGCCTATACTCTTCAGAAACGAGCTGGTCAAGTTCGGCCACCATGGTCTTCCCAGCCTTTATCGTCGTAGCCGTGACGTTGAGGAAGAGCGACTGATCCGGTGAGCACGTAAAGGTGCAGAATAGGTTGAAGAAGTTGTCTTTGCATGCTGGGCATGAGGATACGATCTGGTTCACAGTCGAGAGTTCGGATTTGAGAGAAGAGATCTAGAAACCACGAGGAGCATGAGGTTAGACCCGCCTTTGGCAACCACCCTTAATCTTGCATTCCGGGGTTTACTAACCTGCTCCGGGGTACAGCAGATGGGACCCGAGTTCCATTTCGGACCACACAGGTCGACCAGCTGTTTCCTCACGTCCTCCTCCGGGTCTTCCGCAAGACCGTTGTCGAGGCATGGAAGCTGCTTCCCAAACCAGCTCTTAGAACCACATTGCCCTCTAATAGCGCAGCGACCCGCTTCGTGTTTTGGGGTGAGCGGCTCGGCGACTCCTAGGCCTGCTAGGAGGAGCGCTCCCGCCGCGACAAAGGCGGGGAGCCGGGGCATCTCGCTAATAGTCGGCCCGTAGTTGGGTCGCTAGCTAGAGACTATTCCCGAGATAGAAAAAGAAGATATTGGCGACGCAGAGGTTTGCACTCCTTGGGGTTACTGGCTCTTGAGTTCAATCCGCGAAATCGAGGTTCGGTTGTCGAGTCGGCTTCCGTTCAAATATCACTGTGGCTGATGACCCCGGGGTGACCAGCTTACAAGTGAAGTCTACAATTCAAAGAAGAGTAAACACTGAATAGCTTATGCACACAGAGGACGGAGGCTCAAGTTGCGCTTTGGAGAGTAGAGAAGCTCGATCGGCGGGGAGGAGAGCAAGTGGGAGCTTGGGGAGCTGGGAACCGGAACAGGGTCAGACATCAGCCCGCTCTTGGTATTTGCGTCATGTGGCGACGGCCGTTGCTCTGACTTGATTGCCTGAGAGGCCCGTGCTGCAGCAGACTAGTCCTCATCATCAATCAGGAACCGGATGGGGCCGGACCATCCACTCCACCAGTGACCGTCTCTATTGTCACGTGACCATACCCCAGACAGCGGTTCAAGCTCCGAGTTCGGTTCCTGGTTTCAGCATTTCTAATCGTTCTCAAGCAGAAGAGTTATAACGACAGCGGGCCAAGGCTAGAGATGGCCATAATAATCGACAGCTGTAAAATAGAATAATACTTGGTAATTCTTTTATCTAGGGTCTACTAGGGAGTCGACACTTTTTTGTCTTTTGGTGGGGAGCTCGTATCATCTTCACGACAGGCATCGACCCTATCCACAGAGATAATATTCCTTCTCCAATGCTTCATACAAGGCTGGCTCATTCGTCATTGATAGCAGTGCATACCGAGGCAGTTCATAAATGGAATAAAAGGGGCCACAGAGATATCAGATCCCCACATTTCGCCTACCTCTGCCATCTTCATCTCCTCACGCGCCTTCGCGACAACATCTACCCAGATTGGTGGCCGTAGCCGTATATCCGCACCGACTGCTTCTGCATCGACGCCAAACTGTAGCAAGTTATGCTCTTGAGTCCATTCGCCCGTCCCCATGAGTCCGACCGGTACTTTGCCTTCAATTTTCTCATCTGCCACCCCGCCCGCGTCCGGGCTACCCTCTGGTGCAAGGTAGCCGGCAGGGACGGTAAGAGCGGGAAGGCCACAGAAGTTGGCTAACCAGACATACATCATGGATCTAATTGTTTTGTCGCCATCACTGAGCCCATTTTCAAGCTCTGACTGCGTCTGGATCTTCCAACCAGCACAAGCTGTGGTCGGGGTGATGATGACCATGCCTGGGTGTTTCGTCCAGAGGTAAGCGAGGTGCTTCATGAGAAGCGCCCGAAGTTTTTGCGCGAGCAGGTAATCCGTTGACGGTGTCGTACGCCCAAGTGCCAGCAGGATCTTGTTTGCGTGAGTGAGGTTCTTCGTCTCTGGCAAGAGCGTTGCGCCGTCCGTTAAAACCGTCATTGCATGGGCAATCTGGCCTTGAGGCGTAAAAGGAATCTTGATAGGCACTGTTTGGTAACCATGCTCCCTGACCAGTCGGTCAATCATTGCCTGGCAAAGCCTCTGTACTCCAGGATCAGCTGCTGCGAACCAGTCCTCGGGAATGCCAAGGACTTTGTTCCTCTCCGCATTATCCGGGACACTGAAAGCCGTCGGATGTGGAAACCCAGAAGCAGGATGAGGGGCGCTGATGACCTCGAACAATGCAGAGAGAGAAGCAATGTCAGCAGCGATCGGCCCATTGACAGCGCAAGTGATGCTATGGTTGGGGCCAGGTCGAAATGACACTCGTCCATGACTGGGTTTGAGGCCAAAAACCGAACAATAGGACGATGGAATCCGGATACTTCCACCGCCATCGCTTCCGAGAGCGAAGGGAACTAGACCTGAGCTTACAGCGTATCCGCTCCCAGAAGAACTGCCACCGGTGTAGTATTCATCATTGAAGGGATTCCTTGGGGTGCCGTATATGGGGTTGTTCCCCGTCGTGTCTCGTGTAAATGTTAGCGCAACGTGGAGTCAAACAATCGACAATCAGGGTGAGGGAGGAAACGGGAACGGATGATTACCAAGTCCAAACTCATGCATGGAAAGTTTTCCAAATATTATGGCGCCGGCATCCTCCAGCTGTTTAACACACCAACTCGTGATGCTAGCGCCATCCGTAGACGGCGTCGCGGTGTAATCGTTTCGGGAGCCTAGACAGGTTTTATAGCCATCCATTTCGTATTCGTCCTTTACAGCTGTAGGGACACCATCCATAGGGCCCAGCGGCTTTCCTTCCTTATATCTCTTTGCCGAGGCTCTTGCGGCCTTCATCACCAGCTCAGCCTTGACCTCAAACCAGGCTGTTGAGTACTGCATGGGGGAATCCGTATCCCTACGAATTAGAGGGAGGATAGCCTTCGCAACCGCGACAGGAGATATCTCTCCAGATAGATAGAGCCTATGGTAATCGGCAACGGAATAGTATCCAGACAACCTAGAGCCGCGGGGAGCGGCCTTTTCCACATCATTTCGCTTCGTCTTGGTCTCCTTCAGTTCTGTAGAGATTATCGGGATGACTGTGGGGTCGTAGCGAGGTTCGTAGTCCTCAATTTGAAAACGAATATCTCTGAGGCTTCCAAAGCCAGCATTTCGCCAGATATAATTCCTTAGCCATTCCGATGACTCCATACTATACGGTTCCAGGGCACGTGTTATTAGTTTACCTTATGTGTGCGCGGGGTGGCCGGGCGGCCGGGGACCAGGCGGAATACATACAAGTAAGCACCAAGTCTTAGCGAAGTCCCTCTCAGGGGTGGATTGGCCTTTTTTCATTTTTGTAAGGGACGTCTGGCCTAAGTAATAGTGGGTTAGGAGGAGTACAAATCGGCGTGGAAGGACCTGAGTAGTGCCGTTATGCATACCCGCATTGCGGTTCTGGATAGTTGATGAACTTGGACGCGATACTCATATCTCTAGTAGAGATAAGGAATGGAGAAGAAAACCAAGAGGCAGAACCCGAAAAGTTAGAATCTAAGGGTGGTGGATCTGGCTATAATTAGAGATAAATGAGCGTCGAACCAACCCCGAGGCAGATCGAAGATAGTCGAGGTATTGCTGCGGCGAGGGGGAAGCGAGCGGATAATTGGACCAAGCGAAGGAAACTCGAAGGTGGAGGATAGAAAGTATGTTAACAACAGTCTGCTGCAAATTGGAAGAAAAAGAAAGAGAGATAACTCTAAGGATACAGCTTGAGCTTGGGGGTACGATCTACCCGGGAATAAATCGTGGGATTCTACGGTTTCCTCGGAATGGGACGACACGAGATATAAGACAGTGATCGGTGAGGCAGAGTCATGGAAAAGATGGAGTAAGTCCGGCCATAGAAGGAAAGACCAAGAGACCAGTCATGGGCCACATGAAGGTGGAGGAAGTACTGGGAATAGTGATGGGGGACTGTGTTCTTACGGGGAAGGCGGACATCTCGGACCACCCGGAGTGGTGGGTCCTCCTAAGACACGAGACAAGACAACACCCCAACATCAAAGCTTGTGAAAATAGGAAGGAGTTGTAATAATCAAGTACAAAGTGACGTAGCTTCCACCCTCTACTATCAAAGCACCAGGGAACCATTGACCTCAACCTCCCGCCACTTTGGCCCGAGAATCCGGAAACCGCAGTATGTTGATTGACGGGACAGTAATGGGTAGAGGTCTCTTCAACTGTTGACTCACCATGCTTTAAGCCTCACCCGGGGACTTTGACTTCGATATCTGGCTTCCTCCAAGGTGCAAGTGCTCGTCCTAGAGCTAAAAATCTTGCCGCGTGCTTGCCCGGTTGTGACATGGTACCCCAGTTCATAGCATAGAAAGAACATTGAAGTCTCCAGCTCCTAGGGAAATAAAGTGGGTACTTTGGAAACTTCAAGAATTGCCCAGCATCAATTGATCCTTCATCGCCCAAACCCCTACGGATGGACCCAGGGATCTCTGGATGTACGAAGTATCATGCCAGAGGAGCTGGTTAGACCATTGCAGCCCGCACCAGGCACCCACCGTCAATTACAATTGATATAGCACAACCAGGGCGAAAACAGCAAGGAGAGTCAGGCAAATTTTTTTTTTATACAGCACTAAATTTATCCGCCACATTGTTTTCCTCCTCATGGCTATCTCTCCTTTCACTCTGATATTCCCTGCGGAAAGTTCAGATTTTCCTCTCAAACCGTGGGGTTCTAGAGCTGGGCCTCGGTCAATCGTCATGATGGGTTTGAGGCATGAGAGCGTGGGAGTCGATTCTCCCAGCCAGGCATTTCGAATGACTAAGTATGGACGCCAACTGTCACTGCCCCGCACTAGTCCCTTCCAAGCCATGGAAGCGATGCGCCGGTCGCAATATTTGCGAGCGAGCAAGGTCTGGAGGGTTCCCAGTCAACCTTTGTCCATGAGCGTTTGATCGTGACAGAGTCAGACCGGTGGCCGAACGAAAGAGTCAGAGTCATGGACCAGGATCATACTTATCGTTTAGCCCTCCTAACAACCAACAGCCTCTAAAACTTGTTTACAGAATAAGGCTATATAAAACGCGACCCCACCATCTCTTCCTTTTTGCGATCCGACACCATCAGTTGCACGAATCCAAACATTGTGATCTCGAAATACCCCTCGACCTCATTCTCACCCCTATCCAAAAGTCGAAGCCCCATACTTATTGCTGGGTTGATCCTTATCACCTTTAAATCCAATCTCCCCTACACCTTGTGTCCCGCTGCATGTCCGACAGTGGTTCAAATCTTCCCAGTGTCGTTTGTAACCCGACCATGGAACACGATTTTCTTGGTTTAAGACCTTCTCAGCCTTATCCAAGTCCTTGACCTAAATCAAGCGAAAGGGAAATCTAGTATAAGCATTTTAAGCAGGAGACTGGATCCGGCACGGGCAGCATGAGTCAAAATCTTGTGGTAGGTTCTAAACGGCCGAGTTCCTTGACGCTAGAGCGTCGCAACCCCAGTAAGGGTCAGGGAATAGACGATTGATGAAGCCCGTAGGAAGAATTCCGTACCAGGCTGGACGAGCCATTGATCCTCGCAATAACGAGTGAATATGATCTCACAAACCCACAGTCACTCAAAGAAGTTCGAAACATCCTGCTAGAGTTAGCCTCGGGTTCCATATCAAACGAAGTTTCGGAACCACCCGCGAATGGGTTGACCGCAGACGCCAATGGCTACGCAACTGATAACTCTACGGAGCCGACAAGCAGCTACATGGCATTAAATCCAGAGCTGTCGGGGACCGAGCAATCCTTAGGTGGCTGCTGTAGCCAGGGCGAAGATGTGGGTGGCGATTTCGCACCCACGAGCCCTCAAATTGGTGCGCAACGTCGCGCAACGGATGATTCAAAAATCGCCGAACTCGTCTCCATGTTCCCCGGGCTAGGACTTGATAAGATTCAAGGCGCGTTGGATCGGTCCATTGGAGATGTTTCCGGTGCCATGGACGAGCTCCTTGCCCTGCCCTATGTTGAACCGCCGGAACAAAAGAAGCCCGCTATCGACGCATTCTTCCGGCCTAGTGACGACGACGCCTCTTGCTCTCCTACCAAGAATAAACGGAAAAAGAAAGGCAAAGGAGGTCACCGGGCAAGAATTCTTACTATGAAAGAGGGCGCCCTTAGTGAAAGAGGTACGTTCCTGTGCAACCTTCAAAATAATATATCTTAAGCCTGCATCTTTCTAACATGCCCCTTAGCCGTCAATGAAATCATGTTCATCAGCGAGCGCCTTGACATACCATACGATATGGCGATGGAGACTTATCGCGACAATAACTGCTCACAGGTGGTTGCCATAATCGCTATTCTTGATGAATACATCGATCAGGGGTCGAGGCACAGGGTGAAGCCGAGCTGTCTCAACTCCGTGATCTGAAGCTTGTTTACAAACATGTCCCTAGCCACTATCTCTCCGCCACCATCCAAGTAGCGGGCTCTATTGACGGCTGGCTGGACGAGGTAGCAACTCAGCTAAACAAGTTTTTCGCGGAGAAAGCTAGAGGACCGTTGCAGATCCATTATAGCCTCACGCCCATCAAGGATGATGTCGAGGACGGGTCGTCACCCGCAACACCAGTAAAGGGCATGAAGTCTGCGTTTCCTCGCCACTTTCCCCCTACAAGCCAAGCTTGGGGTAGCAGCAACCGGGCTGCTTTAGCGAAAGAAGCAGCTGATTTTGAGGCAGCTACGGCATCCGCACATGCGTCGACAGTTCAGGCGATCAAGCGTGGGAGATCCAACTCGTTGTATCTCGCAGCGGCGTCCGTTTATGCCGATAGGACGAGAGAGATGTCTCAAAAGCACGCTCGACGAGGACGCGACTAGCCTTCCAAACGGTCAACGAGCGCCGTACGGCAAACTCAATTGACCTCCATGGGGTGACCGTTAACGACGGTGTACAAATCGCGCTGAGTGCTGTCGGGTTGTGGTACAATGGCCTCGGGGAGTACAAGGCCCGCGAGGCAAAGAAAGGTTTCACCATCATCACGGGCAAGGGCCGGCATAGCCAAGGGGTATCTCCTTGATGAGAAGGGCCATGTATCCTGCCCTCGACAGCGCAGGATGGAAGGTGAGGGACGAAGGCGGAAAGTATATCGTGGAAGGGCGCAAGTGAGAATGAATGCTTTCGTAGAAAGCCCATGCTGGTTTATAGATATCCCATACACTCACCGTAGTCACGGAGGGTTGACCAACGATTCATATAAAACCATGTAGGCAGATACCGCAGTTAGGTGCTTCGCATCTATTGTAAGACCTCATTTTCCGTCCTTGGCCCCAACACGCCAGTCTACCTAGGGCTATTAGCTCTATTAATTGACACAGAATGATGCCTTTTACGCCGTCCGCATGGGTATACCTGGTACCACCACCGCCATCTCTCTCTCTCCCTCTCTCTTGCTCTCTCTCTGCGCATGCTGTGTATATGTGCAGCAATGCTTGGTGATTGGCCGTACATCCTCGCTCCTTTTTCCGGCACCTTTCGGCCCAACTATCTTCCGAGACTAGCTCTGCAACGTGATACAAGCACGGGGAAGTAGATACGAACGATCAAGACTTGGAGACTTTAGCCATGGGAGCCTTGGCCGCCTTCGCCTGTCGAAGTTGGACACCGCATCGTGCCCAAACATCGTACCCCGACAGAAATGTAGATAGGAGCATAGCCCAGCCCACGGTAGCCGTATCGACAGCTATCCAGCGCAAAACCGACGAGGGAATCACCATATCGATAGCGTCGACGGCCGTCTTCCGCAACACGGAAGCTTTTGCGGCGGCTCTTTGCGCCCTCTCCTCTTCCCCTTGCTGCTTCTTCTTCAACCGAGCCTCAGCCGCCTTCTTCTCATCCTTGCCGTCGCCAGCACCATCAGCGAGGTCGTACACTTCGTCGGCTTGAGGGACAGGGGCGTGCGCGTAGAGGCTCAGGAGCCTCGACGCGCCGGCGACGATCCCGCAGGCGAGGGCCGCGAACCAGAACTTTTGCGCTTCGAGGTTGATCTGCTTGGTCATCTGGGGGCCAAAACCGGTCACGCCGGACAGGTCGGGCAAGGTCGCGGTCTCCAGCAAGCCGTAGATGCCGAAGAGGCTGAGGCGGGTGATGTCAAGCCAGAGCTCGAGGGTCGGCCCGCTGGAACCGTTGTACAGGGCCTGCGACGTAGAGAAGCAGTCGAGGAAGCGCCAGGTGCGGATGAAGCGGCGGGCGAGGTTCAGGGTGGCGCCGAAAGCGATAAACTCGCTGATAGGAATGTTGGTTAGGGAGGCGGCGGCAGGGGTGTTGGCGAATATCTGGCATGTAGCCTGGACACCCCGCAAGAAGCGCTCAATCCCGACTGGATGGCTCGGGGCGCGGTGTTAGTACAGGTAAGGTTTATCATCCGGTGAGATAGGACATTGTCAGGACGGGGAGGGGGAGACCAAAAATGGAGATAAGAACCCCCAATGAAGCACCGTTCCATTCACCCGGGCTTGGAAATTGCATTGTGAACGGGCTCGGAGCACTTGCATGATTGAGACATCGGTCCATGGTTGACCCAATCGCGTCCGAACCCGGCTTAAGACTCATGGGCCGTTCCGGAGGAGACTGCCAGGGCACCAAACCGAACCAAAAACAAGAAGAAGAAAAAAAAAGAGGAGGAAAGGGGGACGGGGGAAAACCAGGAGATGCGTCACTTACAGGCATCTACCCCGAACGAGATGAATTGCTCGTATGAAGACATGTTGCTGAAGGCTAGTTTAAGGAGTTAATGTGCGATGGTCGGATCTGTTTGAACACAGTCAAGTGGGGATTCCAGAGCTGTTAAAATAATATGTGATTCTTAGCAAGTGTGCCTTGGTGTAGGGTGTTCTCAAGAATTGGTAATGGCATTGAAGCGAAGCAGGGCCAGATAACGGTGCTTCATAATCTCGTTTGATGAGCTGAGTGAGGTTGGGCTCTCGAGGAGCTGGGTTTCCATGTTCAGCCACTGCTGGCGTCTGATTGGCTCTGCTGATGTCCACGGATCTCGAACACGTTGCTAGCAACAAACCAGCATTGAACTTGCCCAAATGAGCCCGCCCAAAGCCCAAAAGAAGAAAACGACGAAGATGGGGCACAATTTTGCAAGCTAGGAGTTTAGCTATTTAGAAGTCATATCTCCAGCCAAGTACATTAAAGTGGGGGAGCAAGAGGCGGAGGGAAGAAAAAAAGAAATTTAAATATAGTAGATACAATACTCCACCTGCTCCGTCACGACTTCAAGGGGAGAGAGCTATGGAGTACAACATGGTATGCACAAAGACAGAACCCCCGCGTGCTTTTTCTATCATCGGATGCCCCTTCTTCAAACTTTAATTTAACCATTACTGGCCCGGCGAAACGAGCTTGCCCTTGGACTTGGTGTCATGGGCCCAGCCTCCCGCGAGAGCCTCACCGCCAGACAGTTGAGCAAACTCCTGCATCCTCGCCTCAAGCTCCGGTCGGAAGTGGCGGATGAGACCCTGAATGGGCCAAGCGAAAGCTTCTCCAAGAGCTATTTCAACATGTTAGCTTAACAATCCCTTACAGCTAACCCTTGGGTGAGTACGCCGCGTCATGTGGTTCGTTATCTTACCGCAAATTGTGTGACCCTCAACCTGCTTCGTCAACTCCTGGAGCATGTCAATCTCCCTGGCGCGACCCTGGCCCTCCACGAACCGGCTCATGATCTGCTCTGTCCACTTGCTTCCCTCTCTGCATGGCGTGCACTGGCCACAACTCTCGTGTCGGTAAAACTTGCTGAGACGAGCAATCGCACGAACGACATCGGTGCTCTTGTCCATAACGATGACCGCCGCGGTACCGAGACCGGACTGGCTATCTTTGAGTGCGTCGAAGTCCATGAGCTGGTCGTCGCAGATGTTCTTGGGGAGAATAGGGGTCGATGATCCACCGGGGATAATGGCCAAGAGATTGTCCCATCCACCACGAACACCACCGCAGTGCTTCTCAATCAGATCACGAAGAGGGATCGACATCTCCTCCTCAACGGTGGCGGGGTTGTTGACATGACCGGAAATGCAGTAGAGCTTGGTGCCTTGGTTGCGCTCGCGGCCGAAGCCAGCGAACCAGTTTCCACCACGGCGGCAGATGGTGGGGGCGACGGAGATGGTCTCGACGTTGGCGACGGTGGAGGGGCAGCCAAACAGACCGACCGCGGCGGGGAAAGGGGGCTTTAGACGGGGCTTGCCCTGCTTGCCCTCGAGAGACTCGATGAGGGAAGTCTCTTCACCGCAAACGTAGGCACCGCCACCGCGGTGGATATAGACATCAAAGTCGTAGCCAGAGTCGCAAGCATTCTTTCCGATAAGGCCAGCCGCATACGCTTCGTTGATGGCACGCTGGAGGACGATGGCCTCCTCCACGAACTCTCCACGAATGTAGATATAGGCTGCGGTGGCATTCATGGCCCTGCCGGCGACAAGGCAGCCTTCGACAAGCTTGTGGGGGTCCTTTCGCATAATTTCACGGTCCTTGCACGTTCCAGGCTCACCCTCGTCGGCGTTGACCACCAGATAGCGAGGCTTAGTATCCTTGTCCCAGTCCTTGAAGTTCATGAAAGACTACCGCAATTACATGTATTAGCGAATCAATTCTAGGTTTCGACCCGATCTCTATCCGCTGCGGGCGTTGGGAGATGGAAATCGCTCTCACCCATTTCAATCCAGATGGAAATCCGGCACCACCGCGGCCACGGAGACCCGAGGCCTTGACCTCATTGATGATCCAGTCATGGCCCTTGAGAATGATTTCTTTCGTCTTATGCCAGTCGCCCATCTTCTTCGCATGCTTTAGATCCGGAGGGTATCGGCCGTAGAGGTTCTGGAAGATGCGATCTTGGTCCTTGAGATTGCCGTACGTCCGGGGAATGCTGTCTTGGACGGTGGCGAGGCCGCGGGTGGCCATCCGCGTGATGCCCGCGGCCTTCCTCGGCGCCGCTCTAGGGGCGAGCATCTTTGCTATCGGTTTGGGAGAAATTACGAGCCGCGGAGCGGAGATGGCATCGGTCGAATAGAGGTCGAATGCTGGTGATGCTTTGGTTGCGGCACTTGAAGTTTGTCGTGATTTTGTGAAAGCAGTCCAAATTCGGCTGGTCCTGATTGGCCAATAGGAGTTGTCGGATTGACATCATTGAAAATTGTTTTGACAGTACAACTCATAGCACACAATAACCCATAGAAATCCATGTCCCTCAGGAACTTGCCGCAGAAATCCTTGTCTGCCAGCTGTCGCCACTAGCACAGCTGGCAAAAAATGTACCAGCATGCAGCGCCCCAAGCATCTATCCATGCCATCACCAGCAAAGCTCCGATCTCAGGCCCTAGCGAATCGTGAGGGAAGGGTTTCCCAGACGCCAATGAAAAAAACCGCCCTTTGTTCAGTGCCAGAGCAAACTAAGATGTGACGGTGCGCCCTCTAAGGGAAACACGAGCGATTAAAAACGACCCGTTCCTTCCCTACGACCCAAGATGTCTTCTTCAAACAAACGCAACTCGATGTTGCCGCCTGTCGCGCAGCATGGTCCGAAGCCACCAGTCAAGTTATCCTCGACCCTGACAATAGCCGATAGTGCCATCCTCGCCGGTACCAACCCTATAGTAATCATGTCGGAGTCCGTCGTGCACCCGCGATGCAGGCTTGAATCCACAATCGGTAGCCTACAAGTAGGAAAGCGCTGTATAATCCACGAGCGGACACACATTGGAGCTGCCCCCGTGTCAGGAGGCGCAAGAGCCGGGGGTGTGACTATCGGTGATTACGTGACTATCGAGGCTATGTCTGTCATTGAGGCTGGAGGCACAGATATTGGAGATGGCACTGTCATTGGCATCGGTGCGAAGGTTGGCGCAGGGGCGCGCATCGGCAAGGTAAGGAACAGCCTATCTCGCAAACTCTTACTTCTCTGAGTCCTGGAATAGGCTTCTTACTTGACGAGAATGCACCTGCTGATAGCTTTACAGAACTGTAGTATATCACCGAAAACGGTTGTTGCGCCCCTAGATGAGATACCCGATTTCACAGTTGTGCTGCCAAACAATATGAGAAGAACAGACAGGCGAGAAGTGGGCGACACGCGGCATCGGATGCAGGCCAGGCAAATTGAAGTCTTACGGAAACTGATACCGACAAACCCCGCGAAGTTTCAGTAGAAGATACCTTCGTTGCTATTGTGTGGCGCTGGCTTTCTTTACACCAACCTGTGAGAAGTACTTCTCGAAACATTGGTCTAACATCTCGTCTTGTAGTCCGAGTTCGTGGAGGGCAACCCGGCTTCGTTGAGATCGACATATGATTCTATGGTTCCTTCGTCTCGGCCTCTTTTGATACACGGAAGAAAGTACAGTTACTAGACTAAAGGATCGATAGATTCGAGGTTACTAGGCCTGGCTCGCCCAACCTCTCAGTTTCCACACTTCCGCTCATCCATGGGTCAAAAAGCTACTTTGTGTATCCTATGAGATGACGAAAACACGATCATTCCAGGATATCAGGGTTCCATAAGCGAATTTTAAGAAAGATTGGCAACTGAGGAGGTCCTAGAAACGCAGCTAGAGGCTATGAGAGCGATCATTACGTTCTTCAATCCCTGGATGTTGGCATAGCACTCAATGAAGCGTACCTAATGCTACCCATCCTTCCGGTTTCTACCCTCACCCGGCCTCCTCGAAGTTGTATCGAGGCGCGAGGTAGTCTATGTCCAAATTATCATCCTACAACCCGGATCATAGAATACCTCTTGTTGTGGGTAGACCCTAAGCAAGGGCCAATGAGATATCTTTGGCCATAGGCTCAAAACATCGCGTGTATGCAGTCCTGCTCCAGGATTGCGCTCATCACTAAGCCCAGGTACATACATTGGATCGACGTTGGTAATATTGAAATGAAAGTTAGGATGAACGAGCTTCGCATGAGCTAGGGAGTGGGGGCAATCAAGGACGATCGGATGTTCGATTCGGCTTCAAAGGGTCGAGGCTGACGCAAGCACATCTTCTTCCTCCTCTCCCCTATGAGAAATATCTAAAGCTACCGGATTCGCCCCAATTCGGAATATGGATGATCAAAGAACGTAGAGGGCATAGCTAAGACCCGCCCTAGAACCTGCTTCCGAAATCTTGGTTTCACACAGACTAGATTGTCGTTTTTACGGCCCTAACTAGTCACCTACATAAGCCTTGGTCACTGAGGTCCCTCATAAAAGTCGAGTTTAGTCCGCCTAGCAACTTTGGGATACACGTAGCCCGTGGTCATTTTCGTGCTCAATATACCCTTGTTAACACGTTATATTCGAGACTTTTATCCAGCTATCCACAACACAACCTCTTTGGCAAACCAACTCGCAAACTGTGGGTGGATGCGGGCACAATCTCTTGGGCCGTTGTTGCATGTAGGCTCTTTGGCTGAGATCGGCACTCCCCTAGCCTTGCCCCACACTGCCTTGCATTGAATACTAAACACCGTGGGTGGTGAAACCCTCAACAACATCTCGCCCCGGGTGATCGAGACGGATAAAATCGATGTATTATCCAACCCAATCAACCCGCGATCTACTCTACCCGAAGAATAACGAATGCTCCCAGATGACGAAAAAGAATCATCCATGCCTCCTCCCGACCCCGGATTCAGGGAGGAGGTGCCACATTTCTCCGCACATCATTGCCGGACACCGAGCCAGAGTCCCAGGCGGGCGGCCTTGACGGGGAAGGTGAGGCTCCGCGCCTCCCCTGCAGGTGATATGGCTTTATGCCGGCCCGTGAAGTGACAGCACTCTCCCCCATTTGTAGTTATGGCTGAGTACTCCACCACGTCAGGCGTCTGCCCGGATGGTTACCACTTGGGGGATTTCTCGCGAACGGACGGGTATTGGGGCAATCAATTTGGGGAAAGCAGATGCGGAGACGGTGTGGTGTGTCTGCTGGACCCCACGTCGTCTTTTTTCTTTCGTCTGACCAGGTTCGATTAGCCCGGCTGAAATGCCATCGCCAATCCCATCCTGCCAATCTCCCCTGGAGACTGAGTCGAAGTGGACGGGCGAAATTGCTATGCGCAAGATGAAGATGCCAGGTTAAATAGCCCTGTTGTATCGGGGGAAAGGAACACCATCTTTCTCCATTTCCCGCATAAGAGCAGCCGGACGTGTAAGTGGTGGAGGGAAGTTGATGGAAGGGCAATATGTTGCGCTCGTTTATCACTCCTCACGCGCGGACCCCAAGCCCCAAGGAGTGGGCGAGATATATGGCCGCGTATGCGTATATAGAGCAGGCGAAGAAGCAACTACTATAAGACCGAACAAGTCCTCACCTAGTTTTGCCTTCAGGAAGAGCACCGAGACTTTAACTTCCACATCGATACCTGCACCGCCTTCGCCGACCTTTCCTCCACCCTTCCGCCGTCACCCCTAAGCATCTTGAAAATGGTGTCCTTCACCGCTGCCGTGCTTCTCGCCGCTGGCGCTCTCGCCACGCCGCTCGAGAACCAACCCCGCCAGGCTAACTGCCCGTCCATCCACATCTTCGGTGCTCGAGAGACCACCGTTCCTCCCGGCATGGGCACTGCGGGCGGTATCGTCCAGTCGATCGTCCAGGCTCACCCCGGCGCTACCTCCGAGGCTATCGACTACCCCGCGTGCGGTGGTCAGAGCAACTGCGGTGGTGTCCAGTACGGCGATTCGGTCAAGGCCGGCACTGCCGCGGCTGCCAAGGCCGTCAACGACTTCAACGCCAGGTGCCCCGACACCCAGATCGTTCTCATTGGCTACTCTCAGGTAAGTTGTGCTTCTACTTCCGCCCATTCATCAAGTCCGACGACATTTGATGGGGACAACTTAGACAACCCAATACTGATGTGGAACGTAGGGTGGTCAAATTTTCGATAACGCCATCTGCGGAGGCGGTGACTCCAACTCGGGCATCTCGGATACCTCTATTCCCATTTCAGAGGCTGCCCAAAAGATGGTCAAGGCTGCTATCTTCTGCGGTGACCCGCGTCATATCGCCGGCCTCGCCTACGCCGTCGGCACTTGCCAGGCTTCTGGGGTAAGACTTCCCTCGCTACTGCACGATGTGTTCCTCCTGTACATCGAGTTGGTTACTGACAATAAGTGCAGTTTGCTCCCCGACCTAGTGGTTTCGTGTGCCCGCACGCGGACAAGGTTCAGCTCTACTGCGATTCTACTGACCCTTACTGCTGCAATGGAAACGACGCCAACAGCCACCAGCAGTATGGTAACAAGTACGGCAGCCAGATCCTCTCCTTTGTTAATGCCAGGCTCACATAAACACCTTCCTCCCCTTCTATCCTTCAAACCTACTCGATACGTATATGATCCATGGTCGGACGCTTTTGAGGTACCTACTTGAATCTAGGAGCTTGCGCAAAAAGCCTCGTGTGTACATATATTCCATACAAAGTGAAGAAAAAAACCAAGGTTGAATCCATCTGATTGCAACGGATTTCTGATCGTCTTTGTGATGCGTCTTCTTGTGTGGAGACAACCACCCGCCCTATCCAGCGGCTGTGATGGTGCGTTCGGGCGAACCAGACGCATAAAGTTGGTTTTCATTGTTTCTTGGTTTCTCTTCAAGTGCATGTACGGATCTGTTGGACGCTACACACATTAGATGTCACACACGACAGCCCTCCCATTCGGTGTTTATTTTGGTTTCCCGATATCTCAATTGGTTTCCTCGCCCTCATCGCTCCCCTTTGGTGAAAACAAAAGATGGGGCGAGCCTTTATCAAAATAGGCAAACAGGATGTGTCGTCAGACGTGGGTTCGTCAGCAAAGAAGAGTTGGTTCGTCATCCACTCTTTGCCCGAGGCTTCCCTCACACTCCATCTCCGAGGTAGATCGCCGGTATCGTCCGCGCGTTTAAAGCGTGCCTAGTCCTAAAAATATCCCGGACGTGGCACCAAGTGGCAAGGCTAACTTGCTCCATAACGTATAGATGTAGCTTGATTCGCTTCGTGTCTTGGATACATACTAATGCTACGGAGGTAAGAACTTACGAGTTTCCTTCACGTCTTCAAGAGAGATACTTGAGAGACTATACTTGACGTTGGCGATCGGGGTGGAAAGCTAAGTTACAAGAAGGAACAAGGCGAGCAAGGAGCTTGGGTTTCCACTCTGCCACTCTCGGAAATGCAAGTGGTTGAATGTTGCTATTCGCCGCCTTCCTTCTCTGGCCGATCGCCCCTGTTGCCATTGTCATTGCCGTTGCAACTGCAGCCCACAGATGGACGCCATCCAGATGGAAAGAGCTTAGGATAGACGAGGTATCTTGTACCATTATCCGCCTCACGGAGAATAAGCAAGTCGCAGGTATAGGCCAGCAAAGAGGAGACAGATGAGGTTGCTGAACAGTTTGGTGGTACCTAGGTACACGGTGATCCGAGCTTTTGTCTGAGGTTTTGCTGGGTGAAGCTTGCTTCTGGGACAGACTGCTAAGTACCCTATACCTCAGCTGTTTCCCTGGGCCAAGCTGCAAGGCCTTCGAGTAAGAGCTTGGGAGCAGCAACTCGCTGAACCATAGCCGCACTCGTATAAAACCGCTTTGGGCCAGGCGAGGGCTGAAGGCTCTCCAAAATAAGGGGACCGTAAGGCAAGGCTTTTCTCTCCAAAGATCCATCCATCCACATGGTGCTTGAGCATCGATTGACCCGATCGTAATCACAATTACGACCTTGGATATCAACCGTCGATGGACTCTGCACCTGGCCGGCATTTGCATAATTTTTTTTTAGGACCCGACACTCAGGGACTGACGGCATCATTTCCTTCACGCTTTAGCCTCGACATCCGCCACCAGGACGTCACATATCTATTCGCTCTCCTACCGAGCCTACTGGGCCAATTCCTCGAGACCCTACATTTTTGCCCCCTTTCTTCTGTCTTCTTCCATTTTCCCCATTTTTTATTCTATTGAGACATAGAAATCTAGCAATTAAATCTGTATCGAATTGGAGAACAGCTTCAAAGTATTACATCCTTTGCACCGGCCGAGTTGACGAAGCTTGCTGGCTAGCCGCGTCAGATCACGATTGCCTAGTTCAAATTGGTCACCACCATCTACCCCCGAGCATCACCGAGCAGACAAGTCGAGGTCGCAAATCTTCCCTCCACGCACACGACCTGCGACGCCGATTCTTTTCCTCTCCGAACGCCCCCTGCGTACCATCCATCAATAGACCAATGCCATGGACGATACCTCGACACTACCCTACTCCAATTCGGCAGCCCTGTTAGATGCCGCCAGCCATGTCCAGCTCCTGGCTTCAAAGGTTGCCATATCGCGATCAGCCTCCCCAGCATCCCGAATTCGAAGCGGGCCGATGAAGATGAGAAAAAGCGATACCGTCCCCGGACATTCAGCTACTTCGCCCACTTGCCCTTTCCGGTAGAAGACCAAGCAGCTCGCGATGCTGCCCTCACTGGCATACTCAAGCAACTATTCATTGCCATCAAGGCCGAAGATTTCTCGCCCGGTGCGCTTCATTGGACGCGTGAGCTTCAGGCATGGCTCAACTTGAAGTTCGAGATGACACGGGAGCTTCGCGCGACCCTAGCTCGTCTCTACTATCATATGTCGCTAGCTCCCGGTCTTGACACTACAACCTCGGATAGGTTTGCCAGAATGCTAGTATCTCTCACAAGGTACTGTGGCCTTCCCATTACCCTTTGCGCGGGAAAGCCCCGCGCGTAGCGGGCTACCTCTCTCCTATCGCCCCCTTCCTCTTCTCTCGGAACTTGCTCCTTCTGACGTGTCATATGGTGTTTGTGTCTGGAATGGCGACCTCTAAAAGCTAACATGACTGTTGCTCCTAGGAAATATCACTACCTTAAACCAGTGGATGATCTTGTACTTGATTGGAGACCTTTGTGGCGTGAGATCAAGGCCCTTGTTCTTCCGGGCGAGGTACCAACCCACCAGAGCAGCCGTCGCAAGTCACAAAAACAACTGTGGAAGCTCCTTGTTCATGCCCAGTTCTATTTCGCGCCTCGAGAGCGGCGCCAGATTCTCGACGAGGTCCTTCCTTATTTCAGCACCTCTGACATATCAAATGCGTTTATCTCCATTGGCGCATTGGGGTCTCTGTTGCCTACTACGCCCGGACCTGAGGACGCGCTTGACTGTGAACCTGAGCACTTCTTCCCGACAATCTTCCATCTTTGGTCTCTCGTCTCAAGATCGAAGCTAACTGATGTCTTCATGATTGATATCTTCTCCCGCTTCGCCCGTGAATACCTGCCGAGCGCGACGTCTGATTTCACCGAGTATGGCATCTTTACGCAGGACCAGTCTGATTTGATCTTCACTGCTATCCTGCGGCTGACGGATATCCCCGTCGGACAGTCTGGGTCTCCCTACTCCTCTGTGGACTTATCGAGTGGATTTGGCATCTACTTAGAGAAGGATAAGAAGAAGTATCCTATCACTTATATGATCGCGCGGTGGATCGTCTATTCAATGTCCCCGTTGTGCCTGGAGAAAGAGGCTTCCGTTCTCTCAAGCCTCGAAGGGTTGATCCAGTCTGTTGATACCTTCTTTCACCCCTCAAACCAGGGTTCTTGGCATGTGTTTTTGGGCCAACTTACGGTTTACCTGACGGATATATTTGTCTCACGCTGGAACCGTGAGGCCAGCGGGGAACTGCAGCTCCCTCCAGAACGCAGGATAAATGATGCCTTGAAGAGGCGATTTGTCTTGTGCCTCAGAGATGTCACCTTCATGGGTATCTATTCTAAAAGCATGCGAGTGGCTAGTTATTACTATGCTACTCTGCAGGGTCTTGCCTTTTGGAGCCCGATCTCGTTCTGCCGGGGCCTTGCAGCGCTTCTATCCGAGCTTGCAAGGACTCGTCGAAGTTCATCGGACGACGTCTAGCTTGAATGGCCTCCAGATGATTGCCAACACGATGTCCAAGCAAAAGGGGTACCGTTGCCACATCACAGCGCTTCTTGGCCTTGCACTCCCCGGCATCGATGCCAACGATCTTTCAAAAACAATATACTCTCTCAATTTCATCCAGAGTGTGGCCTACAGCATTCCTATTGTTTCACTCGCGGAGGATGATGCAGAGGTTCATGATACTAGCATTGCTATGCAATGGGTGCAGAACGAAATGGATCGCATGGAGCGTGAGGGTCCTGATGTCAAAATTGACTACAAGAATGAGCTAAGTGATGAAGATGAGAAGAATATACTTCGCTCCTCAACCGCTGGGTTTGGAGAGTTCGTAATGGCTCTCCTTGGTAAAGTCTTCACCTTGTTAGAGAATCTCCCTGACTCGTCTCAGCGTGGTGGGACGCAAGAGGACAACGTCATAAATGCTCTTCCGGCTGCACTTTCACCTCTGTTTGCCTCGCTATCCCCAGAACTCTACGATATGGCCCTCGAAAAGATTGCTGCCTTTGTCTCGTCCCACGTTGTACACCAAGCCCGAGATGCGATGGCGTGGATCCTGAACGCTTTTTGCCGAGTAGATCCTCAAAAGACGCTCAAGATTTTCATTCCCATGCTAATCATCAACATTCGCAACGAAATCGATTTTAATCATGCGGCATCGGACCGCAGCAGTGGTACCGAGTATCTTCCCAGGGATCGAGCACTTGTTTGGCATGTTAGTATGCTTGGCATGGTTGTTGTTCATGTTGGTGCGGAAGTTTTGAAGTTCAAGGACGAGCTATTTTCCGTTGCCCAGTATATGCAGGAGAAATGCCGTGGGCTGCCCACAATCCATATTTCCAACTTCATCCACCATCTGCTGCTCAACTTGACCCACACGTATCCCACTGACCATAGTCTATACGAGCCAGAGGCTATTGCTAAGGGCCTGGATGTCGATGCTTGGGGTCGCCTGACTCCTCCCTCTGAATTGACCATTAAATGGCACGTACCATCTCCAGCGGAGATCCAGTTCGCTGTTCAGTTATTCGATGCCCAGACCAAATCCGCTTCCGACAAGCTCGAGCTTCTCATGGGTCCCGATCCACCAGTGAAGCGCGCCGGCAAGAACAAGGAGTGGTCTGATGAGGTTGGGCGCCTGCTGGGGCGCATCAGGCTGGCCATATCTGGCATTTCAAGCCTGTTCGACCCGAAGAGGGCATCTGGGCGAATGGGCAAAGTGGCCGGCTGGCGCCGGATATCGATGGGGATGCGGACATGAATATGGGTGATGACGAAAACGACGATGATCCTCTTGCTGAAGTGGCGGACGATGAGGAGATGCGCCCCCAATTCCCATATGAAGCAGGCTACCTGTTGAAGCCCGACGACCCCGAATACCAGCGTATACACGAGCTCCGCGAAGAGATTGGCCATCTATTGTCACGAATTCACCGATTCTTGACGGAAAATGCGGAGGATGAGGTGGCGTGCTTCCAGTCGTTATATTACGTCTACAAGGTTTGGATCATCGATGTTGGCATTGAACGATCTGCCCGATCACTCGATCGCCACCTGCGCCTCTACAAGGCCGACATCTCCGCCTTCAAGATCAACGGGCTTCGCAAGCAATACCCTCGGCCTTTGCTCATCAAGAGAGCTTCTGCATACCACATGCTACGCTTGAAGCATAATGCTACTACCAGACACCGAAGCGAACTTGACAAACAGCTACTCCTGGATCTTGCTGAGTCGTGCATCTCACCCTATGCTGACGTTCGTCGAACGGCCCAGAGCGCCCAAGACTCTTCCCTTCGAGCCCTCATCGGCGGCAGGCCCATTGTTATACCCGTCATTCTCGAACGTCTGCGGGCCGCCATCGAGTCCGTCGACCACGACCGCATCAAGGGTGGCCTCTACACGCTTTTCTACACCACTCTAACGAAAACGGTTGGGAGAGATTGGAGGTTCGCCCCCGACGCGCTGCGCCTGTACATTGAGGCTGCAGGGATTGATAAACCGTCCATCCAGCACCTTGGATCGGCTGCTCTCTACGCTTTGATTGACTTTGGAAAGCCAATTGAGCGCGTCGTTCTCCTAGACCAGGAACTTGTTGATACCATCAAACCCAAAGATGACTGCACGGCTGCCATCAGCTCTCGAAACGCCTTCATAGTGCAGCGGAGAAGCCGCGTGGAGAGCAAGAAGGCGGCACTTGGGCTGGAACTTACCCAAAAAGCCAAGGGTGCCCATTGGAAGGTGGCATCCATGTGTGCAATTTTTGCCAACAACCTTTGTCTCCGGTTTGACACGATCGCGCCTAGCGAGTTCATCGAACTCGTGACGGTAGGCACCAACGATCCCCATCCTACGCTTCGATCGCATTATCTCTCGGCATTTACATCCATCTTCCAGGCGATCGATATGAGGGCAGCCTACGAGCATGATTACCACAACTACCTTACGGAAAAGCAAAACGACGCGAATAGACTCGAGATTGAAGTATCCCATGGCACAGCCGAATTCACCCAAAACTTTTTAGATTCTTTCGCCGACCCCGACCCGGAAAACGCGAAGTACATGGTGGATGCGGACCACCCTGGTTGGCTTGTTTGGGGTAAAAGTTTGTCGCCTTCCGCGCCCAACCAAAGCCATTCCTGGCTTATGATGAGTTGGAGGCCGGGGTTCGCAAGCAAGTTGGCGATTTGATCACCAAGGAATGGCTCACCAAGGCCTTTGCCTACATGAAGCAGGAGCCTCGGGAATCGTCCGACCGGATACGGATGAGCAATATCTATATGCTTATGCACGTCTTTGACCTGATGTACTATGGTCAGACACAGATCAAACTAGACGATGTAGTAACCCTGGTAGACGAGGTCTATGGCGATGGCAGCGATCGAAACCAGCACCGTGCCACTGCGGAGATCTTTGGTGCTCTGTTGGCTGGGTCGAGCGACGATCCCCTCGAGATGCGCAGGCCCGTTTGGGACTATGCGGCGCCCAAGTTGCTAAGAATCCTCTCTGAGGAGTTGACTCCAGAGAACCAGGCGTACTGGACCAACTGCCTTCACTTGATAGTTGATTCAAAGGATCCGCGACGAACCAGCCAGATTCAAGAAGCCCTGAGTCGGTTCCGTCTGGATATGAACTCTAACGCCGCCTTCAAAGAGGGATCCAAGATTCAGCTACTCGAGTACGTCATTACGGATGCAGGCTGGCACTATCGACACGAGAAACCCCTCTTGGAGGATTTCCTAGCGCATATAGATCATCCTTACAAGACGGTCAGAGAAGCGATGGGCAGGGTCATTGCCACCATTTACCGCACGCGGTACCATGAGTCGTTTGAAAATGTTCCCGCGCTCTTGCAGGCGAATCGATCCCAATCGTCCATTGGCATACGGCCTTATGAGCCTAGCTCAGAGTTCACCACTGCCATCAACGATGTCTTTACGAGGATCGAGGAGTGGAGGAAAGAACGAACACCTGGCCAACAAACCCCCAGCTCTTATACCTCTGGGTCCAAGACGGTGCTCACTTGGCTGGATTGCACACTTTCCAGCCAAGAGTGCACTGAGCTGCTGCCATTCTTCCATACCCACATGATTGAAGCACTTTTGCACATGATGGACGTTAAGGAGGATGTGGAGCTCATGCGGCTCGCCTACTACGTCTACCGGCTCATGCCAAACATTCCGTTCCGGCGAGGTGAGGACCGACTATTCATTGAAGCCCTCATCCGCGTGGGCAAGACGTCGTCGAGCTGGCATCAGCGACTGCGAGCTTTGGTCAATCTCCAGGTCATTTATTTCCGTCGTATCTTTCTCATGGGCAAGGAGCAGCGCGACCACATGTTCGAGGCGGTGAGCGACATGCTCGAGGACGCGCAACTCGAGGTGCGAACCTGCGCTTCGGCCACTCTTGCGGGCATGATTCGCTGCTCGCCGATTCCTATTCGCGAGCCCGCTATCGAGTCTCTGCGGAAGCGTTTCGCGTGCCAGCTCCAACGCAACCCGATGCCGAAGAAGAAGGTGCCGGGCACAGACACGCCTGTCAATATGCAGAAACAGGTCGTACGTCGGCATGCCGCGGTTCTCGGCCTTGGCGCGCTGATTGAGGCGTTCCCGTACGCGACTCCGCCGCCCAAGTGGATGCCCGAGGTACTCGCGACGCTGGCAAATAGGGCCGCAAACGACCCTGGAGTAGTTGGGAAGGCAACAAAGAGTATATTATCAGAGTTCAAGAAGACCCGGCAGGATAGCTGGACAGTAGATCAGAGGGTAAGCCCGCTCCCCCACTCCCCCACTCCCCCGCCTCCCCCGGCATCGCGCCATTTCTCTTGTTTCGGTACCTCCTCACCTCACCTCATGCTTTCATGGGTATCCAACCGCAATATTAACACGCATGCTCTCCTATAGTCCTTTACTTCGGAACAACTAGAAGACCTAGAAGGCGTATTGTGGAAGAGTTACTTTGCCTAAGACTTGCTGCCTGTTTTGTTTTTTTATTCCTCTTTTTCATTATCTTATATCTGAGCGGCTGGAAAGGGGGAGCGACCCGTTTCGTTCCTAGGAATGGAGTTGTATCATGGAGCAGCGAGAGCGTCCATTGTTTGGCTCATCTCAACTATGTTACAACCAGCGTACTTGATTACGGGTTCGGCGAGTAGGGGCGTGAAGCGCGCGTCTCCTGCTCTCGTTCTACATTGTTCTACATTGCCCCACACCTCGCCGGCCCTACCGTTTGTTTCATTTTTCCTTTCGTTTATTATTTTGTTAGTTGCCTCTTTTCCCTGTTGTTGCTTGCTATTCTGCAACCCCCGAGCACTGTGGTGCAGGGGCGTGTATATGTACGCTGTATATCAGGGTGCTGCATGTGTATTCGATAGACCAGGAAGGGATGCAACTCGTCCCAAAAGTCGTAATAACCACTTGCCATGTCTTGACGTGTTGACTCCCTCGTGTTGATGGTATTGCGATGTTGGAAATGAATATCTGAAGCTGCCTCCAGAGGTTCAAGACTTCTTGGCAGTCCGCCCTCTCCGAGACTCATGGCATATCTTGGGCCTATATTGGGCTTGGTTGACAGCTAGATATGCTACGTCGCCGGCTTGACCCTCGCCTTGAATTGGGGGATATTCGGGGTTATTGAATCGCCAGGTCGGCTCCTGAGCCACCGAAAAGACAAGGTTTACATCGTTACAGTAGAATCTGACAGCTAGGTCAAGCGGCGAAACATGGAGCTCTTCATTTGGCTACCGAGGTATTAGAGATGTACAAAAAAATTCACTTCGCTAAAGAACACAGATTAGCAAGAATAATAATATGGGTGCCGCCTTTCGGGCGAAATCCGCGGTTTAGAGGTTGGATGGATGACGTATGAAGTTCCCCAGGATACTAGTGCTCCTTGTCGAGATTGAAGGCATTGAACAAAACATCCCTGTGATCTATCTGCATCCCTCCTTCTTCAAGTTCTTCTTTACAATTCCCCCTGTCGGGCCTTCCTTCCTGCTCGAGCTGATAGATCGGGGGTACCTTGGTATAGATTATTAAGTCATCGGATATCAAGGAAGGCGCGGAAGGGGTTGCCACCCGTCCGAGGTCGTTCATCGAAACCCCCATTAATTGATATTCTGTGCTCCCTCAATGGAGTCGTGAAACCGAAAGCTGGAGGGCGGGGAATAGCGCCACGGCCCTGACGCCATCGGCATGTGTCGAGGTTTCTTATTCCCACCTCTGGGCCTTTTGCGCAAACGGGGGACAGACACGCAGGCGACTCGAAGCCAGGAATGGCGCTAGGAACAATTGGCAGCCAGCAACTTGGATCCTCCCCGCCCCCGAAAAACAGCCCAGTCCTTTCTCCCTCTCTCTCTCAAATCCAAGCTTGGACGGGTGCAAGCCCAACGGATAATACCCCAACCCAAGACCAGGGCCAAGGGGCTCCCGTCGTTCCCCCGCCGTCGCTGGCGCTGGGGCTGCACCCAAAAAGGATTGGAGTCGGCAAGAGGGCCTTGATTCGCAACTCCACGCTGATCCCGCCAGTCACGGGCAACTTCTTCTCCCCCTCCCTTGTTCACCGGGCGCGCTCGCTCGCTACATCGCTGCATCGCTGCTCAGCAACACTTTCGCAAGTGCCCTCTGTTGTTTTGGCTTTTGGGAGCCCTCGCTCGCACGATTCACCGTCTGTCGCTTCGGGCTCTCTTTCTGCCGTGCCGGCTAACTCGTTGCAACTTGATATTTCCCGCCAAACGAGGCACAGTCCGCCCCCTCTCCGTTTCCCCGTTGGGCGCTTAAAGCTTGCATTTTCCCTCCTCATCCACCCCGTGCTGTCACTTGAGATATCATAATGCCCATCGGCCCAGAAGGCGGTGCATAGCACAGCAGAGTACACATACCCCGGGCACCACGATAGACTGGCTGCGTCATGCTGTACTCTACATTCATGCTCTCCCAACCTCCCTACCCTCCATCAGCTTGTCATGCTCGCCTTCTTCCCCTTCAGGGTCATAGATTCATCATCCTTCACTCCATTTCCCCTCAAAAACAAGGGGCACACGAGCCTATCTGCCTGGTCTCTTTCCTCGCACTCTCTACTGTTCACTTTGTCCGTCTCTTGCCTCGCTCTCACTCTCTCCTCCCTCCTGTCCGCCTCCCTCCCCCTCCCTTCCCATTTTTATTTCCCTGCTCATCCCCGCATCCCTAGCTCTTTTCATCATCATTTCCGCTTGTGTAAATAGCTCAACTAAACTGCTTCAATCAACTGCTGCCGTCTTTATTTTACATCAAATTCTGCTGGTATTTTTGCGCAAGGTTGAAAGTGACAAGATATTCTCGCATCGCCTCCCCTTTGCGACGCTCCATTATATCCGTGGGTTTGTTTCCTCGCACCGCATCTCTTGCTCGGCGTCCCCCGGGTGTTCGTTTCGCCCCCGAGGCCTCGCGATTTGGACGCCCCTTTCAGATTACGGATAGGCGAAGAACCTGAAGCCTCGGGCAGCTGCCTCTACATCGTTGCGCGCCGCGCTCCAGTACCGGACGCAGCTGCTCCAGCAAGGGCTTCGTTCTAGCCGTGATACTGTCGCAAAAGTCGCGTATACCCTGCTAACACTTCCCATTTGTAGCCCGGCTACCATCATCACATTTACGCGTTTCAGCATGGCTCGCGAAGGCACTCGATCCCAGACGGGCAACTCGCGCCCCCGCATTTTCCACACGGTTGAGACTGGGCCCACCATCACTCGCAAGAGGCGCCTTAATCCGCTGGCCCCCAAGCCTCAGACCAAGGGCGCTGCAAAGGCGACCAAGAAGAAGACTGTGGGTGGGACCGAGTCTACCGCCGACAAAGTCAAGGCCGCCCTCGGCGTTGGGACGAAGAGCGAAGGAAAGAAGCCCAAGGGAGTGACAAAGTCTAAGTCCGCCAGCACCGGCAATGGCGGTGTCAAGAAGGCTGTCCAGAAGGTTAGTGAATGATGATAACAGAAAGGGAATTGCTTTTGGCTCTGTGCGCCTGTCATTTCCTCATCGCAAGACAGCTTGCGGCGGGACCATTCATGTCGGCGCATGAGGGAGATGATCACTTGAAGTAGGAGATATAGGAGAGTTCGACATCACTAACAGCATTTGTATAGGTCAAGGCGTTGACACAGCGGCCTGCCGACGCTAAAGCGTAGGGGAAGCATATGTGTGACGGTGTCTCCCCATGTTGAAACATGGCATCGACTTCTGTTCTCCTCCGAACCTCGGCGGAGGCCGCGCAGGTGCTTTTTTCTTACGCGCAGGCTTGCTTCATCAGAAAGGCCCTGTGGGAGTAGGCATTGGCGCAGTTTTTCCCATTTCCACTTCGCTTGACTGGATCCTTCTAGTAGTTTTAGTCTGGTTTGTTAGGCGCGCTTCCGGGATTGGAATTGCGAAGACGGGGACGAGGAACTCTTGATTTTCTTTTTTTCTATTATATTCCCTTGTAACGCGAGACACGGGCGCTGGAAAGCTTCAGGGTTCCTGAACGACTTTGAATGTGCGAGCGTGGTATTTAGTAATGCAGACTCAGTTTTTGTTCTTCTCCTTTCTGTTCGAACGTCTCGGCCTTCTCGAAGCAAGGTACTCGCTTCCTCTCACTTTCCCAGCTCGGATCGAGCCCAGCTCCGACGGTCCTTGATTCCGCGGCGGCCGTATCCCTCTTTCATCATTCCACCTTTTCTCGCTCTTCCTCGGCCTGTTCCGAAGGGACAGGGGAACCCGATGCATCGGGCCAGTCATCTTACACGTGCTGTGCAGATCGCGTCCGCAAGGGAATGATCTTGCAACGATGAGGTGAGTGCTTGCGAGCGACTTGCATAAAGGACATATGGACTAAACGCAAGCCCCCCTCCCTCCCAAAAGGAAAGAAAGAAGGAGACAAAGAAAGAGGGGAGACAAGCCATGCCTCCTGGCCTCTGCTCCGTCGGAGACCCTTTGATGACCCAGCGAGAAGAAATTTCATTGTCACAGGAGATGAGCGCCTAGGCTCGCAGGGCAAGAAGGGGCTCTGGCCGACTTTCGTGGACTGACCAGTACTGGGTGGCTCGATCATGTTCCTCGAGATGTTAGCCCATGGTTCGAGATATATGAAGCGGCCATTGCCACGCTCGTTGATTTAGATTCCGCGCATTTGGTGGAGTGGAAATACGACGCTATCCGCATGCTCCTGACGCTTCTCATACTCGCACTCTCTTTCCCCTCTCTCCCCTGTCTCGCTGTCTCTCTCTCCCTCTCTCTCTCTCTCTCACTCTCCGCCTCTTCCTTGCCCCTCTATCCAACCCCCGTCTCGCTCATGACTGAACCTTACCGCACTAGCGGGACATTTCCACCTCGCAATCTATTTTCCTATCACTCACTGGGCGGGCGAGCCTGGTGGGTGGGGTAACCCACGATCTTGATATCCTGGATAGCGGCCCACGGTTCCGTCGATGCGCTCACGGCCCATCGCAAGGCTGCAAAGGGTGGCTTTGTTCGAAAAACCAGGGAGAAGAAGCCTTCTTCTTTGCACCCTTTCTCTTTTTTTTTCCATTCTCTTTTCGAGAATGACAAATATTCCAAGCCCGCATGGCACTCCATGATGCAACTCAAGCACGCGTGTATAGACGAATACCACGTAGCCGCCCTCCGCAGCGGCAAATGTGGTTCGGGAACCAAGTTTCTTGGGTGGCTGGCACCCTCTGCTTTTCCCTCCTTCTCCCTGGTTCTCCTGTCCCTTTCCCTCATCTGCCTTTTCACGACCTGCTTCTCTCCCTTTTGTTCCACCGTTTGTGTTTGCTAATCCCCCTTTCTCTATATCTGCTGCACCTGCGCCGCGAGAATATGCAGCTCTGGCTGTGACGCCAGGGTCGCATTTAGAGCCCATCTTCCGGCCCTCGGAGACGAACGAAGAGCAAGAGATGCGGTACTGCCCCGCGTTAGGGCATGTGCCTCCTGCCCTTCACCTCCTCTTTTTCATCTTCTTAGGCTGCTAGCACTCCTCTCCATCCACCCCCGCCTACTAGTAAGGATCGTAGTCTCCGGGGAGGGGCATGGCAAGCATTAGCCTCCGTCGTTTCGTACAGACCCTGCGCCCTACGGATCGAATGAGACGTTACGTCTTGCACGAGGGAGGGGGGGCATATACTGAGCCTTGATAGATGAAGCGGGACGGGCAAGAGAGATGGAAAGACGGAGGTGTAGCCGCATGATGTCTTGTGTCCCTGCGCTAGGCGCTTGGCCTAGGACGCCCCTTTCACCCAGTTTTTGGATTGAAAAAAGCCTACCACCTCATCTACATCGCATAGATATTCCGCGTGAGGGGGCAAGAAGGAGAAAATCAGTGTGGCTATCGGTACGAAAGGCCGGTGCCCGGATCTATCATCAATCCTTAGCTGCTCTCTCCCACGGTTCTTGCTTTGGACCCTGCCTGGAAAATACTGAACTGAACCAGGCTACGGATGCGGAGTGGCGTGTCCAAAGGGAGCGAGGGTCCCTGCGACTATTCAACGGTGAGCCTCAAGGGCACACCTTGGGAGAAGACCGTATGGTCTGGATTCGAGAGGGGCGCCGCAAGCATTCCGATATTAGCAGTGGCTCGAGGCTTGGACCAACTACTGCACGTATACATTTCATCTTTGTGAATAGAAATGCGCGATCCGACCCAACGATTCCATTCGTAGCGGAGCCCCAACCTATCCAGGAACCAAGGGTTCTTCCCCGAAACGACCCTCTCTGTCGAGCAGAAGCACAAGGTAGTGCGCCCCTCTGTCCTGTCGCCATCTTCCGACTCCAACGCCAGCCCGACGTCGTAGCACTTTAGCGCATCATATCGTATCCTGTTCCTGTTCCATTCTCGATGTATGGGGCGGGCAGCCAGCCTCCTCCTCCTCCTCCCGTGACCGCGTGGGATTTCCTCCGCACGCCACACACCGCATATCGAAGAGGCAGGTAATAGAGCCTCCGTCAAATTTAGCTTTGCAACGTCAAGAAAGAATTCATTTAAGCCGATAGTTAACCCCAGACCAAAATTTGGGTCGCTGGAGCGTGGCTTAAGCCCCGATGTGTTTAGTCGTTTCGCGAGATAACGAAAGAGAGGATGCTGCAATATAAAGATATAACCTGCTCCGGAAATATATTGCGCTTTCCAATATCCAAGACTGATCCCCGCCCCTTCTCCTCCTTTCGAGAGCCGTGATGACGTCCGATGAATGCAAAATAAAAGTCATAGGACGAGAACCTCCAATTCAAGGGCCCCATTGCCTCCAAATGTCTAAGGCAATGGGAGAGGAACTAATAAAAAGGAACGAAAAACAAACAAGGGGGATGCCGCAAAGGAGGGGACGGGAAGGGAAACTCAAGAACAGCATGAATGTGCATGTGAAGATGACAGAGAAGACGGGGCAAGGCAACGAGGAATAAAGGCAAGACTCAAGTTTGCCACGCTCCCACACTCCGCCGACGTCCCTCGACTCCAACTCCAAATGTGCATTTGACTCGCCTGAGACGACGACACCCTCTTGACCCTCTGCCCACTTGCAGCGGGATGGCCAATTTACCAAGCACAAGACGGCCCCAAAAAGACCACGTTGGAGGCGTTCCAATCCCCAATCTTGTCCAATCATGCACCCGTTCGACGCCCTCAACTCGTTTTGACATCACACGCGCGATAGCGTAAGAGCTACTCCGCATCTCCATGGCACCTTGCATCCCCGAGGGCACTTCTCACGGGGCTTGTGAGAATCCTCGCACCACTCTTCCAGTAAATCACCTCCACTTTTCCCCACACGAAAAGGTACGCTCGAGAAAAGCAAGCAGTCATTCCCTCTTGTTTTTGTTATCTGAGCAAAGAGGGGGCTCATCTAAAATAAACGCTAGTTCGTAACCAATATAAACCATCGTTTGTCTGCTTGGGGGTGATGTGAGGGGTGTGAGTGCGGTGCCGCGGGTTAGCCACATGGCGCATGGCATGGCGTCGGACGACCATCCCCTCTCGCCCAACCTTTGATTGCGAGATGTTGGCTTCTCATAATATGTTGAATGGGGAGATGCCTGCTGGGCGTGCTTCGTTTTCATGGCTCTCGCATTGACGGACAAACGAAGCTTCCCCACATTTGGCCCCTCACTCCAACCCCAGCCCTGACTTGGGTTTCGCAGAACCGCACCAGCGTACCAGGACAACACCAACCAAAAGTGCAAGGGAAAAACAAAAGCTGCCCCGCGCTTCCCTTGCTGCTTCTACCTAAGTCGGATGTAAAGTGTCAGATGTGCCCAAATCGGACAGCAAGCCCCCGCTTTCTCCTACCCGGCATGCAAAATCCTCTCGTCTCGAAGTGAGGAGGCGGAGACCCGTGGTTTGTGATTACACCCATTGTATGGATACCTGGCGCCCGGGAGGAAGGGGGCGAGGGGCAACTCTGGTCTTGACACAGGCAACTTGGACAATAAAATCCGCAATATAAGTGCGGTATCGTTGTCGGGGTCACGAGAAACGCGGGGACGGTGGCTGCAAGTGTGCGGGGAAACACTCCAGAACAATGCAATGCAAGGCTCCCAGGAGCAGGGTCCCGTGCTTGTGTCTGTGTTTATGGTGATTTTTGTGTGTGTTTGTGTCTGTGTTGAGAGAGATTCCCTCAGGTGTTGTGTCGTGTCGCTGTCGCGAAGTCTGGTTCACAGGGCCTGACTGACAGGGGGAGGTACTAGCTGGGGAGTCTCAAAGTGTTGCTCTTTCGCGACCTTCGGTCCTCTTACATGTAGTTTTGAGGGTGGCCTGGCAGAAGATCACAACCATGCACAGACATGGAGGCGGTATTCACCTCCCAAGGTGTGGCTTGCGACCGTCCGTTCAACGCATGAAGAATGTTTTGGCTAGCCTCGGAGCCATCTCTTCAGCGTTCATTGGCTCTTTCTTCCTGTTCACTTCTTGGTATAGTCAAGTTCCGTCGGCGCGAAGAATCAGAAAAGCACGAAAACAATAAGTAACGGCGCCAACAACTTTATCCGTCGAAACGGATGACATGGTCTCTGTTCGCCCTTTGAGGTGGGACTGGTCAGCCATGGTGCGATCAATCTCCAGCTGCTGTCTCCTCCCCTTCAGGGTGGAAACAAGCACTGGACTAGGGGCGGAGGCGGGGCAGGCGGTAGCGGATCCATTGGAGCTTGACAGATGACAAGAGTA